ATTTAGTGCAACATTAGCTGAGTCTAATATTCTGCTTGTGATACTGATGTAATTAAGTAACTTTATATTCCATGCAGTAATGATTTAGATTGACACTGCAAAAGGAGTTAAATGAGCGTGATCATTTGATGCGTAAAGTTGAATTTGCCGAAACAGAAGCGGCGAAACGACTGAAGGAAGTGGAGGCAAAGGAGGCTGAAAGGATTGAAGCGCAGAATCAATTCAAAAGAATTCTAGGAATGGTCGAAGAACGAGTAAGTTTTTGAGAAAAAGGGGCTAAAACACTAATTGTAATATATAATGTGTAAGCGATTAGTTCAATCTTTCTGTTCAATTGAAGGAAGCAAAATTACGAAGTGCAGAAGACCTAACAGAAAGGCTCCGTAACGAGGTGATGAAATGGCAAGAAGAAGTAAGACGACTGGAAGATCAAAAAAAAGCAGTGGAATTTAAATTATTGGTAATTTAATTACTTTTACTTTGTATGATTTGTTGTTAAAACTGATGATAGAACTGATTTTATATAAGTTTTTGTCCTCTTAAGGTTGAAGGTTCTTTTTGTAGAAATAGAACTTGTAGTGTATGAAGTGAAGAAGTAAAATGATGATTTTGAAATGAGGTATCCAAGGAAGTGAAATATATCTGAAAAGTCAGATTTCGGGTAATCAAAGCTTTCCGTCTTTTTAGGAAACTGATCAAGAATTAAAACGTTTAAAGGCAGAATATGCTAAGTTGGAAACACGTACTTTCCATGAAATACGTCAATGTAAGCAAACGATAGCAGTTTTGCAACAGCAGGTCTAAATTTTTGATCGTTTTATTTTATTATTTTTTTTTTTATCTTTCTTTAAAGTTTTTTGAAATACTGCTTTATTTATGGATGAATTGGTTGCACATAGGTGGTACTGAAATATTTTTGAACAATGTTAATCTTCTAGCTTTGCCTTTTTTTTTTTTTTTTTTTTGAATTTGATGTATTTTGCTATTTTTGGAATCACTGAAGAGTGAAATTGCAGTCACTGGAGCAAATTCATCTGTCAAATCCAACATCAAATATGCTTGATAATGCTAATGTATTGAATATCTCGGCATCATCATCAGATCGTGATTATGGTGCATCACTCAGCGGTGGTGGTCTAGTTGCACCACCATTATTATCTCATATACGACCTTTATGGGATGACGAGCCACCTGAGGTCTGCTTGCACATAAAATATTGATTTGATCAAAACTTTTTTGTTGACGACAAATAATTTTTCTTTTTTAGCAATATACAGTAAAAAAAATAGGATGAAAGAAGAAAGAAAGGAATGAAGTATGATTTTTTGTTCAGAGCAATCTTATCCACTTCTCTCAAGATTTCCCTTCTTTACGTTTCTTTCAGTGTTTAATTTTTTTCGTAGACTTTTCTAAAACATTAATGTAACATGAAAAAGGGGATTTGTAATCTTTAATACATAAGTTTAACTTGCTAGTTTGTTAGAGTTTGATTTACATATGTCATGGCTTTATTACAGATTTTTTCTCATGGTGAATCATCGCTGTTAAAAAAGATAGACCCTTTACTAGATGGTGCGACAGTAGAAAATAGTAATATGAGCCATAACCGAGGATCAAAGCAACGACGAAGTATTAGGGAGCAAGAACAAAATATTGGTGTAAAGGTGGATGGTGCACAGTCACGCCATAAGAAGGTTGTTTAATTTAGTCAACTATTTGATTTGAAATCATTTGGAAATGCTGTGAGATTGTTCAATGCACCTGCACAGATAATGACACAATGTAAAAGTCATAACTATGAATTTTCCTCCCTTGTAGAAGGTTTATAATATATATTAGAGTTCACTGTTTATGTGATTAGTTGAGGAAGTAGAAAGTTTAATACTGATTTTGTGTGGCATTTGACTGTATATTATTTTAGGAAAGTAGGAGGATGCGTTCGCGCTCTCATGGTCGACATCCGTTTCATACGGATTATTTTCCAATGTTAAATATGCCTGGATATCCAGAATCTTCTGTAGATTTTTGTGCAGGCACAATTCTCAACAAGCAAAATAGCAAAAGTGGTATTCTGTACTATTCCTCCGGTGGTTCAAATGATGGTCGTTCTCCTCCTCCAGAAATGGCACTGCTTTCAGGCATCCCACCTCCGGGCCCAATGATTAAAAAACCAACGCCACGACCAAAAAGTTCGTTTTTAAACAATTTCATCAACGTAATCGTTTTAATCAAGTATATGATTTGAAATAATGTTCATAATTTTACATATATTCCCTTTGCAAGCTACAAGTCGTCAATTTGTGCCTAGTGAGGTATGAGAGAGATATTTGTTGCAAGAGATCGTTATAAAAAGTTTTAATTCCAACTGTCTTACGAGTTCTTATTCATCTTATTTTTCAGGTACTACCGAACCATTGGAAAGGCGCTAAAATCAATAAAATTTGTCATGATAATCTGTATGTTGTTTCTTCCTTTGCAGCCTTTCTCCTGTTATGGGAAACTTTTTTTTTTTTCAGTTTTGGAAAAAATATTGTTTAGCTTTAAAGTGGAGGACACATATGAGCTATAGATAGGACTACTTTTACATTTCAGTTTTTAGCTGTTTTGAGACTGTGATTGTATTTTTTTGCTTTCTTTTATAAAAATTTCGGTGTCTTCCCAAATATTGTTATTTTACTATTGACACGAAATTAAACCTTCCTGTTGGTGCTGGTACAAACAAGTATAAAATTACCCCGTTTCTGTTATACGTTAATATCGTTTGAACTTGCAGCATTTTGCTCCTCGATGCCACTATAATATAGCAGTATTGCTCTTTTATTCTTTCTTTATGACTAAGATCATCAGACTCATTTTATCGTCCCGTTGAAGTAGTATAGACATCCTTAATTCCTTTAAAAGATAGTATTTGCAACTGATGCGGTATAAAGCCATATAATCATTAAACAATTAACACTAAATTATGAATGTGGTTTGTTTCTGAAACATTTAAACTTGTGCTGCCGTAGAATAGAAGAAACATCTGATCGTGCTGAATGAACTACTGACTCCCATAACTATTCTTATGACATCTGTTCAATAATAACGTTATGGAGAATGCTTGAATCTATCCTTTGAGACAGTATGTCAACAGTGCTCTGCAATCTACAGTGTCGTTCATCCTCTTAACCTGCATGTCACCATTCCACGTTCTAGAGTCATCGTGATGTTTGGCACTTTCCGAGCACTTCAGAATTAATATACAGACAATGTCTACATGTAGGTTATAATTAAGTAAAAGAGAGAGAGTGGGAGTAGCTATAATCGACTTAAGTAATCTTGAAAGAATATCTTTTAGTTTTTTTAGTAGATCTGCAGTACATTTAGACTCACAGTTTTTCTTATTTGACCTATACAGGAATCTTTTATCTTATCTTTCGTGCAGCGATAAACTTCGTCGACTTCGATTTTAAATATTAGGAGAGCTATTGCTAGACGTCAAATAATTACGCACTTCAATTTAACTCGAATTTGCAAGCCAACATTAATTGACACAAAATGTGGTTACACAAATTATCTCAATAAAATTCTTGTTTGAACAACAATTTACGAGGTGATGAGGACGAAACTAGTATTACTTTTTCTCTTCTCCTCAATAAAACATTCGAGATATAAATTGTAGCGACTCAGTGTTGAACTGACAGTGATGGTGGACTTTTTGTCCTTTTGTTAACTTTTCGGCAATTGTACTATTGATTGTTATGGTGTAGTGATACAATCTTGCTGATATGCTTGCTGCGATTGATAATTTTCAGCTTGGAAAGAAAACTCGAAGAATGAGCAATTTGTCATTTGACAAAATCAACTGAGGTATTTAAATTGTGGACACATAATAGAAGACATAAATAGCTGTAAATGTCCGAGAATTTATCTACATTTATGACCATCCTTTTGCAAATTTCAGATTGCAACCAGCTCTGATAACTGAATAAAGAGTATTTTCCTTCTGTACATTCCCGAGAATTTTTCATAGAGGATTGATTCTCGGAAGTACATAGATTCTACCCCTTACGACTACTTTTTTTTTTGGATAATTGAATGTTCGACAGTGCATTATCAGTAATTGTTATCAGCACTTGCCTGTCTCTGCCCATTTCTGCTGATGCAAGATCACCATTCCCGTCCTTCGGGAGCTGTTCTTCACTGTCACTTGCCCGACTAGTGGATCCTTAATCACCCGGCACCACCTACCTATGAGACGAGATGGCAGGATTCTTTGCCCTTCCCTTCCCTTCCCTTCCAGCTATCCAAACTGCCCACAAAAAACTGACATTAGACAGAATGAGTTAGCTGCTCCTTGCTGTTGTCTTATCATTATCAGTGACAAGAATGAATGAAATACTGCACTACAACAGTTTTATTCTACTATAAAAGAGTCTCTATTAGAGTAGACAGGTATACTTCATCATTATAAACTTATAATAATCAAAAGATGAGAGATTAATGGTAACAAAGAATAAAACTTCACTTCACTTCACTTATCTCACCTTTCCTGATCGGATGTCACCGAATAATTTGTAAATTGTAAAAGGCTTATATTCGAGTTGCAGGAGAATTTAATTTAATTCAAATTTATGAGGAATGGGATGGATATAGGAGTTTCAATTTTAAATAGATAACTCTGTCTGTTCGAAAAGCTCATCCTAAACATTTTAATTGTTTTATCTGCTTGAAAGAAATCAGATGTCAACTTTCTCCGCTGCTTATATCCATCTTTGGATTAGAATCTTTCGGCTCGAGAAGTATTTCAATTTTGTTTCAAACTTTCTTTCATCTCAAATTTCAATCTCTCCCACTCAGTTGTTTATTCTTAGCACTTAATCACTAAGACTAATGTCTGAATATTATGTGTATTTGTTGTTGACTTGTTACTACTTAGTACACATATATATCATTACCTGAATTACTTTTAGATTTCTACGTCCTCTCAGGCCCTCATAATTAGTACAATTTTCAATTACATGGTTAATCTCGAAACACGTTCAAGAATTCGGAAGGATGGTGTTCACCGACTATCATTCACCGGTTCCTCCCTTACTACTACTGTGCTTATAGTCACTTTATGTGCAGCATTTATTGCACTAACCAAAAATATGCAGAAACCTGGATGCTATCGTCGACCATATAATACATCACAGCTTGGTAAGTAACTTTAGTAATTTTCCACAGGAATGTCCATTTTATTATGTTTGTTGCCTTCATTCTTTTAATTCATCTATTGATTTTATTATGATTGCATAGTTAATGTTTTGTTCTTCTCAGAGAGAGTGAAGAGCCAACTGAAGTAATTTGTTCCAAGCTTATCAATGTCTAAAGTTTTTTGTGTTCATGTTGAACCGTTTTTATTGCGCCTAACATTTCACTTATGCTTTGAACAAATGATATTTTTGAGAGGACTACTGTATATTTGTTATAATCTTCGTATGTGGTGGCAGTTTTCTTGACAAGATTTTTACATAGGTCATGAAGTTTTGTTGGCTGATGGATCTCATCAGTTTCGTATAATGGTTGTGACAGATCTTGACAAGAGCAGTAAGCATCCGACAGAAGAAAATCAATGGCAGAGCTTCATAGAATTTGGTATTCTCACAGTGAATAAGGATTACACTGAAGCATCTCTTAAATGGAATAGCAATGAACAGGTGGAGCATTAAATATATTTATTGTCACTTTTTTTGAATTGCATATTTTTGAAAATTCTTGTGTTTTCTCTGTGAAGTATCACCATTCAAATCATCCGATATCATTGCTTGCGAGAGTTGTGCAGGTTTCTTGAAACTGGTGATATCTTTTACTAACTGTGGTATAAAATGGCCCAGTATGCATGCATAAGTTTTTCATGTAGATTTCACTTTATTCGACAATTGCTGGTGGTGGACGGTCGATGGAACTATCTGATCTTGTCGTTTTTGATGGGAAATTGTTATCAATAGATGATCGAACCGGAATTATTTATCGAATCGAAAAAGACATGGCTTATCCTTGGGTTTTTTTATTTTTTATTTTTTTGTTCTTTTTGACTTCTGTTGTAAAGATCTTGTCATTTTTTCTGAACTCTATTTTTGAAAATTTTTTACTTTTGCAATAGCATGAAAGAATTGCATCAATTCAAGATTTACCTCAGTGATGGTGCTGGAAATGCAACCAAAGGTTTCAAAGGTGAATGGATGACGGTGAAAGATGGTAATCTTTACGTCGGTGGCCTTGGGAAAGAGTGGACAACAACAGAAGGTGTATTTGACAACGAGGATCCTATGTGGATCAAGGTACAGCCTCGTATTCATGGGAAACTTTGATATTATTTATTAACTTTTTCCTATTTAATGGTTTGTAGGAAGCTGTAAGTGATGGTTGTGATTATAATAGAAGTTGTTGAAATCATCCGACGGTTTTTCGGAACATTTTTTATTTTATATAAAAGACGCATTATACTGAATAATCGAGTATTGGGCTGATTGAATTAAAAATTTTTTTATTATCACTAAAATTTATCCGTCGCTTCTGGTTTCTATAAACTTAATTGAGAATAGTCTCTTTTAAAAGATTTCAGCTTGTAACTCCCGAGGGTAGTGTCGAGCATATCAGTTGGGTTAATGAATACAAGAAATTACGTTCTGCAGTTGGGATTGAGTGGCCTGGTTATATGGTACACGAATCAGTTCAGTGGTCAGAAATCTACAAAAAGTGGTTCTTCTTGCCCAGAAGAGCTAGTAAGCAAGTATACAACGAAGCAGAGGATGAAGAAAGAGGTTAGTAGACATTTAGGTTGTGTACACTGAATCGTATGATTCGAAATCTAATCGTCATACTCTTTGAATTTTTGGAAATTTGGAACTAGGCTGTAGGCTATAGATTTTTTTAATAATTCATATTCTGAATGTGAGTACCCCTTTTTTCTGAATGTGAGTACCCCCAAACATTTTTGCCTACCTACCCTACTTGTAATAATGACGAGACAATATAGCTGTACACGATTGGACTACATTGCGATGAAATACAGTAGTATATTGAGCTTATATCAAGTAAATTTCGAGTTTTGCTACCACTTAGATTAACATATGAGAAGAGTGAAATTAAGAGATATTCTGGATTCAACTAGTTAGCTACATAGATCGGATTTGAAGACCTCAGTATGACAAACAAATGGACTAAGTTAGCTTATTGTTATACACATGTTCCCTATTTCAGGAACTAATTATTTGCTTTCTGCTTCGGAGGACTTTTCTGACATAAAATACCAACAGATTGGGCCATTAAGCAGTACAAGAGGCTTCTCAGCTTTCCAATTTGTTCCTGGTACTAGTGATCGAATAATTGTGGCATTAAAATCGGAGGAAAAAGACACATTACCAGTAGCCAGTTACATAACAGTATTTAATCATGAAATGGGTCATATCTTGCTCGAAGAAATGCCACTCTTTGGCAAGTTCAAATATGAAGGAATAGCATTTGTCTGAAATATCTGAATAGAATTATCGAATCTGTTGTAAAGGATTTCAATTCAATCCATGAAATTCTTTTCTTACTGCCTCGAAAGATAGAATTGTAAGCATAATATTTTATTCCTTTATTTTCTATAACACAAATATCTTTTTTAAAATATGACTGATATTAGTGATTAGATAATGAATCTCTGAAGGATTTTGCAAAAGATATGAGGTATTTGATGCATAGTTTTGAAACTAAATGAAATGAATTTTTTTTTTTTGAATGCCGGAAGTCATTAACATGCAAAAATCCTAACAATATATTCACTTTAATGTGTTTTCCAGTGATGAAAAATCATACGGTTGTACAAAGAGACAGTGATATATTTTAATATGTAAATATGGTGTGTACTCTTTGAAGCATGAGAGAGTAGAAATTTTTGTCGTTGATGACAGTGCTTTCACTAACATTTTTGTTTTAACATTAGCTCATATTTTCCCTTTGGTGATTGCCGTACATGATCGGGAAACTTTTTTTTTTTTCTGTTATTTATTAGTTATTTTTCGGAATTTTTAACCTGTAAGTGCCTTCATTTTATATTTTTATTTTATGCTTCATTTTTTGAACATATTGATAGCGATTGTTGTAGTTTACATTAACTTTATTTATATTCATGCACTTTATATTTTTCATCTGATTTCCATTAATTATTTGTTAATAGTAACTTCATCAGAGCACTAGTTTAGGTTTCAGAAACGGACGAATGTTTGGAATTTTGTTAAGGAGCTAATCTGTCTCGATAAAGTTGTCTGCAACAGCATTATGTATCACGAAGTATTAAGCAGCTTTATCTACATATGAGTACTGCTTCTTTCATCCTTTGTTACGTGTCATCAATAACATTTCTAAGTTGATTGATTCATTCTTTTGTTTTTAATTCTGTTCGGACTGATCTATTTGTATATGAAGTAGCTTATTTTGAGTTCATGTATTAGGTTTTCATACAGGAAGGAAGTGGACTAATTCGCTATGTTTGAATCTTCTAGAATTTTCTTCAATTTTTTGGATATTAGTAATTGATGGACGGTTCTCCTGACTCAGTTTCATTTCAGTTCCGTGATTGGAACGATATAACAGTATGAGTTTCGAAAGAGATTTCTAAAATAATTGGTTCATTATGGCAATGAGCTGTGTTTGCTATTCTACGTATATTTTACGGCTATCGATTATATGCAGCAGATGGAAATAATTTTTCGGCTGTAGGATTTAGAATATTTCAGGCAATCATGAGTACTGCACTGAGTCCCGAACATGGAAGGTTGAATGCATCTCCGACAAACACCAGTGGTTTTTCAGGGTTTGATCGGTTAAGTAGTGTGAAAAGCTTTTTGGATGAACTAGCGAATGATTATAAGGAACCAGGTGCTCTTAATTTACTTGATTATGTTTGTTATCAGTAGAAAGATATATGTTATGAAACAAAAACCACACTGTAGCACTGGTTGTGTTGCCCGGCATCAGCTAAAGTTCCGGTGGTGTCATTCGCATTGCAGTATATCCGGAAGGCGTTGTTAAAAGAAAAAAATATAAGACTGATGTAGGTGAGGTGAAATTAATGTTATCTTGTTAAAATTATATCATCATTGCGTTAATCTGGACCTGCTTATCCTCAATTTGATCTTTCTTAAAAGCAAGAAGCGAGAAATATTTTCGTATGTTCGTCTGTGTTTGTCACTTGTAAAATACACTTTGCCTATTCTTTTGAAGGAAATCAAGGACATAATATTGAAATAATGAATAAGGACGAAGTACTTGGATCTAGTGAACAGTTGCACCACCACCACATGCATGGAATGAATGATGAACTGATGAAGCACGGTGGAGGACATAACCATCAGCATGGCGAGCATGCTATGAAGATGTGGTTTCATTCTGGTTATCATGAAACAATTTTATTCGAATTTTGGCAAATTGAATCTTTGTATGGTTAGTTTTTTAATGCTTTTGTTAATCACACTGATCATTTATCTTCTTTAGAGGAGAAGATCAATTCTTACCTTTCAATATATTTTCGTTAAATGTTGATATTCTTTTTTATCCTTATGCAAGCAATCAGTTAATCAGTTCATCTTTTTACTCCTTTATATCAATTCACGTTTATTTATCTTATAAAGGTGGAAATAACATGAAAGAATTAAACGGAACAGTTTCATGAGTAACATAATACTGTTTGGTAGTAATTGCAGGTCTCTTGCTTTCCTGTGTGTTGATTTTCATAATGGCTTGTTTTTATGAGTGGATTAAATGGTTTCGTGTTTATCTGCAGCTTTCTGCTGCACGATGTCCACCGAGTTGCAATCATGCAGTTGATAAAGGAAAGCAAGATGAAGTAAAGCAAGATGATGAAAAACGTATTGATTGCAATCGCTTGTCTGTATCAGCACCTCTGACGACCACTCTACCATCTGATTATCACCAGATCTCCAAAAGGTTTGCATAGTGTTTTAATATTTGAAGAGTATTTTTTTTTTTTTTTTTTTTTAGACGGAGTTTTCTATTTTAATTTGCGTTAGGACAATGTCGAAGTATCCAAACTGATTATTGTTGTCGGAGTATATCCAAAGGGATTTTGAAGATTTGGTTTTTGTTTTGTATACTTAAAACTCAAAGTCGTACTTTTTTTCAGAACAACAAAGGAAGAGATTTCTGCGAAAATTCGATTCTTGCAAGTATGTACACATTCAGCACTTTATTATTTTCCTTCTTTAACTTCAGATATAGTAAGAGATTGTGAAATGTTGACAGGAACGTAGTACAACATTTGAATAGTGTATCATTATAGGCAGTCCTTTATTTTGTACAGTTAACATTGGCATATTGTTTGATGCTTATCGCGATGACGTATAATGTTTGGCTAACCATGGCTGTAATTGCGGGCGCAGCGTTCGGACATTGGTTATTTGCTATTTTAAAATGTTTTAATCCACAGACCGACGACTTGGATACATTTGCTACTGATGCATGTCACTAAGAATAATTTCCGAGGTCTCATAAGTAATAGTTCGCTGGTAATAGCATTAATTGTGTTACTGAAATATTAACTTAATTTAATAAATTGAATATGTTGTATTTTTCCTTTGTTCGTTGAATGGAGATATTATTTTTTCATTACTGTCTCAGCTTTCTCATTAGAAAAACATTTTGATAGGTGTGCTTGGCTTTTTTTCTTGCCGTTAGTCTGTATACCGGACACTATAATTGTGAAGAAAAAAATAGCTAACGAATGGGATATCTGGAAATGCATTATCTTCCCATATAAGGATTATCTTATGTTTATAAGTTTAGCATGCTATGTATCGCATGCTGTGCAAGTTTAGCATGCTTTGTATTTTCTGAAATATTGGTGATATCCAACATTAACATATCATTCTACTATGTTCATAGCACCAGAGTTGCCTTTTACAATAAAAATATGTGCAGTACTCGCGATAGTAATGACACTATATGGTTCTTTCACTTCTGTAGTATGATTTATCTAGGGAGAAAGAGACTTATCGTTATTTATTATTTCAAACAGATTAGGTCATATTCATGTTAATTTCACCTCTCAGTTCGAATTCATGTTATAATGTATTTTGTGTTAAGTGTGGGTAGGTTGTCATCCATCAGCAGCTTGCTTACCTAACACTGTTTTCCATCCCTTCCTTTTAGTATTTTTCTCATATATTTATTTATTTTGAATACTATTTACTTTTTTCATTCTTACAGATTTCCATCTGTTACGAGTCATTCCAGTCTCATGATCAGTAATGACTATTACAGTACAATTACATTAATACATTTATTTCTCATCAGGCTTAACTTAATGTCCAAATATAATTTTTTTGTATTGTAAAACCTTCGACAATAATTAATGATTCTAAAGTCGAAATTAAAAGATTCTTTTCTAATATTGAGACCTGTGTCTGTATTTATGTTTAACGGCAAAATAATTACCGCATTTGCTGTGTTTTTAACACCGGGAACAAAACATATACAGATGCTGAGGTAGGTACCTCTCCCAGGTTTATGTTTTTGTCTTCTCATTCTCTTTCTTCAGCTTCTCGGAGTCAAATGTGTCACCATCAACAGAGGAATTCCCTTCCTCTTTTGGTTCCTTACATCTGCAAAATTCAACTCATACTTTCCCAAATTTTTTCATTAAATTCTTGCACTTTTTTTTGTCTGACGAATAATATACGATTTCAGTTCACTGAAACTCATGTTTTATGTACTGTCGTGTTAATAATTCATCTCGAAAATCTCTCCCATGCTGAAAAATCAAAAATGACTTATATAATCGATTAACAACAAGCAGTAGTTATTAAGACACTCTTACGGGTATTAAGATTGTGCATGAAAATGAATTATAAGTCATTAACTTTTCCTGATCAGACTGCTATATCCATCCGATGATAGAATTGCTTTTGCAGTTATGCTTTTTTTATGATTGAAAAATAATACTTAACAATAGCGTTTGTATTCCGAAATATTTTGTGTGATTGTTGATTAGATATGTGGAAGATAAAGTTGAGGAACATCCAATGAATTCTTATATTTGAAGTACAAAATTTAGCTGTGGGAAAAGAATACAAACATTTTATTTACAACAATATAAGTAAATAAAACTGATCTCTTTGAATGACTTGGTTTTATCAGCGATATCACAATATTTTAAATTCTTTATACGTGATTTCTTGGGAAGGATTATCTCCAAGAGTATCCATAAACTACGCAAAATGTAAACTCATCCTGCTAACGTTTTCCATATAAATGCAACCCATAACACATGGGACATCTACTCTCCATAACTGTTTGTCCATCTGAATGAGGGACATATATACAACGGATGTGTGCTGAATGTCCACAATCATAAACAATGATGTCACAATTCGCATGTCTGCAGTCAGTGGACTTTTCGCGTTCTAGCAGTACAGCTATCCTAAAATCGACTCACTAGCAGAAACAAAAAGAAAGCCTACTGGCCAATGATATTTCAAATTTAATTTGTGTTAATTTTGCAATGAAGAAATTGTTGTTTCACCTGCATACAATGCAACATTGCTCGAGACCGATAAAAGTCGAACATTTACGATTTGATAAATATTTTGCAAAAAGATGATTACTGTCGGCTTCTGTTACTTGCAAAGAGCCGCGTTGCATTTGTACAAGTAGTTCATAATCACGTAAAATTGTTACCAATAAATTCCGTAAACCAGGGATGTTCATCTGTTCAGGAATCTGGAAACTCAAAAATTTTGTGACAAAATAGTATATGTTATTCTGAGAATTAGTATACTCAAAGTCGGACCATTATCTAAATGGACCAGTTTCTCACTTACAGAAGCAGCCCATCTTTTAACTCCTAAAGTCTTAAAATAAAATACAGATTTATAGGAAGTGATCGTCAAAGTTGTCCAGTTGTTAATGCCCTGCCCTTACTATTGATCTAACATAACTGGACATAGGTATTCCAGGTTTCCATTTTGTGTATGAGCTTTTTTATATGAGAATTGAGAACCATCTCCATAATATATCTCCCATAAAATACTAAGGATTTGAATTTTAAGAATAAAACTAATAATAGTGATAATACATACTACGTCAGAGAAATGCAAAACTACATATTTAAGTGAAAAAAAGAACCTTCTCAATAATATTTAATGGATTAACATATTTTCCAGCAGTATTCAAAAGCTCCATGATATGATCCGGTCGTTTCACAGCTGCATCGACTAGTGAATTCCATAAATCGGAATCATCGTTTTCGCGACAAAAGTCAATTGCACTATCAATGCGACCAAGCTTATTTACAAGTAAATCTAAAGCTTTCATACGATTTCCACTTCTTCCCAGCAAATAAACCATCTGCAAATCATATCACTGCTAAAAAAAAAATCACCTGCTAGAGTTTTTGCTCGATAAAGCTGCTAATTTGTAATGATATTATGCTATGACCTAATACCAAGCTAACTAACTCCAGGCTTTAACTTGCTTACTCTAGCCTGTGAATTGAGCTTTGTCATATTACTACAATAACACTATTCGTACTATCTCTCAAGATGATCAAAAACTTAAAAACTAACAATTAAAGCATCAAATCAGTAAACCTCATTGATGTATTGCTTTTTTTCACAGATGTCAATGGCTTTTGCTATATCGTAGATTGCTGTTTTTCGGAGGAACGGTAAAAGAAGTTGTGGTTCATTTTCAGCATACAGTTTTATGGCAAAATCGATAAATTCTTCGCCTTCATTTCTCTCAAATAGTGTGTTCAAATATGCCAACTGAAATACGTTATTTTGTCTTGAATGATTATAATTTTTTGCTTTTTCAAATATTTTAAAAATTAAACATAAAAATAAGAGAAAAACAAACCTGCAATTTTGGGTACATTGCGAGCTGAGTTAGAATCGTTTTTGTTGGAAGACTTCCGGCATTTTCAATCAGCAATCGTATTGTCAGATTCGTATCGATAGCCATCAGTTTTGTTAAATCATTCTTAACCTGCGGCATAAAGATATAACTCAAGCATCCATGCCATCTGTTCTAGCCTTTTACTCTCGACTTGTATTTGTCAGATTTTATAACCTGCTCAGGATTCAGTTTTCGAGGGGATAAGGTAAATAACACACGAATATTCCTAAACATTCATTACTACAATGCTGTATTTTAAGAAACATTAAATTTTCCGAATGAAATTAGAATGGTTGATACACAGAGGATCGAAGAATTACCAGGTCGAAAAGGTGATACTTCTCGATGACCTGGAAAACAGTTTTATCGTTTAACATAATATAAAGCATCAAAGCTTTATCATACTTTCGTTCATACAGATAAAGACGAGCCAGTGATCGATAAATAGCTACGGCATCATTTTCTGATAGTGGATTTACATTATCATGTACAATCCGTTTCATTGCCATATCCGTTATTGCACCTAAACTATTATAAATTTTAATTTGAAGTGAGAATGTTCTTCTTCCTTCTGCATTCCTTATTCGGAAAACTTCACCGTAACCATAATGTGCATAAATAGACAGTAATGAGTAATTAAGATACCAACCTACTCGGAATAAATCCGGATTCCAAACTTTGATCAGGTTATAAAACAAAACTGGATGGTTATGTAATGCAGCAATCAGTACACACTGGTAACATTCCGGTTCCAGTTGGGGATCCCTTACTGGGAGATATTTTGCCAACTGAAGGACTACATTATTCTGTTCAAATTCATTTACATAATATTCCCACAGATCTTTCTGACGTCCACAGACCTTAAAAATCAAATTTTCAAACTGCTCAGATGATATTGAATAAAGTGGACGCATGTCTGTTTGTAAAACTCAAGGATATATTAATGAAAACTAGAGCAAATCGACTAAACATAAATAAATGGTAGCTAAACAGCTGAAATTATGGAATTTTTTATGAGAGAATATTCATACATGATCTAATAAGGAAACAACCTAAAATTAATAGAGAATGTCTTATTCTATATTAAAAACAAAAAAAGGAAGAACAGTGGAATGATGAAATGATTCACTTGGTAAGAATTTTTACTATCCTATAAATTAAGAATATACTTTTCATAATTGGAGATTCTCATAAAATTATGTAATAAATTCTAAACAAACTGCTTTAAGATTTGCCGCTGCTTCAGCGAAACGTTTCTGTTTAGTGAGAGAATTCAAATAGCGCTTTCCAATATCGACAGGATCTAAATGCTCAAGTTGAGCTTTGTGCTCATTTGCATATTGCATTGCATCACGAAGCAGGTCATTCTCCAAATACCATCGTACTCGGTCATCGGCCGAACATGGTTGAGCCTTTAACATTTATTTTGCTGCAGATAGTTGTAAGCAACTAGTTCTAGCCAATGTTCCTGTCACAATTGTTTAGTTGTTTACAATATTATCAATCAAATCACAATCCTATTAAGACTAGTATGCAGCTTAGTATCGTTGTGATGCTTTTACTCACAGATGCACCAACCAAAATGTCTTCAATGTCATCCTTGTACAATTTCAAACTATATCGATTTAAGAACGAAAAATTGTTTTTTAAAAAAAAAATCTGACCTCAATGAATTCCTGACAGCCAAGCAAAAAGTACACATTTTCATGTGGAACAGAAGACATATGGAACAAAGTCAGGTTGCCCTGATCACAAGTACACATTTCAATTCTATCTTCGGTGGTCAAACTAAATGTGCTTGAATCTTCAGGTTCCAATAATGCCAGTACCATCTCACATTCATTCTGCATAAGTTTGAAAATATTTTGCAAATGGATCACAACGGAAACATTTTAAGATAGGCTCTAATCAATAAATCAAATTTTCTTCACTCAGAAGTAAAGCTTTTTTTCTAGAATATGGTAGAAAGAAAATGAAGCAGTTATTCCTTCATTCATTCTAACTCTTTTTTAAAACAGATTATTTAAGACCACGACGTTATCAAATCTCAATTAAATAAACTCCTAATAAGATGTTTTAAATATTGTGAAAAGAAGTCATGAAAAAATAAAAAAAATGCACATTTTCAACGGCTGCCTTCTTCATTCCGAAAACTGTTATTTCCTTCCAGAAACAAGATTTATCATCACTAAGAGTGAACGAAATATCAGCTATATACATATCGAATTTCCAAGCATAATGCACTTCCACTTCTTTCTTTTCGATGGATGAAACTACCTTAACAACAAATTTATGAAAAGAGCTAAATCTAAACTTATTAAAAGCTTGAAAAAAAGAAGTGTAAAAACTTGCCTGTGAATCAGATGAACCGATAATCATACATATGGAAACAGTATCGTACCATCCGATTGCCAGAGTTTCATTGTTGATCCAACAGTGAGACGGACGAACTTTGATTGCAAATGTTGATTGTTTTTCATGTGTAGGTTGGACTAATGCAATTAACTGGTTCGCATTTCGGAAATAAAACAAAATTTTGAGCTTATCAAAAAGTCATAATAAAAAGGAGGTTAAAGTAACCTAATGAAAAATGATATTTTCTTCGATTGATCAATCATTATCAATAATTGAAATCATATAAAGATAGTTAACATCTGCAGATTCAATAAATAAAGTAAGACTAGAAAATCATCTACCACTTACTTATCAAATATCCTAGTTCCTGTTTCATTTGTAAAAGCAATGCAACAACCTTGCCAAGAAATTTGTGTAATTATTCCATCACAGTCCATACCTTCATATAATATCTGAACAAAGCAAGGTTACATTTAACTGAAGTAAAATACGAACAGTAGCAAAAGTACTTGTTTCTCGTTTGAATGACCATTTATGTTGAATTGCACAAATTAATAGAATTTTGAAAGGACTGTACGATCCAATCACGGACACAAACTACCGTATGATAATCAATGATACGTTTTGAGATACTCACTCTTATTGTGTTGTAGTGAATATTACTGATATAATGTTAAAAACTATTTGTACCCCCAACAATCGATAAAATTCAAAGGAAAAGAGCAGTTGTTAGGAAACAGAATTCATATAAAATGACCTACGAGTATGTACTTCGAAAATTATAATCATATAGACGACAACCTTTTCTCTGTAATTTCCGAAAAATGTTCGGTGATGCAGCAACAAATTCCGTTCCCCACTCACAAACATATGACCTGAACCACGTTTAGTGAAGTCCGGATCTATTGCTACCGATCGTGCAGCTATCTTTAAATCTATAATCTGCAATTACAACAATACAGCGTCTCATATAGTTTTAAACTTAAAGAGTACTGCTTACAGAAGGGGAGTAATATCCCAATATGTTAACCAGTGCTTTACAGTTATCACATGTTCTTTAACAGCAATAGCATTCTACTACCATTCCATATCATAGTATTAAACAAAGAAATAAAATTTTGAAAGTCTCTCTCGTGCTGCTTTTAAAATTAATTTTATTTTCAGAAAAAGATTTAGTGTTCTTCCAATACTGATAATTTTCTTAAAATTAATTAGGAATTCCGCTTAAAATGTACTCTATTTATGTTTTTCTTAAGGATTCGAAATACTTGCAAATAAATAATGCTCCCTCTCTAATAAATGACATATAAGATAGTGTGCTTTAAAATAAACAATATCCTAATAAATTTCAAGTAATAATATTGTAAGCAAAAACTAAAAAAAAAATTGTTCGTTAAACAATACTTGAGCAAATTCGAAGGAAGTAATTCCTGCAACACTGATTCGAGCATCCTGCGAACAACTGACAAAGTATGATCCGGTCGGATCAATCGATATTTTTGTAACGGGACATCGATGATGGCGTGCTGTCTAAATCTACGACTGCATAACATGCTAATTTTTTTTTTTTTTTTCATAAATTTCTCTTCTAAACTCACTTTATTTTGAAAAGCCAGAAATTTAAATCCCTGAACGAGTAGTTCTAATTTTACAAATATTTACAAAAATAGCAATTTCTGACATTTCGTTTAGTCTTTGCTCTGACACCTATAAAGTTTGTCTATCAAAGAAACAAATTTCATAGTAGAAAATTCCGATGTATTTTAAAGACATGCATAAGACGCATTCGTTTCATGGAAGTAAAATTTCAAATAAGCCAAATAATCTGCGAATTTTTGCTTTGAAATTTGACTGACGATTCATTTTTCGGCAATTCATACGGTACATGGAACGGAAGAATTAAAGCTAACACTTTCTGGATGTAAGCTTCCGAAATGATCAATGATATATACATTTCCGGAACGACTACCCAGTGCAGCGAACTTATCATGTATTGCCATACAAGTTGCCATATCCTTTCTCAGTATCTGGTAACATCAACAATAAGAAACATTTTGCCGTAGACATTTGCATAAGGTTCTTTACAAGCTCTGGTCGCATTCACTTTAAATTTATAGGATTCAGTTTCTTTCGTTGCATTTTTTTGCAGAATTCAGCAATGATCTTTTCCTCAAATTTCTTAAACCCTACTTTTCTTAAGAACAGCAACATGTGATACTTACTCCAGGCACATTATTCAAAATTCTGGAATATTTGAATCGTGGCTCCAGCAACATTTCCTCGATGTCAGATTCCATCCTATCACTCTTCTCATCCTCGTCAATTTGTTCTTGCATATGAGTGATGCTAGAGTTACAACTTCCAGTGACAGAGAAATGACTGGAAATAAATTTAAAAATTGAAATCTTTCCAAATAACAAATAACAGTAATACATTCGGTGTCCCATACCCATACTAGTAATCCAAGATTTCCAAATTAAATTACAAAATATTCTTAACACTCCACAAGCAAATATCGGGTTACGATATATCCCAGACTAATAAGTAACGATTGCAATCATAAATTTTTAAGCTTTAAATCGAATCATAAAAGCAAATTAAATCTGATTTTATAAATTTGAAAAAAAAAAAAAAAGGTTACAACCTTTGACCGACAATAATAACACTGATTGAAAGCTGTGATGCGAAGTTTTATTGTCCTAAGAGTTAAACATAACGAGAACACAGGTATATAACAATAATACATGTATACTTGGTTAACATACAATAAGTGAGCATAGCGAAATATTGGAAGGATGGAAGTAATTAAGGATGAAGGAAATATACTGAGTGAAGAAGCACAGCATTATAATGTATAAGGAAAATGTTGTTAAAATTATCATATGTAAGGAAGAAAATAATCCACACCTGTTCTATGATAGATAACATTCACCTCGTCATAACATCATAAAAATACTACTAGCTATCAACGAAGTCACCATCTTAGAAAAAGTATAGATTTTAGGAGTAGCAAAAATATGCATTTTTTTTTTTTTTTTGTTGTTTTAATTGCTACAAATAAGAGCCTTGGATATAAATTACTTTGAGGTGAATATGATTTATTTCTACTTCCGTCATTAATGGATGGACATTGGCAATTATTGGCATTTCCTTATTCTACTGCAAACAGTGTGTGAAAAAGAAGCTATTAAGTTAGAAAAGATCAGAAAAATAAGCAACATTAATTCATTTTTAAACAAAAGAATTTTTCAAAATATAAGGCACAGAAAATTTCACACGAGAATTTGATTAACAACTTGTCATCATAATCACTTGAAAATAAGATGCTTTTTTTTTTTTTTTTACATCAAATCCAAATAAAATCTTAGTACTGTTAGTTCTATTCCTAAAATAGTTAAGAAGAGAGAATAAAATAAAAATACTTTAAAACTCAAATAACAAAACTAATGCGGAACGGTGAAGTGAAGTTTTATTAATATTTTTTTTTTTTTGATAATTTTGGTGACAGGCTTTGGTTTTCAACACAATGTATTACAGTCGAAAACAATTACATTTTCTATTCTGAACCATTTCGATTCAAAAACTACGGAAGGTATTTTAAAAAAGATAAAGTAACTCAGACTAATGCAAATACAAAGGACATTTCAGTGAACTAACTTTTCTTTCTTAAATAACTATAGAGGAAAAGATTAAAAATAGTATGGCACTAGCAAATGTGACCACTGCACATGATAAATAAAACAAACCACTAATGAGTGGAAATAAATCCATAAATATTATGCACCAGTTTAACCATTCCAAAGTATTTGGAAATAATGCAGAAAAAAAATCATTTATAGCGGTGCATTATTTACCCAATAATAATAATACGAAAATATATTTTTGAATATTTTGTGCAAATTAAAGAAGTCACTAGTGCATAAGATAGATAAACAGTTTGACAAAGTTAGGTAAAGGTTTCTCGAGAAAATTTTATATTTTTAATTTTAATTTATTTTTAATTTTAATTTTATTCATTTTTAATCCATGCAATCTTCATGCGTTATTGTAAAAATTACAATAGATTCAGAAAATTTAGCTACTAAATTTTCAAAAAATTAACTTGATGTAACACCATTATTCAACGTTGCAGAAGATCAAAAAATTTTTTAAAAAAATGTAAGAACATGAATTTTTATAGGGATTTTTTCCTCTCGTTTTCCTCACTGTTTTCTGAAGAAACCTAATGCAGAAAAAAAAAAAAGCAAATGGGTTATTATTGTTTTACAACAAATAGTCCAGCAGATTTGTCATTGTAATAGCACATATACAAATGAGAAAAATGAGTACCTACAAATAATGGTGCAGATTTAGCACCTACAAATGCTTGGAGGATCCACTTTTGATGATTCGTTTTCTTGATTAAACTCATTATTTCTTTCAGCACATTTATGCAAAGTTATATCTACATTCCCAACATTTCTGCAGCTAATTGACGGTATTTGAAGGACTGGATCCGTGGAACTGTCATGTCTGAAATGTGAACTATAACTGATTATCAACGTTTCCCATTTCTTATATTGGATTAAAATTATCGAACATTTTCGTTTTATGTATACATAACTTTGCCCATCTTACTTTCAATTTTGCAACACAAGCAATCCTATTCCACAAAATCTTAATTCTTCATAAATAAAAATACTGCAATACCAGCTATCTTAATTTTCATCCAAATCCTTCCTCAGTTAGCTATAAATATTGAAATCAATTTTTCTACAAAATCACCTTCCACTAACAATGTGCAGCAATAAATCCTGCAAATTAAACAGAGTCCGTCCTACTCTTTTCGTGGTTATACCAAATGACCAACGAAGCTGCGATATATTTTTATTTAACAGCGATATGCCTTCTTCAAATTTTTCACGATTTCGTGTCATACCGTACAGAGGATATCTAAATACATGGACATTTTTAATGAACTACGATATAACACTTGTTTTTAAGTTTTTCCAATCAAAAACAAATACCAGCTATCAAATAAATTCACAGAAATGAAAAAACCCAGGCATCCATATCTGGAGGAAAGTTTAATTGCAAGTTATTAAAAAATAAGTGTTAATGATCAACTGAAGAAATAAAATAAACATAAACACCTACGTCTCCTCAAGTATTGGATCTTTTATTGTTGATTTTGAGCCAAAGAAAAACATGCCGTATTGATATGGAAAATTGTATATTCGAGAAAGTAAGGATAACGTCTGAACAACATACCCTACAGCAGCACTTACTTCTATATCGGAATGTCCTAAAAATGACATACCACATGACTATAATCATTTGATAGCTTAATAAATTTCCAACAAATAAATTAATTTGCACCAAATTTTCTTTCGCGACATTATTGTACCTCTAACATGAAATTAAAGAATTAACCAAGAAAAGATAAAGCATCCGGAAGATGAAGACCAGTAATACAGGCTATCGAATGACAAGCACACGATGAAGGCATCAAACGTGCTTTTGGTGATGTATTTAAATTAATGACATAAATATGCATCAGATCATCAACCATCTTCCTTCGACGCCAGGCCAGATGTGAAGCGATCAAGAGCAAATTATCTCTGATAAACAATATCAATGATTTCGCAAAATATCATGTATAAGTTATAGGATGTAAGCGTTTTTAATGTGTCAAGCAGATTCTGTTCAAAGCTATTAATAAGCAACTAATTCTTTCACTTATAAAGTTAATGGAACAGTTTATCACAAGCCAAATTGACCTACTTTAAACTTCTAAAGTTTGCACTATCATTCATCAAAAAAATTTCTCAAAGATCATACTTTGCCAAAGAAAGTGCTGCTTTCCGTTTTAATAAATCTTCTTGCATTTTTATAACTTCGTTTGATCGTTTATTAGTCATTACATCTGTAACAACATACTTGCAAATATTCAGCAAAGACGAAAGATTAGAAAGTATTTGTAAGCAAGCAGTAATTATTATTAGAATTACTCTTAAACTACTCCATAGTCTGGAGGTGATTCTGGCAAATTTATAATAACTTTTTGATTGAACCAGAGATTAGAAAATGAAAAAAAATTTTTTTTTATTTTTGCAATAAGTTCGACTTACAAAATCACTGTAATCATCCTACATCAACAAATATCTGTTAATTGTTTTAAAATACTGTTCATTCCTCAATTAGGACTGCTTCGATTTAAAAGTTTTGAGATGTCAGTAAGAATGAAAAAGTGATCTGGCTAACTGCCCAGTTTTAATATGATAATTCTTCAGCTAATCTCACGAATGATACGTAATACGAATAATCTTATTAAAAATTAAACACCTTTCTGGAATTTTTCGTCATTAAAATGAATTAATTTCATACGACACGTCATTATACGACATTTCTGCTTCTCTACATAATCTCGCAATGCTTGTAGTTCAACTTTTTCGCACTGTACTCGTTCGGCCTTAAATAACATTTAAGGATAAGCATTCCTGATAAAGTAAAATATCGAGTCGGAATTTTTCGAAATAAGAAATTCTAACCAGCTCACGGTACTCTTCCTCACTTGCCAACAGTACATCCAGTTTTTTTCGTTGAAATGCAACAATCTCCTGCGTTTCTTGCAATGTACGGCAAACATCACGCAACCTGCAACGGATATTTGTTACTCCATTATAGCTCTAGCATTTCACTCCAATTATCTTACTAATATCTTATCTGACCGCTATGCATTGCAACTGCATATTTTAATTTAAATCTGACTCAATGCAATACCTTCTCCAGCTGCTATATGTGTAGGATGGTACAAACTTGTCCTTTACAACATGTGAAGTTGACGCTTCATTTTCATTAGCTTTGGCAACCACTTTCTCACTTTTGAACGACTGGTTCATTTAACTTCAATAACAATCTCAAACAGAATTTTCCTTTTTAAATTAAAATTTAAAAAAAAAAAGCCTTCTATGTTAGGATCCTAAAACTTCCAGTTATCGTGATGCAATTGATTAAAACAATAATTATAAATGAATTAAAATAATTACAAGATGATCGACTGTTTTAAACATCACTTATACTAAATTACCAAGCTCTGCAATTATGGTTCTATACACATACAATTTTAAACAGCTACCATGGATTTCCAGTTATCATTCATGTATAAAATATATCAATTCATTTATTTATTCGAAAGAAGTCAAAACGACATGAAAACAAGAAAAGTAGAAAAGTAAATGCACAAAACAGAGAGTGATAATCAATTAAAAAATAATCATCACTGTAAATAACGAATGGACTGAAAAGAACGGTATGAACAGTTACAGGAATATTATATACAACTACACGACATAATTAATTATAATTATAAACTTTATTATGTCCGATGAAAATAAAATAAGATAGCAAAGTATTGGAAGCAATACTTCTAAAATTGGTTCTCAAGTCTTGCCACGCAATTCGTAATCACTTCGTCCATGAAACTTTTGGTATATCGTTGAATTCGGTTAGTTCACTCATTTGTTGATTGAACTTTTCAACTTTTTCACGATGACTTACAGCTGCTTTCCTCGCCAGCCGTTCGAACTATAAAAGCATAAACATTAAATTCTCCAGAGTTATTGTTCTGTTGCAAATAACAATAAAATGATTCATAAACTAAGAAACCAAGTGCGACAAAATGCAAAACCGTAAATTTGTTAAAAATGCCTCTGTAATACACACTGTATTACAGAAACATGTATAATATTTAGTGATACAAGATGAAAAATCCAATCACAGCGAACATTCCCATGTGTTTTTGCTACTGTAGCTGAGCAACTTGAAAAAAAAATTGTTAAATAAATTGAATAAATCAAGAAAACACAATTCTCGCCTGATTTTGCAACTGCCGCTTCTCAAATGCTATCTCTGCTGGTGTCTTATATGTAACTGTCGTATCGACATCTTTGTGGATAGTTATATCAATACTCTTCAGATCAACACTTTCTCTCTTCTGAAAATACGATTATTTTAGGCAATTAAGCAGAAATCACTGGCAAATTATTAGTCGCCTTCTTCACTAAACTTATAAAAGAAATATAACAGGAAGAATCTGTTTAGGTTATCCTCTATTACATTTATTTTGAGAATACCATTCTACTGAAAGGTTCCATTATTTATTATTTATTACAATAGTTTTACTCCGGAATATTAAAAGACAGATAATCCAGAAAGCTTTCTACAGCATTATTTTATGACATTACTTAAATCGCAGCACCTTCCTGCTCTTGCAATATCATTCCACGAATACCTATTTAAAAATAATGCCACCCTTAGTAAGTACTGCTTAAAAAAATGCACTATTTCAGAACTGTACTGTCATAAACTTTCAAATACAGAACTTGCCTTTTTCTTGAATTTTGATTTGCCTTTCTTCAATTTCAACCCACCTCGGACCACTTCCTTGTACGGATCATTATTATTACTACCAATGTTACCACTCATACCTGAGAAATTAATGTGTCAATATTCAGAAAAGAATGCTATGTTTAAGAGATGCATTGAAAGAGACAAAATAAACTGACAAAATAGCTTCACGCATGTACTAACTATATCGTAAATATTAAGTACAGCACTACTTTACATCTAATTAATACCTCCCAGTCAAAACTCTTAGCAAATGTCCCGGCACTTCTCGAGACCCACAACCTGACAGGTAGACTGCACCGGAGGAACCGAAAAGAAGGTAGCAACTGAAAGCTGGGCGGTCATACAACTATTTGCAACCTGAACACAAGCCTGTCACCTTGTTTGAGTCATACCGCGGTTGCAGTTGCTTACTGGGTGGCTTATCACTTCGAGTGATTAAAGTCATATATAAATATATATTGGAAATTATTTCAGAATTACTGCTTATACCGCTGCACCGAATATTCGAACCCGAATTTGAGAGTTTATATTACTTTGTTTTGGTTAGATGGTGGGCTAAAAACCAGGTACTAACTTAGGGGACTTCATGAACCAAGAATTAAAGGTGTTAAAGTGCAGAAAGTTGTCTGAGAGCGAAGTTCTTTACAGGTCTGAAATCAGAAAACACAAATATACAGTTAGTTTCTTCTTATCCAAGACCTTTCTAATGAAGAGAATGTTACTGATACCCTTCTTAATTTCGATCACTAGAAAATGATCAGTTCAAATTCATTTCAAAAAAATATTTACCGCATTTACTTTTTATTTATGAACCTTACCATTACTTCTAAATGGTTGAAAAATTGCTTAGAATAGAAACTGTTGGATAAAAATGATTTTGTTCGCATAATGATAATCATAGTGATTATTTCGATAATAGATTTTAGTTCCAACAAAAGATGAGTGCCAGATCTTTAATATGAAAAATTGATAAGAAATATGGGAGAGAAATTTTAAAGAACAGAAGGGAAACTTAATATTGAAGGGATTTACTCTTTTAAGCATGTTTTAATACAAAAAGATTTATTAGTTATTGATGCAATGGCTAAAAGCTAAAGAATGCCATGTATTACTTGTAAGAAATTCTTATGGAATCTCTGCAACTATTTTAATGCTCGTTTAAGTTGCAAATCTATTCGAGATCGAGAGTTTAGCCACAGACTTTATGTGCTATTTCATCTAGAGTAGTATTATTTTTAGTGATATTGAGAAGAAAACATTCTTAGGCTTTTATTACTTTGTCATGATCTAAAAATCAATGCCTCCGTATAAGAATTCAACTTGAAAGAGTTAGATGAACTCTTTTTTTATTTTATTTTAAGCTTGTCTTGTTTGATTTTATTTATTCGTTTCATATTTGTCAGTGGCGATCTGATGAAGAACTGAGTGCGAATAATGTTAGCTTCCGAGAGGGAGAGAGAGAGAGAGAGAGAGAGAGAGAGAGAGAGAGAGAGAATTGTCCTCAATTTTTGAGTGACTTGTGACTCGTCCATGTTACTGACACTGTGGAATAATCAGTTCAAATTGATTCGTTGCAGGAGAGAGATGAGTTGAAGAGAAGTTTCACTGTTATCAAAGAGTCTCGCAGTTGATAGCAAATAATTGTTTTGCAATGGAATCAATTTAGTGCTCCTCAAAGGTGACAATTCGTGGTGACAAAAGGTGACAATGGGTACTAGACACATCGAAATCTATCAGTTTTACCAAACAGTTCAAAGGCAAAAAAGTTTCACTGAAACAAACAAATTTTTTTACTGAAATCGATGATCTTTGTCGTGATGTGTAATTTAGATGAAATATATCTTTGAAATAATACTTCTGATTTTTAATACTGTTACAAAAACTAAAGATGGTGAGTTAGATAAATGCCATACCAGATCAGTCTGATTAGATATCAGACTAAACTATCAGTTCCAGTTCCGCATAGATCGATATGCCATAGTGTATCAGTGTGATGTTTTGTTTTAAAAGAAAGAAAGCGACAAATTTCAAGATTTCTTGATTTCGCTCCCTTATGTAATGTTATCTTAGCTCCGTCATAAGTTTTTGAAAATTTCGAGTTTCATTCAACTATAAAAAGCATTCATATGTTCTATTTTATTTTTACTAAAAGAAAGAGTATAGTTTTCAAGAGATACTTTCAACTTCATCACTCATCACTCAGAATGAAAAGTTCATATGAGTTGTCAACGATGCCGAGACATGACATTACGACTTAGAAGTATTCGTAGTGATGGATAACCAAGAATAAATGTTTGCAGCATCCATTTTAACGTATTATTTCGTGATATACGCAGCAGATTGCACAATTTTAGAGAATACATTGATTCGCCGAGATGTGCTATCAGTGCGAACAAGTTGGTTGCTATGAAGAACGATGGGAAACGTACGCCTAGAAGTTCCAAGAATTTTCCTGACACACCGAACTGACCGAACCAATGTGCATCATACCATGTCATCTAAACAGAATTTCATTAACGAGAAAATGAGATTTAGGAAGAGCTTCTTGTGGGTCGTTCATTTCTTGTGCATTGACTATTTTGCTTTCACAACAAAGAATTTCATGGCACTAAATTTTTGAATTTGCTAATATCACTTGCAAATGTGATTCAGGGAAGAAACGCATTCTGTTTTTTTGATCATTTTCTAACCTTTCTCAATATTATTACTTCCCAAATACCTGGTGCAATGAGGGCTTTCAAATGATTTGATAGAAAAGGACGGCACTTGATCGTTATCTACCAGAAAGATGGTAGTAGCAAAGTTTGACTTTAAAAATATAAGATAATCGTTTAAAGTCTAAAAAAAAGTCGTAAGAGTAAACATCTATGCTGAAAAATAAGAAAAGAGGTTTTACTAAACAGAAATAAAATAAGCTTACAAAATTAATCAAGAGAGCAACTGGTACGAGAATCCACCACATCAGATGAGGTGATTTGAAGAAATCGTTCATTGCTATTCGAATTTTGAAATTCAAAGTTTTATTCCGAGGATTCAGATATTTTTTTTAAAAAGTTCTGAAAAGATTAGAGGCATTCATGTTCAGTAAGAAATGCCTATTACTAACAAATGATGCATTAGTAAGCAAGCTATCAGGGGACAGTTAGTACGACAGGAAATTGTATTAATAGTGAAGCATGAAACTGTGGTATAATGAATAGGTTGAGTCGAGAATGACATGGCTTTTTTCTGCTCCTTCCTGAAATTTTCTCAATTTTAATACACTTTTAGTTAGAATGCATAGCAATACAACAACATGTCATCAGCCATCAGTATTTTCGGGATCGATGCTTGAAATGACTGATATTTATTTCCAACTTCTTAACCCGTAAAGAATGTGAACTAAGCTTCCCCTACTTTTCTCTTTATCAAAGGAATCCTGCGCTGCATATTGATAAGGGGAATTTCAGGAATTCCTTTCCGATTCCGTATAATCCGTTAGTACGGCGTGAAATGATCGATTAGATTACCACTCTCCATGCTTGCTATGCTTAGGTGTTCAATAAATAGTAAATAAAAAGTCCTCAATTTTTTACATTATTAATAGATGCCGCAGTGGACAAAAGTACCGCTGGAAGCAGTCGTCTTTTAGAGGTTACGATTGGAGTACCTCAGGACGTATAGAATAAATGGTAAAATGAAATACGGAAAGCTATCTCAAAATATGTTTTTTATCAAACAATAATTGAAAGACAGAATAATATAGAAAACGTACATAGTATGTTAGACAGCAAATGGAAATGATCGGAAAATAATCGAGACTTTTTGGTGGACAAATCGAATTTAGCCTTTTTTCCAAATTCACTTCTATTATGCTATTTTAAATTAACAGTATTTAACTTTGTAATAATTATGAATTTTTCTCTCTTTAATTTGACTAATTTGATTCATAGAATAATTTTTAGAAGCAAAATCCGTTTGTAAATTTTCACTTTTTTTTAGATATAATTCAATCTGTATTAGCCGGACAGGAGCGTTTTTTCATGTAATGCAATCTTTTTTATTACTGGAAGAGTATCGAAAACGATAAAGTTGAAGAAAAGAAATGAAACCAAAACAGAAAATTTGCATGAACCACCGAAATTTACAAGGAAACGAGAATTGCAATTGATCACAAACATGCAGTGCCCAAATTGCTAGCACGAGATTCGATGAAATGATTAACATTACCAGTGTTTGCAGCATGCTTTGCACATCACCTTGCATTATCAAATAACCGGTCTAAAATTAACGCTAAAATCAAGCAAAAAAAGAAACTAAAAGTGGAGAATTTGGATGAAAAAAACTGGAATTATGACTTTTCATTTTCTTGATTCATCAAATTTATTATCAGTTTATTTTTTTTTTTAAATAAATGGAGAGATAGTAAAATGAAATATGTGTGTAAAACCCACTTTATTCGCGATCATCTCAAGTCTATATGAATTTAAAAGCAATTTAAAAGTTTTGAAAAATTACCACTAATATGAGATAAGCGACAAAAAATACATATTTCTTGCCAGCGTCCATTTTTTTAAAGTAATCCGTTTTCTTGGCAATCGTTATCTCTTTCATTTCCACTTCTTCATGTTTTAGTGGTTCATATCGACAGTTCAGATATTCTCGACAGGCATTTTCCACACGTTCCGATAACAACCTGAGCGATCAGAATTAAGGTGTAATGGGCATAGCTTATAGTAATAATTAAGACTATCATTCATATCAAGTAATTGAACTGCTCACAACTCAGACGGTCTTCGTGAAACCGAAAGACTATTTCTCTATTCTTTCTGCATAGTCGCAATTAGCGCCATTAAGATCGCAAAAGCGTTAATAATCCATTAAAACGACCAACTACTTTTCTTCTATCTCATATTTTCTTTTTTTTCTTTTCTATTTCTTTCTTTATTCAATTGAAGTATGTCAACGAAATATTCTCACTTTTGTACTTAAATTTTAATTCATTTCAAAACTTCGTTCATTTGCATACGAAAAATATTCGAACATTTATTTATTTACCCTTTCAATTGTGCGATGATACTAATATAATGTGGCACGAATGCGATACTTTTCTCCCTCAGAATAGCATCTACAATTTGGCATGCACAGCGATCAACTGACATGAATGGCAACCATCTGCAACACCATCATATCGATGATATTTCTTTATGCACCAATAAACTTAAATGTATTACCTGTCGTTTTTGTCTCTCAGTCTTTATCCTCTGATCATATGAAGATGGTGAAGTTCACAAAAGAATTAAACAGACAATAAGCAACAACAATTCCTATAATAGTCAAAATTTCTAGAAATGATGGAAGATACACTTGATATCAGAATGTTAAGAAGGAGAAGCTTACATGGATGTGGGTCTCATTCCTAAATTCAGAATCATCGGTGTTCGTGTAAAGTACGGACATACTGTCGTGCATCGTATACCATTCAGACCTTTGTCTTTCATTTCCATTTGCAGACATTGCATTACACCTCTAATGGCAAATTTCGTACTGCTATAAATGGAATAACTATAAAACAATAATTTAGTGACATGATAATACCCAGTAGACTGTCAACAAAATGCTTCCGAATAAGGATCATATATGCTTATAATTAATCATCTTAATTAGATGATTAATAACTATTATTTGGATCAAACAACGAATAAAAAGTCCCATATAATATCTAAAAATTAAGATAACAGATGAACTCTTCTTTTGCGTGATTTCTTCCTAATACTTTATGCAAACTTGTGCATTTCACATATTCTTTGATTTAAACTTAATAATTACTAACTAACCAATATGCAATACCGTTCGTTTCACCGCAGAAACCAGCAATTGACGAAATTGCAACTATTTGTCCCTCATTTCGTTGTTCCATCGAACGAAGAAATGCTCGAATTGTCTGTAAAGGCGCACTTAGTACCAATCCATTATTAGATTTCACTTTCTTCATCCACTCCTTCCCACATTTTCATCCACCATATTTTGATGATCACTCGAATTCAGTCAGTGTTCTACTTAAAGAGAGTAAGTAATTAGCACAAATATGATTTTTGTTAGAGTTTGTAGCTGGAACACCGCTAATAATAAAGAGAAAAGTTAAAAAAGTGGATGTCCCCAGGACTGAAATACCGAAATACTAAAACTATTCGAACACTCACTGAGATATGTTTCTTGCTTGTAGCGTAGCTATAAGCGCCCAGTCCTTCAAATTTGTATTATACTTCGACTGCATCCATGTCTCTTGGAAGTTTCTTTTTAAATTCATTACTCTGCATGAAATAATTGTAAAGTGGACTAGCAGCTTCGATTGCTATACATCCTTCACCTCCAAGTCCCAAATTCTCAAAAAACTCCAAATTCTACAAAAGTCTATAAACAAACATTGATGGTGCCCATCACGTTGACATCGAGCGAGTTCTGCAGTTGAGCTGTCGTCAAATCCAGCATTCCTCCAATGTACAAAATGGCCGCATTGCAGACTACGATATCGACATTTCCTGAAATTCACTGAAATTTCCTGATTAGAACCATCGTTCAATCTACTGCTCTCTATCATGCTTTATCTACTGAATTGTCTCCCTTGCGCTCCTCATATCTCTTGCAAACGCCGATGCGTTCCATATTCCGTGTTCATCCGTTAACAGAACAGGAAGTAAGAGAGAACGCAAAATTAAAGTACTGTTTGAGGGAAAGAAACAGTAAAGACAGAGATCGGAAACAACGATAACAAACAAAGACCATACCAAATGTGAGGTCAATTTGTCGGGCGCATTCGTTCACTTCCTCCACCTGGCTTATGTCACATCTCCAGCAATGCGCAATACCGCCACCTCTAACAATGTTGTCCACTGTCTCTTGCGCACCATGCTACAATAGATATATACATAGCGCTCATTTATACTTTACCTTTCCTTTAGTTTCACCAGTAAGTTCCATGGAGAAATTGTTATGAGTCATACGGACATTAATGTCTAGCTGATGACTGATGATGAGAGGTGTCTGCTGACATAACCTTAGGTGACAGCTATCGAGTAGAGGCGACAGTTATCGAGTAGCTCAATTTTGATCTCAAAAAAGAGGACACAATGTGCGCAAATAAAAAGCAGCAAGTTTACTAAGAATTTGTTCTTCCAGCGAAAAAAAGTCAAGAATAGCCGAGATAGCACGATTTTTTTGCATTAATAGCAAATATGAAAGCACTGAGTGACTTTTAAAAGAAAATTTAAAAAAACACATTGCATATTATAATTGTAAAAATTTCATCTCAACCTTAATATCTGTACTTTCCTTAATATCTGTACTTTGTCTCAGAGCAATGATCGCAAAATACTTGGAGGATTAATTGTGGCCAAGTCACTAGTTATAAGAGCGATTACAGCAAGTTGAGAGCTATGAAGAATGGCTTACTTCGTTTATATCCAAAATAGCAACTTTGGCACCGAAACGGATGGCTAATAATTCAGCTAAACGTTTACCAATGCCGGATGCACCGCCTGTGATAACAACGGTGCGTCCATTTACAGACTTCAAACTGGATCTGATCCAGTACCAAAAGTCCAAAGGACCAGCCACAAAGAGTACATGCAGGAACATTCCAATACTACTGTAAAATCTCTCCTTGTAGGAAATTTTTGCCATTTTTCACACCTTCAATTAACAAGAACTGCGCAAAAGTCGTTCAGCATTCCTTCTTGATAATCAGTGAAAAACAATGAGAGACGTTGACAACAGAGAATATATAAGGGACTTGCGGCGATTTCACTCCAACAATGACAGAAGGATTGAATGGACAGATTTATCCCTTCTCTTTGTCACATCGTTTCGGGGACATTTTGAATGTGAATGAAAATGCAGATGTCATCTGTCGTAGCGCACAACGCAGACTCACTTTGCGTCGCATCATTCTGCACCGCTGTCATTGACATCGTTGACATCGGCATCTCTCTCTTTTTTTTGTATCATCGATTCTCTAAATCAGGTCAGCAACCGTTTCTATTTCGCAGAACACTTTTGAAATCTTTATCATCCTCTCAACTTTTAGTATTATGCATTCTGTTGTCTGTTGAGTCATATTTTCCGAACAAACTATTTCAGATTTTATATAATTCTCTTTAATCCTTCATGAAAACATTAAACTCTCTTTTGCATTATTATCTGAATTAAACTGAATAAAACTTAGAATTTTTCTAAAAGCAAAAATTTACTTCTTCATCTTTCGAATTGATCATTTCAAAATGGACAAAAGCATTATAATTTACTTCTGCATTTATTACATGAAAGATGGAATGCGATGGTTAAACCGGACGACAGGGATGACTCATCTATTTGTACTTACGTTATGGTTGAGAGAGACAAGGGACTTAGCTTATGAGCTCATTTCAACTGATCAGACAGTCTCTGTTTACATCTGGAAGAGTGTGTCGAAACTAAAGAAAAAAAAAAAAAGAACAAAGTTTTGACTTGAATTAACTTTCAAACCAGAAACAGGAAGAAAGAGGCGACCACATTCATCACAGATTTCTACACAACAACAACAACTATGAATGATTGGGAGTGATCTGTATCAAATCAGTACAAACTTATATCACAATATGCTGCACTGTTACAGTGTACAGTGAACTTATGTTCCAATTAAACAAAAATACAGACAATAAGTTCCAACTTCTCTGATGTCAACTTATCAAGTAAAGTAATTTGGTAGCGGAATGCTTTGAAGACGTGACCTTTACGTGATGCACTGCAAGGTCACACAGATAAGTAACTGATAGCGGTGACATGAGTTCTCCAAGCTTATACACTATCAACGATACAATGACAACACACCGCGGTGCTTTCAAGTCATCATTGTTTTCATACTGTACCACCAGAATGGAATCAGACACGTCTGGTCCGTAATGCAACGAGACTGTTGCTTGATTTCAAATTTGAAGCAGTGGCCGTAGATTCAGTGATGACAAGTCTATTAGACTCGGAGCGAAAAGTGGAAATTGTTAGTTGATTTGTTTTGATTCTGAAATGACATAACAGTGGTAGAGGTAATTATAATGCATCTCTTTCAAGTAATAAGCCAAATGTTATAATGGATGATAGTTTCATTTAGTTCTTATCAAGAAAGTAAGATCAGTAATAGTTTGCGTAACTTCCAATTTTATAGTGTTATTGGGGGCTTTCCATCTTTTTCCTTGCTAAGATAATTTGCTTCTATCATATTTTTATTTTGAAGTAACTTTCAATTTTTCTTAGTAACTTAACGTGTTAAATAATTTTACAAAATTTTCTAGAGTTTTTAGTTTTTTTCTCACTAACTGTACCTCTTTTCCAGTTAGATGTGGATTCGTTCCGTTCAGACCCGTCAAATTTAACAGTGATATTATATGAAGAAGATCATACTATTGGCAATTCACTGAAACATGTCTTGTGCAAAATGTATGCTTATTGTTGCGTATTCGTTATTCAGCATTAAACTGGCATAGAGTAGAAACAAAGCTGCAATAAAAATTTTATTGCAGCTTATATATATGTCATTATTCTTTCATCTTTTAGTTTTGGTTATTTAGTGATCTTTTCATTGATTTAATTTATAGATTTGATTTTTGATAAGTTTGATTCTGAAAGGGATGGGCGCAGTATACTATGTGGGAAGTAGAAGAAAAGGTATGAAAATGATCTTTTAGATGACAAGTAATTCTTGATGGATTTACAAGAAAAGAGTCGAATATAATGTTTCACGTACATTTTTTAACTGCTGCTAAGAAAATGTTTTTAGGCGAGATGTTGAGTTCTGTGGTTACAATGTGCCCCATCCTTTGGAAGATAAAATCCTAATCCGTTTGCAAACGAAACGTGGAGTGTCAGCAGCCAGTATGCTTATGAAAGGTTTTGAAGAATTGGAATGTATTTTTGCTTCAATAAGGCAAAAATTTGATAGCTCTTATGCTTTATATACAACGAATACTGAAGACTAGAATGGATTCAACTTGTCAGGAACGAAATCATGATTCTTTGCAAATAGGAATTGCTATTTCGTTGTGTGTTAGTTTTTCCTTGCTGTTATATGATCTCTTTGTTAGTTGCATAAAAGGAGTTGGTCATACAGAAATTTGTGCCGATTTTATTTAAAGTTTAGCCAAATATTTCCTGTTTACATGGTATTGTGTAGCACTATTCTGTTTTATCTGCGAATTTTTCTTGATTTAAGTGATTAGTGCTTGTTTGTTAAATAGAAATTTGTTGATCATGCATGTAAGATTTTGTTTGATTGGATTTTCGGATTAAAAATTTTTAAATAAAATATGTATGTTTTATCCTTATTGCTCGTCAGTGTATTTGTTGCCTTCTCAGGTGTTTTATACTTTATATTTTGAGCGATATTTCTGGTTGATAAAAGAGTAAGGTATTCTTACTTTAGAATTTTACCTATTCGGAACAAAATGATGGTGAAGCACACATTGATTGACTGGTACATTAAATAGTCAATAGAAGTTTGATAAGCGTGAAACTCAATTTTATTAATGACAGGTATGCCGAGTGAAATAATTGCTGTACAATTTGGTCAATGTGGAAATCAAATAGGTGACGCATTTTGGCGTGCCTTATGTGCCGAACACGGTATTGCATCGAACGGTGTGCCTATACAAAGTGATCTTGATGCGAAGGACTTGAAGCGTGTTTTCTTTTATCAGGTGTACCTATGAGAAGATACTAAAGCATCTATATCATTCAGTGTGTCGAATCATCTACTCAAAGTTTTTTGATTTTCCTCACGATCTTTTTTTTGGATCAAATTGGTCGAGTAACTATTCAGAACGTTGAAATTTATATTGATAATGATAGGCGGACGACGAGCGTTATGTTCCACGTGCTGTTTTGGTAGACTTGGAACCACGTGTTATCAATGGTATTATCACTTCTGACTATCGTACATTGTACAATATGGAAAATATCTTTATGTCGAAAAGTGGTGGTGGTGCGGGAAATAATTTTGCTAGTGGCTACAAGCAAGGAAGGTAAGATTTCTTCATTTTTCTGAAAGATGAAGGAAAATACTGAAAATGTTAGGTATAGTAGGTATTCTTTCTGTGGTATTTGCTGAAGTTTTTGGATTACATTTTGTGTCTTATTTTGGAACTGTCCTGTTTGCTTTTCCTTCTGCATGCAGCCAAGAAATTAAATGGACGAGGATTTCTTTTTTTTATTTAATATTTTTGTCAGTTCTGAATTTGCAACATTTGTGAAGCAAACGAAGTTACTTGTACAAAAAGAGAAAAAACCACTGAATTGTTTGTCGTATAATATTCGGAAATGAGATATTTCATTTATCAAATTTCTGATTGAAAGAAGAAATACTAACTGTATAAAACAGAATGTTGTAAGGGAAGCACAAGAAGCGTTGTTTGATATCCTTGAACGAGAAGCAGAAAACAGTGATTATCTGGAAGGATTCATGTTATGTCACGCCATAGCTGGTGGTACTGGCTCAGGAATGGGATCTCATGCGCTGGAAAAAATAAGTGATAGGTTTCGTTTCTTATAATTAATGTTAGGTAGAAACTGTATTGGTATTATAGTTAATAATATAAAAATGTTTGGTGGGAAAGACAGCTTGTTTTGAAGTTGTTTCATATGGATTTTGCAGATTCCCGAAGAAATTAGTGCAAACCTACTCAGTTTTCCCAGTGATGAAGAAAGGTGAAGCTAGTGATGTGGTGGTACAACCATATAATTCTATTTTGACCTTGGCTCGGTTAATTGAACATCCAAATTGTGTAGTTGTTCTGGATAATACAGCTCTTCATCGGATTGCAAGTGAAAATGCACCAGATAGTAATTCATCATTTTCTCACATAAATTCCATGGTAATTCAGTAAAAAATATGGAACTGCTCAGCTTTATATCTTATTAAGTTGTCTGCTATACAAGATATCCTTAGCAACGACCCTTTTTTAAATAAGCCTACTAATCGCATGTTACGGTCACACATAAACAAAAATTTTGAAATTGGAATTTATGCAGGTTTCACGAATTATGTGCGCATCAACAGCTACTCTACGGTTTCCTGGTGCAATGAATACTCGACTGATTAATCTAATTGCTCCACTGGCTGCATATCCACCAATGCGTTTTATCCAGACAGGTTGTCTTTATTTGCGTGCAATTCGTTTTCAATCTCATCTTATTAAAATTTTTTCATTTCAAGTTTATTTCATATTTTAGTATTACTCCATCTCATCCTTTAATTGAGTTCGTTTTTGGTATATCCTTTGTTGGTTGTTATCAGACAACTGTTTTGGTTTTTTAACAAAAACATATCTGCATATCGTTCTTTAGGTTTTACACCACTTCGTGAAGGTGATGCTACGGTGATGAAAACTTCAGTTGGTGATGTGCTTCGACGCTTGCTACAATCAAAAAGTATGATGAGCAGCGCTGTAATGGAAAAAGGAGTTGATCATTGTATGTTGTCGGCGTTGGCTATTCTGCAGGGTAGAATTGATCCAACTGAAATTTATTCATCACTGGCAAAGATTAAAGAAAGACGTGATATAAAGTAAGCTCTTGCTCCAAAGCCTTTTGCTCCACTCTATCAATTATTTTATTTCTTTGCATTTTTAAGCTTCAAATAGTTTTTTCAGCGAGTGAATTAAATGGTCTGAATAAAGGGACATTGTTTTAGACATCCATGCATTACTATCCGCAACTGCATTACATTAAATAATAGGATTTGCTGATGCTTTCATTAATTTCATAATGTTTCTTCAAGAAAAATAGTTCAAAAAAGGTACGTAATGTTTCAGGTTTGCGCCATGGGGTTCAGGTTCATTAAATATAACTCAATGTCGTCGCTCGCCTTATTTACCAGTAACAAATAGAGTTTCCGGACTGATGCTTTGTAATCACACAAATGCAGCTAGTCTTTTTCAAGAGAGTTTGAATCAGTGCGAAACACTCCTCAAAAAGAAAGCATATTTGGATCAATTCTTAAAAGTGAGAATTATTTTCTGAACAGTCTGCAAAAGCTTCGTATTTTCGGTGCAGTTATATTGGAAGTTTTTCATGAAGACTAACATAGCTCGGACTGTCATATTTGCCCACTTAGCATTCATTCTTTATCTCTTTATTTTCATCGTAAAAAGCGAAATATTTAGAATTAGACCACTGAAAATTTGTTAGTGATGCATTGTTCAATATGAGGTTTTCAGGAAGATCCAGATATTATGGCTATGTTGAGTGATGCTGTTGAACGTGTCAGAGAAACTGTCCAAACTTACAGAAATGCAACAAAGCCCGACTTCATAGAAATAAATTGAGATTTTATTCTCCATAAATCAGGATTTTTATCAGGAAGCGAAGCATCTGCATTTGTTATTAGTTAATGACTAAGATAAAAAAAAATACTGTAGAAGGGATATGGATGATTTCTTCCAGGTTTTTTTCCCACTACCAAAATAGTTGAAATAAGTAAGGTGTGGAGAGGCATATGGTACTTCATGGGTTCATACCTATCACTTGAAATTAGAGTTTTCAATCTTTACCCAACTATTTATTTAACTATTACTGAGTTTTTCTTTAATGAGTTAACTTTATTTTGATGGTTTCTTACTTGGTTAAATCATCAGTTTTGTACAGTATCCTTCTTACATTCTTTTCGTTTACATAAGAAATGATCTCTATATGATAACAAAGATTATGTGTTTTGTGTTTAATATGGTTTAAATTGATTTGATAAGCATTTATAGAATAATGATTATATAGGATTATACATAGGCTATTTTAGACTCTTTTTTTTTTTTTTGTTTTAGTGTTATCCTTAGATAAAAAGATCTCCAAATGCCTCTGGACTTTGCTTATTCCTCTACTGCTTTATAATTTAATTCTTCTCAAAAGTGATATACGAAAAGTTTTTCCCTGGCTTTTCCTGGATATTTGCGCAAAAGCCGTCGTTTCTGCATTTCTCCTACGGGATTCTGAATCCTAAATTTGGTTCAACATGCGTGAGTTTTGAAGGTTTTAAAAGCTGAGAGTGTCCTATCCTATTTCAACATCTTTCAGTAGAAATACTATCCTTTAAAAGTTTAATTTGATATAACCGACCACAAGATGAGATAAAAAGTAGTTTCAAATTTGCATTGGCAATTTCAATTTTGGCAATGTAGTTTCTTTCTTATTTATTTATTTATTTGGAATAAAAAATGCACGTAGCTGTAACGACCTATTGACGGAGATTCAAGACTTGCTTATTGCCGAATTTCTTATTTCGCTTTGTTCTTCAGTCGAAGGACTTAACGGCGGACTACAAAAAACAAAAACAGTAGAGAATTTATAAATAGTTTTCGATTAATTTTGTTCTTTCAGTAAAATTTTCCGATCTACCATCAGTTACTTTAATTATCTAATCATTTGTTATAGTGATTGGATATTATTTTATTGAAACATGCGAGTATTACCGTGTTCTAAAATCTGATTGGGCTGTAGTTTAGATGCATTAAAAGATCTGAACTGGAAGTCTAGTGATTTGTTACTCACTCTGTGTTTTGATGTGTGTGATATCTTCATCAATTCCGAAAGTTATAGACGGAAATTATTTGAGTTACCTGGTTTCCGGCGTTCGTGGTATTCCTTCGTTAATTTTTAAATCTTCCGGGGTATACTTCCCGTTGAGTTTCAAACACTTACAGATGCCAAAGAAATCGAAAGTAGATGTACTAGAAAGTTTAATGTATATGTGAAGCAGAACCATACTTTTGTGGATTAGGACTGGACAATTTTCTTGCCGAATTCGTGCAGATGAAAGGGAATTCAAGAGTTCAACCATCGAAGAATTAGTCCCCATCCTATGATTTGGTCGCACTTTTGAGGAGCAAAATATGAAAGCCAATTTCTGGGGCTTTTAAGAAACATGAAACAATTATTCCCTTCAAGCTTCCCGATCCTTGTTTATTCAAGAAACATTTTTATGAAGGAAAACTTTGGAACAAAAGGAGGGAAAGTACCTACTCAAAAGAATTAAGCATGTTGGAGACGTTAAGAAGCGCTTTCAAAGCTCTCGTTAGTTTCTCGCCATGTAAGCGGTACCAGTCTCGAGTTGACATTCCCACAATAAACGTTAAGATGCCCAACAAAATTTGCTTCATCTCTGCATTTCGTACCGCATGCCACACAAAACAATTTAGCAGCAGACTGTATTTCGAGAATTGCTGCTTAATGAAAGTTGACAGAACAATGATATCTCAATTTCAATTTTAATTTTGAGACAGTGCTATATGATCGAATCTAAGAATAAAAAAAGCTAACCAAATAAATCCTAAACTAAGAAGTACTGCTACTGTTGCAAGCAAACGAGCTTCAACAATTTGCTTTTTCCTAAAAAAAACTAAGTTAGTTCTCGTTCTTTTGCTCAGAGAGTTTGGTTTAAGTTTCGTTATATTTCCAGATATTAACAAATTCCATATTCTACCAGCTACTTAACAAACTTTAGATGATAATAATAGATGTATCGGAATTTCAAATTGGGATAAACCTCTGAAAGTTCATTATTGATGTTCCGGTAAAAATACGGATACGGATACGAATCGGAGTAGTCGTTAGAGTGATCAGTGGTAATAATGTCATTGTAAAAGATGAGAGGAAATTTTATTGATGAGAGGTTGGTGCTGAATTCCCAGTAACCTTCAACCTCAAGGATATTTCACTAGTTCAAAAGCTTTACCGACAGTCCGGCAGGTGTTAATAAGTATTCTCAGCTTACATATCTGCTAACGATGTCGATGACTTGCTTTGCATATCCGGTTCAGAAGCTGCTCCTTCAAGAACTGCTACATCTGATGTCGTCAAGTTTAGCTTTACATGGCCACTAAATTCACACATTCATCTCAATTTTACAAATTATTGAATTTAAAGTACATTCGCAGCCAAATTGTCGCTATTGCTGCACGTTTGGACGTGGTAACGATACTGAATAATTTTATTCCGGAATAAATTTACCTGGACCGGTTTTATGAAGACGAATTGCTTCTATAGTTTCTGAGAATCTACTCAGAAAGAAGAATAGCTTATGTGTCTATAAAATATATGATGAAACGATGTCCGGAAATTAGCATTAATATGTAATATTACCTATCAGGAAACTCATAATCCGGAATGTCTCGTTCATCTTTCACATAAGCGGTGGCTATTGCTTTACCAACCTTTCCGTTTTTCGCCATAATAAACAATGTGTCCTCTTCCAAATTACTCTTACACTTGCAGTGGTTAAATTTAAACAGAGAATTTGCATATTTACACGAGTATAATTGCTATTTCCGGCTTGCAGTATTCCGGATGCAGCTATGTATAATCTGTCCGATATTGTGATGCTTAGGTCAAACAAACTAACACAGCCGGAAGAGACTATTCTTCGTTTCCGTTCTCGATGTATCCTTCGAAGGTACTCAGTTTAACATTTAACATTTATCTCAAACACTCCTGCGTCTTTACAAATTCCTTTTGTCAGAATTTTTCAATTAAATTACAGTAATTTGCATAATTTCTAATCTCTAAAAAAACTGTAATTTGCCGACAATTAATTACGTCAGTCTGTCAGGTAGATTTACATCACACCGTCATCCGGAAAACAACCTCTTCTCGACCTCTGCGAGATTTTTTGCATTGACAAAAGACATTTCTTTAGCTATTTGTGCCCGGCTCCTGTGAGGTCACTGCAAAATGACTACTCTCAGTGGTTTATTGTCGTGTTAACCGGTTTTACTGGTTAATTATCCTAATTTGTCACCTTTATTACCTGAAGGTTTTCATGCTTACCTTTTCTTGGTACCTTTCGGAATAAGATGAAAAGATCTCAGACAAAATATTTTTTTTTATTACTAAGCAAATACTCGTTTTAGAAATTCCATGTAACTGTGAGAAATTTTCCAAAATCTCCACTTTATCACTTTATCTACAGATTATCAATGATTTATGCTAATGATTAACTCTTTTCTGATAATTCTCAGACATTTAGCTTACATTTTAATCGATCGTTCAGTTTTATTCCTTAAGATAAAACAATGGTACGAGTATTCGTTAAGTGGGGAAAGGAACGATTCGAAGTGGAAGCAAATACGAACGATTCACCGCTTCAACTAAAATCACAACTGTTTTCCTTAACAGGTGTGAATCCGGATCGGCAAAAAGTGCTCATTAAAGTAAGTCAAATTTTTTGTAAAGTCAGCTTACTATTTTATGAATACTTGCGAGTTGGGATATTTTTTATTATCCTTATTATAGTATATTTTTAAATATTTTTTATTACATTTTTTTTTTTATTATACTATATTTAATTTTTTTTTTTTTTTTTGAGATATACAAGTGTTTATGTATGAAGAATTATATAAATTTATACACATTATATTGAATTTAGATGTTTTAAGCGTTACTTTTTTTTTTTTTTAAACAGAATATGTTGCATTAGATTGTTAAGTTGCATTTGACTTTAATGTAACTTAGAGTTAATTGTAATCTTTTGTGGTTACCTTTACTATGTCATTTAATTTTGTTGTATTTTTATGTTTAAAAATTTCATTTTTTTATTGGTTCTTTTATTGCTGAATGCTTTATCCTTTGTTGTACAATGAAAGCAACTTCCTTAGTTTTCAAATGAATATGAAAATATGTGAGAACGTAAAAAATGTTGAATAGCATCATTTTATGTTTAAACTTATGTCTATGACATTGGACACTCATTTTTCATGAAATGGTAGAACATTTTTGATGATTCATTTTTATAATACTTGCAGGGTAAAATTCTTGGTGATAACAGCTGGGATGGTTGTGAGTTGAAAGATGGTATGATAATGATGATGATTGGTAGTGGGGGCGTAGTCCCGCCACCTCCACCAATTAGCAGTCTTGAAGAAAGCTTTGATGGTATGGAAGCTGAGGTACTTTTTTTTTTCATCTTTTTTGTGGATGGAGTCATTTACTACTTGAATCTTATTTTTAAATTTAACCCTAGAATTTTATTTAGTCAATTAAGAAAAGGAAATGATTACTTGCTGATGTTCTTAGTGGTTTTTTATGTTTTCAGACGTCAAATTCAATCATTCTACCAACAGGTTTGAAGAATCTAGGCAATACATGTTACCTGAATGCAACTTTGCAGTGTTTCAAGGTAATATCGCTTGTCTGTTGTTTAAAACTAAAATTGCTTTTTGAAAGTGCATTTTAACATTTTACATATGCCCAGTTTAGGTAATACCAGAACTAAGGGAAGCGTTAAGCAAATATTCTGAATCAATTCAAAGTTCATCCGTTGATGGTGAGGGTGGCTCGAAAGCTCTTACAGCTGCTGTTCGTGACTTGTATCGGATGATGGACAATCAAAAGTCAAAAAGCTTTGGCGGTGTTATTCCACTTATTATGATACAGGTGAGTTTAACGATCGATTATACAAATTGTCGAAGTGGCTTTTTTCCTTCAGTAAACAGTTCATTTTTTAAGTTGTAGGCCCAACTGTTTTAGCAGTGCAATTGATACTCTCTCAGGCTACGGTGTAATATATTGAGATTTTGAATGGAGTTTGTAGGGATAGTAATTATCGGTTATCTGTTAAAGGTAGTACATAATGTCCTTCCACAATTTGCGGCTAGAGATGAACATGGATGGATGCAACAGGATGCAAATGAGTGCTGGACTGAGCTACTTCGGGCTTTTCAGACTCAACTGAAAGTTGCAGGTTTTTAATTTTCTGTCTTTTGCTAAAAGCATAGCTAATTACCATAATTTTCAATTTCCATTGAGTGAGAGTAATAAGCTTGTAAAAATGTTTTCATGTCTGGAAATCTTAGTAGTAAGCCAAAAATGCATTATCTTTTGGTTCAGTGCTACGGTTGAAATATATTGCTTCTGGCTAAAATTTCTTAACCAGTTGGTTTGATATTTGATATATTATTTTCTTCGTATAGATTCCGAGTCATCTTCAAAGGATGATTTGGCATCCATAATTTCAAGATATATGGAAGGTAGGTTCAAGATTGAAATGAAGAATCTGGAATCCGATGTCGAACCTGTTAGTGTCACAAATGAAACTTTTCTGCAGGTCTTTTTTTTTTTTCTCAATCTTTGTTCCCTTTTTTGAAGGAAGAGATGAGAGATGATTTATTAGTTCATCTAATTTTAAAATAAGATGTTTCATTATCAAATTTTTATAAAAATTCCATTTCAGCTAAGTTGTTTCCTTAGCCAAGAAGTTAAGTATGTGCAACTCGGCATTAAAGGTAAACTGACGGAGGAAATTATCAAAAAGTCAGCAGTGCTTGGACGTGACGCTAGATATGAGAAGAAGACTTTGATCGATCGTCTTCCGGCTTATCTCTCAATACAGATGGTTCGGTTTTTCTACAAGGAAAAGGATAAGGTAAGTCCAACTGCTTTTTTTTTTTTGAATTTGTTTGTTACAGTTTGATTGCTTTGAATATTCCCAGTGCCTTGAACGTAGACAATTCCCATGTGGTTTAAAAGGAATTCCTCTATAGAATCTTGACCATTTAAGATTTGCAGTTGGTTTTTACATTAAATTGATTTGGATGCGTCATGCTTTTGTACTGTACTCAGTCACAGTTGTTTTAGGTCAATGCAAAGATTTTAAAAGACGTTAAATTTCCCCTCATTCTCGATTTGTACGACATGTGCACTCCCGAATTACAGCAGGAGTTATTGCCGGCACGGGATGCTTTTAAAGTAACATTTTTTCTATATGTTATGAAAATATTTCCATATTTAGTCTCTTTGTTTTTGATACTATCGAATATATCTGTACGAATTTTTTTCTGTCTAAGTTTTAGAAGATGATTTTTCTCTGAACATCGCATGTATACAAGATATATCGAAAATTTTCAAATATTCTCTGCATTGCTTCTAAAATACATTTTGGATAATTTTTGAAGACATTCTTTATGTAATTATGTGCTTCTGTCTTGCAGGAGGAGGAGGACAAAAAAGTTGAAAAACTAAGAGCAACAAAAACTTCTGATGAGATAACTCATCCTTCCAGACCGGATGAGGATGAGAAAATCGAAAAAGCTTTTCCTTTTAGTTTTAGTAATGATCCTGGATCAAATAATAGTGGATATTATGAATTGCAAGTTGGTCTATACATCTTCGATTTATTTTAAAATATCTCCGTAGTTTCATCATTGAATAGTGCCAAAATCCAGATTTAACTTTTCGGAAAATGCTGGTAATATTGGTATCACATAATTCCTATTAACTCATTTCCCTGTTGGTAGTTTGCCTTAAAATAATTCTGGCAATGAATAAAGTCTCTTTAGTGATATGTGATCCTTATTAATAAAGTAGTTGCCAAAATATTCATCCTTGAAATCTTCCATGTAGTACTAGCGTTTGAATTATCTGCTTTAGGGAGTTATAACACACAAAGGTCGTTCATCCAGTAGTGGACATTATGTCGCATGGGTTCGCGTGAAAGAAAATCATTGGGCAATGTGTGACGATGATGAAGTAAATTACTCAATTTACATCAGTGTTATCTTTTTCCAAATAGCGGCACTTTATTTTCTTATGATAATATAAGTTTTCGAACTTTTATTATACGGGTTTACAGGTACATCCAGTCAGTACAGAAGATATTTTGAAGTTATCAGGTGGTGGTGATTGGCACTGTGCATACGTGTTACTTTATGGTCCAAGAATATTGAAGAAATAAAGTTCGCATTGTTTTTAAATTTTGTATTTGTCAATCATACATAGGCATTTTAAACTTTTTTTTCAGACGGATTTTATGCTTAATACTTGGTATATGAAATACACCATTGTATTAGCGTTTGTTGAACGGTCAGCATGCATTTTCTGTGTTGTCGTTTGTGTTATTTCGTTTAATACTTTGTTGAAATGTTAAAATGCATTTAGAAAGGCTCAAAGATAAGAATGCCAGCTAAATTTATAGGAATAATTGCGTACGATAAGCCAATAATCTTCTATGTTCGGTATTTGTATACAGCTTTTCCAACTCTTCGGTTCATCTATAAAGATTTCTAGACAACTAGTGAATATGAAAAAATCTACTTTTTATTCATAATGTAATGTAGTAGTAAAATCTCATAAGCATTACTAGTGAAGCAGTTTGTTTTCTTTCTGTAGTTTATGTAAGCCATACAAATTTCTTATTTCTTTTAAATTTTCCCCTGTGATTTTTCAGGAAGAACTTTTCTTGTTGACGATGTTAATTTAATATGGACTTATTTGAAGTATGCGGCAATTCTTTTGGGATAATAATTTCTTATGTATTTTTAATTGCATATCTGTTGCTATAAAGTTTTTCTTCTATCTATTATCTTTTGAAATAGTTGTAAAAAGATGAAGACGAAGTATTAGTCGTATTCCTTTGACATTTCATAATTCCTACATCAATTAACAGTGTAAAGCAAAGAGAGTTCTCTCCGTCAGATTGGTTTAAAATATAAGGATGCAGGTATTGTCTTTGTCATTCAATGACAATTTTGAGTCTGGGACGTTCTGATTCGATATAGTCCTTTAGATAGGAATTAAGTAACATTATTTTATTGATTATATCGAATTAGGAAGAGACATTTCTGATATCCTTTCAAGCTGGTGCCTGCTTGTTGGCAGTAAATTTTTTTGTAGTATTAGGTTCTTATTTTTGCTAGAGCGACTTTTTGTATTTCAGTCCGAATTGTTTTATCTATCATATTCCGATAAAGTTAAAGTTAGACCAGAGTCGTAGTTTCTAATTTCAGCTTATATTTATTGGGAAAAAGAAAATAGCATTTGGTATTATGTGGTTTGATTTGAATGTGAACGAAAAAAAAACTTGGTGGCATAGTTTGGCAAAATATTTTCTTACGCTTGGTCCGATTCCGGAACATATTGCTTTCATTATGGACGGTAATCGACGATATGCTCGCAGACAACGGTATTCGTCGTTTGCCGAAGGTCATCGCAAGGGTTTTGATAAGTTAACAAAAGTAGGGATTTAACATCTTTTATTCTCTACATTACTGATTACAATCAAAGCTCATATTGTTTAGCCCAGTTTAGAAAATTATAAAGTATGCATGTGATTTAAAAATATTGCGACAAAATTGTTCTTGCAGGTAATGCAGTGGTGTCGAGAATTTGGTGTAAAAGAAGTGACCGTGTATGCGCTTAGTTTAGAAAATTTTAAGCGAAGCAGAACTGAAGTTGACGACTTGATGACATTATTCGAGCATAAACTTTTACAGCTTCTTGATGAAAGTTTAGTACTTCCTCATATAAAATTGAAAACATTCTTTGTAAGTAGTATGTGCATTATTTGCGCGAATCAGTTTGTAATTGATCTTAATAAAGAAAATTTTATAATGAAAACATTCATGGATAGTTCTTCGTTCCACGCTTTATAAAGGAAGAATGAATTTTAGTAATTACATTTTAGAGATAAACTTACTGAAAATGGTATTCGTATTCAATTTTTTGGTAATTTAAAGCATCTTCCTCGAAAACTTCAACAATACATGGCGAAAATTGAATTATTAACGAGGGAACACAATAGGTAATGTCATCCCTTCCTCTGCTATCTGTTACATTAAGCAAAGTAGAGTACTTTTTTTTAACTTTCTTCTTTGTTGAGAATCCTAATGCAAAAATTAAATACACCAATCTGAAATATTCAACAAAGCACTAAGCAATGCATAAGACAATGGTATTTCCTTTTTTTTTAATTCTCTATTAACTCTTAGATTGGCAAGATAAAATGTTGACCAAATATTTAGTGGCTTATGCAATTTGCTGATCACATTTTTCACATTGAGAGAAATTCCATGTATCTCTAATTAAACTTTTGAAATTAAAAAGTGAGGAGTGTTGAAATAATTTACGTACTGTTAAATAGACTAATTGTTTAAACATAAAATGATGAAGACATCTTTCGATTGTTCAGTTTTTTTGATACGATATAGAAATTTCTGCTACATATTTTAGTGGCACAGTGAATGTATGCATTGCTTATACGTCGCAGGATGAGCTGAGAAGAGCTTTTGTTACAATAGCTCATGGCATACAAAAAGGTATGTAGCTGCAAACTGTTGTACAGATTAATTTTAAGGATTATATTTCTTCAAATTTTTGTTATCCATGCTGAATTCAATCTAATTTCTTTCTGTTTTTCTGAAAATATTTGTATTCTAGGGTTGTTGACAACAACTGATATAAACGAATGTTTGATATCACGATGCCTTGATAGTCGTTTTTCGAGAGATCCAGATCTGCTGATTAGAACAAGTGGAGAGACACGTTTGAGTGATTTCTTACTATGGCAGGTTTGGTTAACAGAAGAATTTCGATATCATCTCTGATTTCTAACTTTTTAAACAAAAACAATTCACAATGTATTCTTACAGTTAACTATAAAAGTTGTTTTTTTTTTTTTTTTTGATAAATTAAATTCATGTTTTCAGTGTTCAAAATGTCAAATCTATTTTGATGGAGTGCTGTGGCCAAACTTTGACTACTGGAACCTATGTAAGGCAATATATTTTTATCAACAAAGTCAGATACCCTTAAAGGTTTTTCTTGTTACTGAACCATTTGCAATTAATGAAAATAATTTATTAAACTGATCAGTTACGTCAAATCTTGGTCGATAGAATTGCACGGATATTTTCGGCTTAGAGGTGATTAAAAGTCACTGAAAATGTCATATCCGTCAAGATTGTAGCTCTTGATCAGAGAAGTCGAGCGAGACTATGTTAGTTAGGCTTCAATATTGGAAACACTGAAGCCTAAGTAATACATATAATTTGTTGCAGCGGCTAAATGAAAACTGTTTGATGGAACAGAAACCAATAGATAATGAAAATGTATTGGAGTTCCTCCGCTGGGCTGATGAAGAACGTTTGGAAGACTTACGACAAATGTCTGAGGCAATATGCTGACGATCCTAAACGATGTCTAGGACTATGTTTTCTGCCCCAATGAAAGATAAACGCTCAATTTAGTAATTATATTGCTGGTTAATTGGCAATAAAGTTAAAACAGGATATTTCAGTGAATCCTTGTTGTGCTTTAAGGCAGAAGATAAATTTCATTTTGCCTCTTTTTTTTTGACTAAAAATACGCTCACAACAATTTGCGGATTTTTAGCAATATTCACCTATTACAAATCAGCTGAAACTGGTGTTTGCTTATGAGCTAACCAAAGGAAGGCAATACTGATCAAGGCTGAAATAAGGAACATGACGTCAAACCATCGATGATAAAAATTGAATTGCAAATCTCCCAAAACAACAGTAATGCTAGACCTGAAAAAAAAAATTCCATTCTCTCATTCATATTTTTATTCCTGAAATGTTAGCAATATATATGTTATACATCCTGTCTACTTTCTTGATTTGGATACTTCTCTGTTCATGGAATCCACATCGTTCTTTAAATTAAATTTATTAAATTAAATTATGGGAGATATTCGCTTCCTCACCTAAGCACTAATAAAATTTTTGCTTTATAGCACAAAGAAGTGAACCGATAACAAGTTTAATGATAATAACAAACCTATATTGATGTGGCATGTTCATTCGCATTAAAAGCACGCTTGAAACAAAATACATGCCCTAGAAATAGTAAAGGCTGTATACTACTTACAAAGTCGGAAACTTTCTTTATTTCCTAATTTCTTGCTAATTGAACAGAAAAAAAGTGTGTGTTTCTATTACCATCGCTACCTAACTGATGCCGAGAGTACTGCACCACGGAAATGCAATATTCCTCATTTATCCTGTAGAATGACTGTATAAGTAATCCTTCTTACATTTTAATCCAGGTTTTCTGGAAAAAAAAAAAGCATGAATTCATTGCTTACCATAATATGAGCAAGAATTAGAACAATCACATTTGACGATTTGCTGCTCGAGATCATGTAGAAGAATTTCGTTAGTGTTATTAAGAGACCTCGTATCGAAGTTACGGCGATAACACCCACTAACAGAAATGATATATGTTGTGACCAAAACCGAATCTTCAAATGTACTCTGATAGCTTAAGTCTCATATTTAATCTGTTCAGTTAACTCTGAGACAGTGGTAAAAATTACTGTGGAATGAGTGAAGGATTAAGTGGAATGAACAATCCAAGTCTACCTTTAACTGATAGATAACGATGACTTTCATAAGCAGGAAGCTTTCACACGCATTCTTTTGTGATGCAACTTGCAGTAAATGACGAACTACAATGGAAGAGACTTACATCAAGCTGAAAACCCATGTAATTGACAGCAATCTCAATTCCTCTTGTAACCGGATCCACTTTACCAACTCGATCGAAAACAATATTCACAGTACAAATAAATATTTTCCATATACAATAAATTGAAAAAAAATGTCCCACTACATTGAAATATTGTCCTTGCCAAGTTTTACTATATTCCATGCGCTCCTGCAAAAAAACTGCTGATGGAATTATGAGAGATGGTTGCATTTCCAAATGTAAAACTATGATTTATAGCAAAACCTTAGAGAGAAAACCTCCAATTGATATGGAAGAAACTTTGACTCGTACTAGAAGTTTTAAGATTTGCTCAACTTTGTGATAAAACAAAAAATCTTACAAATAAATGTGTTCCTTTTCTTAAAATGTTTCACTACTCATCTTTTTTTTATATTTAAAATTTTTATATATTCTATCGCTCTAGTCAATCAAAAATAATGAAGTATGACAGAATGACAAAAAAAAAAAAAAAAACAAGAACAAAACAAAATGTAATAACGTACATATAAGAGTTTTTTTCTTAAGAAATAATTCTAAAGAACATCTAGCAGATTTCCTATTATATATTCATAAGGATTTCACATAGTTGTAAAAAAAGAGAAAAAAAGTAAATATCAATAATGTAAATACTCAGCATTATTACAAAAACTTAGACTTCACTCGTTGTGTTTGCTTAAGTATGATATAAAAAAGTTACTAATTTATTCTTCAATATCTGATATGCCACCTGCTAGCTTTCTGGTTATCTACCTTCGTTTTGAATTATAATGATTTCTCGGCTATTTCTTGACCTAATTTCAATTAAAGAATAAACGATATTAGTTCTGTCAAATACCAATTAAGTGCACTATCAGGATTCTGATATTTTTATCAAAATCTTAAAAATTTTTTCATTAATATGGAAGCACATACTCGCATATTTCGTAGTTCAACAATTTCTAGAAACAGGTAGCGACTGAGTTCTTCTAAAGGTATTATTTCTGAGTTAAGCGTGCTGCAAAACCATCTTTTTAAGAATTTCAAACTGAAGACACATAAATTTCATACAGAAAAACAGGACAAACAGAACAGTAGAAATGAATTAGTTGTAGTCATACAACTAAAAGGTTACTAAAACTCCAACCTTATTTGATCTTTTAATGAGCTCGAAGAAAATGATACTGAACCCCACAATTTCTGCAGAAGACCTCCTTGACTGTCACTCCCTAAAATAATACATTACTTTACAAAAGTTGGCAAAAAAACACAAATATCCTTTCAACACTGATTCAACGAACAGCAAGTAAAGAAGGACCGATTCGTCATTTAGGAGAATCTGTAGAGAATCAATGAAGATCGATGCTCATATAAAGGGCAATACCTTGAGTAAAAGCGCTTAATGCAACTTCCTTCTCTAAAATGCATAAGCGTCTTTTCTTAGCAACAATCATTTCCATAGTATGCATAAGTTTTCGTTCCATTTGTGCTATTTGTACCTGTCCAACGGGTCGCATAAAAATTGTCATATAGCAATAAGGGGCATTCACAGCACCAAATCCCGACAACATAGCCATAACTGTTACACCAATCACACCCACACGTGAAATTGCTTGTTCAATTGTAAATATACCTATATTCATTTCAAAAATTGCACATTATATTTTCAAATTAAGGTTATGAAGGTTGTTTATGTTTTAAAGAAATAACTATTTCAGCATTAATGAAATTTATACATTTTTCTTCATACTCTATTTGCTAAGATAACCTGAATTATGCAGAATTTTCAATAAAGACGATAACGGTGAAGAAAAGTTATGCCAAGTGAAATGAATTCAAAAAAATTCAGAAATGAGTAAAAATTTATTTTTACCATGTCTGGCGCTCAAAATTGGGAATGGATCACCAATTTTCCAAAAGAAATAGATAAATATTATCCATGAAACTACTGTGAGAGGCAATATCCATTTTCTTCTTACTAAAACAATTGAACACTTTGAAACTGTCAATGATGCGAAGTACATGAAATTCCTATCCATAGATGAAAAAAGAAAGAAAATACTTACAATGTTGCTAATTTCATGGATTTTTTTGAAAGTCACAAGTAGGCTTTTAAGAAGTTTTTATGTAACTACTTAAAAGTAACAATATTCGTCGTTCATTATAGTACAAAATATTCAGCATCCCGAAGGCTATTTTATTAATATCATACGTTACCTTCCTTCTTCTACTTTTGTACTAATAGGAGTTGTTATCCAAAATTTGTCTACTCTTTATTTGAAGGAAGAAAAAACTAGAAAGCAGCTAAAAATTCCACAGAAATATTTAAAGATGAAGAGGAGCAAAAAAATAAAAAGAGAAATGATACTTACTGAAAGTGATTGAACGGAACAATGAAAAAGAGAAATAAATTGGAAGCACTACAATTAATACAAAAAGTATTGAATAAAGTCCCAACTTCCAGTGCAAAAATCGAGAACTGAAATTTTCACAAAAGCATGGTAAAAGATATAAGATTATTACAATTATTATTAGAAAAAATTATTATTACAAAATTTATTATTACAAATTCCTATCTAATTATACATTTTTTTCATGTGATTTTTTGACACAATTTACCTATCGGTCTCTCTAAGTATAAATGTTGATATGCACAGCTGCAAAATGTGAGTAATCAAACTGTGAACACTACTGATGAGGTAGCAAAAAAGAAGCTCACCTCGGTTCTAGGAAGCCAATAATTTCAAAAATAATCAGTTCGAACATTGTGCAAGATAATGCAAATGTAATCGAAAATAATATCTGTACAAGTCTTTTGTGTACTTCATAATCACGAAATAACTGCTTCATGAAGAAGAACCATCCAAACAAAAAGAAAACTACCTGAAATAAATAGTAATTATTTGGAAATTTTTTCCACCACCAGACTTCTGTACTGCTGATGAAATGATGAGAATATGATAGAAATTTAGATACAAACATAAAATAATATTCTGAATCTGAGAATTTCACCTGAGACAGTAGCATAACAACGGAATCCCACATCAGAGTCATGCGAGACGTTCAATTTCCACAAATCAAACATCGGCTGCCAGTTTTTCGTCAACAATACTTTCAGGTTTCCGCTGTCTCGTTTACGATTGATTCTTTTGTCTCCTGTCATAATAGATAACATCACTCATGTATGATAAAATATACGTTATTATTTACGGAGATTCAGAATTATTTGCCGAAAGAAAAAAATACAACTCGGCTAAGGTACCAGATTTCTATGCAATAGCAAATTGCCGGAAAAACCACACTTCATAATATATTGAAATAATTTTGTTTCAAATCCATTAGAAATTTGCAGACTAAAGATTATCTCATTTAAATATTCCTTAAGTTTTATATCTCAAGCAAGAAATCATTTATCCAACATTCATTTTCCAACTGTATACTGTCAAGAATGTCACAATTTGTTAACAAATGATGTGTGCACCGCTTAAAATGTTGAAAACTGCTTTCAATTCTAATGTTGACATTGATCTGCCAAACTTATATTCGACTAAAAGAATCTCAACTTTTCGTTAAATTAACTTTCTTCGTTATAAATCAAACCTTCTTGTGTAAGGTAGAAAAATTGTACAGATCTAATCCAGCGGTCACTCTTATAAACAACTGATTGTAATGTTAAGAACTAATTTCTACTCAACATTTTTGTTAATAAGGAGTTAAAACCATTGTCTCGGTCAATCTTTGCATATTGCAATGACTTTTGCGACATTTTAGTGTCGCGAAACTCTAAAATATTAATGAAAGTAAAGAAAAATGAGAGTATGAAATATGATCGATAAGCTCTTTGCAAATAATTCTTATTTAAGCATACTTACGTAAACCTCTTTACACAATGTTTCCAAAAATGTTTGTAGCTTAAACTCTTTGTTTTCTAATGTTTCTACTGTAAATACTTTACACATTGTTTCCTAGCTGATACTTAAACCTCACATTAACCTCTCCAACTTTCCATGTTTACATTCTGATTGTCACTAGCTTTGGAAATTATCAGCATCCTCCCAGTTGTACCAGAACAATTGCAGTTAACAAAGAATGGATCTGCTCGACTTCTATCTCCTCGATTTGTACCTCTGCCTTTATAAATTTTATATTATACTACTGCTTTTGTTAATAAAGGAAATATCATGTTCCTGTGTTACTCCACATATTTTCGTCTACACTAAACAATTCTCCCAGAGATCAGCAAACTTCCCCCAGATAATGATTCCTTTTTCCACTACAAAGATCAGCACTCACTAACTCACTCAATCCATCACTACTAGAACTTTTCCAATACAATCAGCACTGATTTAGAGTTCCAAATTACAGATAATACCCTGACACTTTCCAGATCATGGATAGTAACTCAGAAAGTAACATGTCGCACAATTTTTTTTTCGAAATTCAGAAATACGCAAATTTACATGAAGTTGAAGAAAAAATAGTGATAAATAGAATGAGATTAAGGCAGTGATGTCAATAGATTTGCACAATGAATGTTAATAAACTCTTCAAAATATTTGTTCATAAGCAAATCAATTTCAAGCTAACATCTTGAATATATTAAAAGAACAATCGATGATGCCATGCTCAAAATAGAGCTCAATAACCGATAATTAGAGGTAGCAGAGTGCATCTAGACCTGTGCAAATTTTTCGAAAGAGTGCAATTCACATTTAGTCCATTTTTGATGCATCAAATACTTTGTCTTGTTTGAACAGCTATTTCTATTAACCAGAAGACTATGGATGTAAAAATGATATATGTACAATTACGGATGCGCAAACAAATATTTTTTACAATAGCAATGATATGGAAATATGAATGACTATGAAGGATATCGAAGCAACAATTTCTGAAGCAAGCAACAAATTTTAATCGGCATTAAATCAAAAAATCTTTGTGTCATAAAAATATCTAGAATATGAATGACTATAAAATAGGATAATACAATGGAATGATGAAAAAAAAAAAAAAAAAAAACGAAGACGAACTGTTCGCTTCAATAAAACTATATCTGCCTGTGTACGATTTAAAATATATCAGGTCAGAAGTGAAGTATTTCTGAAAATTTCAATGGTCATCCGCAGTATCTCCAATCGAGTCCTTTTTTGCCTACAAAAATAACGATTTAGTTTTTTGTACAAAATTCATTAGACAAAATAATAAGGAAATAAAGTTCTAATCAGGAAAAAAACAAATGTTAAGAAAATGATTGGACAGTAGAAATAAAAAATTAAATTACTGGACAATAGAAATAAGAGAAAAATTACTGAAAAGAGCACTAAACTGAGAAGATATAAAATGAGTGTTTCCTGCCTCTAAATCTCTATCAGGGCTGTTTTCCCAGTAGGTTTTTATAGCTTTATTAGCACAAAAAATGCATGATATTATCTATCTTATTAAAATTCATAATGAAGTTTATTGCCACAATGAAATTATTTATTATACCGATCTTACATTAAATAATAGCTAACATTTTAAACAAGTCTAGATAAAATAAGTGTGGTAAAATTCAAATATTACCTTAATGCTTTTTAGCAATTCGAATTGCTTTTTGTGCTCATCCAGTATTTTTCGTTCCGTTTCGGTGAGATGCTGCAAATCCTCTAACTCAATCTCTTTCTCCTTCAAATACAATCTTTTTTTTTTTGTATCTGCAATGTTCGTAATTCCAGATATATCACAGTATATATATCAGTAACTCAATGCTATGTATATCTAATAAGTGATGAGTAAAAACAAAATTATATCGAAGAATGTGTACATAAATCAATCCTATATTTTTTTCCTCACAGTCGAAATCAGGAATTGGAAGTATCTGTAATTTTACCTAATAAAATCTCTTTTGTCAGAATTATAAATAACTTTGGATAGTTATATCGTCAGCAGCTCAGATCTTCATAGCAGTTGTTCCTACCAAAATATGCTAAATCAATGTAGAACAGTTTCGTGTGAACAATGAAGTAAAAAAAGAATTATTACAAATGCTATAATACTGACTTTCTCTGACAAGTCTATTTATTACCTCTTTCGATTGAATATAGTGTAGTTAATAAAGTTTCTTTCTCGGCGAGGTTCGTATTCACTTGTCCTAAAAATCTATTCTATCAAAAAGAAAATTATCAAGAGAAATTCTGTTAAGAGTGAGTAAGTGGAACTAAAACATTAAAAAATGTTCATTTGTTAGCAATAATACTTTAATATTCCAACTTTTTAAATTACTTTTATCAAACGCAATTATTTTGTGTACTATTCCAATTCAGATATTTTTAAGGAATTATGCTAAGTAACTATAAAATAAGTTGAAGCTTAAAGTATAAAATTACTACTTTCCCAAAATCTTCACATACCATTATAAGATGGCTTTAAACAATTCAGTTCTCCAACAGTATGCAATATATTGACATGAATTTGATGGTAATCGATATCACGTTGCTCCATTGATTCCTATAATCATCTAACAAATCTATAGTAGAAGTAAAACTAAACCAAGCGCTTTTAACTGTTTCGTTGTAAAGAAGAATTCTGTGTAAAATATACCAACTGTATTAGTGGCAATAGCAGTAGCTTTTCTCTAAAAAATGTATTTTTCTGGGTGGTTAAGGAATGAATACCAAGAATGATAGCAAAAGTTTTGTTTTTCTTATCTTTGAAAGAGTGATAACAAGTGGATACTTGTATGAAGTCATTTTCTCCTTAAAAGAGGCAAAAAACTAGTAGAAAAAAACCTACAACAAACAAGCTAGGAAGTTGCAGTAACTAAAGAGAACATACCTTGACACTGTCGTCGGTGGGAAATTTGTCTAAAACTTCTCGTACAGAAAAATATGGATCTGTCACATCCATTTCTTCCAGTGGTTAACTTTTTATGAGAGGAGAAGGTATATTCGATAAAATGAGAAGTCAAATGAGTCTTAAAATTCTATCAGATGAAAAAGGCCAAGAGAGAAAGAGAAGTGATTGAATTATTCAGAAGTCATTAAATTCTGCCTGTCAAAAGATACCCGAAACGAGAGCACTCCACAACTACCCGCCCAAACCTGGCTGACCGAGGGGACAACTGAGATGACCTTTTCTCTCCCGTCTCTTACAAGTATGCAATCTTTCTCTTCAGGAATCGATTTTCCATTGCAATGATCTTTCTCTCTTCTGTCTCTTGCAAGTATGCAATCTTTCCCCTCAAGAATTTCATTTTTCAGTGTAGGAGCTGAGAGAGATTTCATTTTCCGGTATTTGCCGGGTCTCTCATATCTCTCTTGACCTTTCTGTATTTGGAAATCGTGAGTCGAGAGTGCTTTATCTGTGAAGTCCTCTCACCATCACAGTTCTTTCCGGATGTTACGTTCAATGGTTGAAGTTGCAAGGGAGGAATTTCTGAAGCAAAGTTGTTGTAAGGTCGAAAGATACTGTAATTCTATGCTGCAATTTGGAGCTTCCGACACAGATATTAACCGAGGTACTTCGAGATTTTAATTGAAATCTTTAATTTCGGATTCTTGCAAATTTCCAATTTATCATTCACTATTTGCAATTTTCTGAGCTGTAGTTTAGATTTCCAGTTTAAGCATCCCTTTTAATCAGCTTGTTTTTCAAACTTTATGCAGTTATCTGTATGTTTATGTGGATCATTCTAGTTTCAGTTTCTGATTTTTATTTTATTTTCCATATTTTCATTATATCGTGTGTGAAGTCAGGTACTCATCCGCTCTAATTTGTGGATTTTTGAACATTCCAGTCTATAGCTATCTTCAGCTTGAAATTTAAATAATTTAATTAAATGTAGATAATAATTCATATGGCTGGAAATTGAAGGTTGTAGTTGAAAATTTTAAATATTTCGTACAGATTTGCTCTTAACATTTTTTAAAGCGATTTTAGCTCTTGTTTAATGAACATTAGTATAAGCTGTATTTTATGTCATATGACGATGTTTTAATTAATTAATACTCGAAATTTTTTTTTTCTGTGTCTTTATGTTTAATGATAAATAAAGCAACTTGAAGAAGCCGAGCTCGGAAAAGTTATAATTGCAGTGGTTGGTGGTTTGATCGAAAAGAATAAAGAATTAGCTAATTTATTACACGATATTGAGTTGCTAGAAGAAAAGTTGAAGAGATTGGAAGAAGCAGATATGGAACAGAAATTGTTGCACTTCAAGGTACTATTTTCCGATGATTTTTCTACTGTTTGTAAAGGTTGATGTCTTTTACTGCAAACTTTTGCAAAATTGAATTCGAATTTTTGCCAATGATTTTACATTATTTTCTTAACCTTATGAAGCTCAAATTATGACATGCTGAAATATTAAATGATTCATACCAATTGCTCATTTGTTATTGCTGCTTCTTTATAGTTAATCTGTTAGTTATTTGTTCCATATCTTTATATTCAGTTTTTGAGATGATTTTCATCTGTTTTTTTTTTTTTGTTTTTCTATATTCATACAACGACTTTTTGGGAAGATTGTATTATCATCTGATTAATATGGCAGTGTAAATGTTGTCTAGAAAATATAGTTGGAGAATTTCGTAAGAGACTTTTGATCGAATGGTAATGTAAGATATAGGTGGTAATTGTTTATGTATATTAATTGTAAAAAGTGAAATCGTTGATTTGAGTTTTTGAAATGCCTTCTATCTTTTAGGAATTAGGTGGTGTTCTCGATGAAGATAGTCCAAAAGAAGGTGCTTCATATGAATGTGATTTGGATAGCGCTTTGAAATTAGAACAGATACCGGGGAGCAATAATCAAAGGCATTCCAAACGGCAAAGACATAGTCTTCTTGTTTCGCAGTTGAAGGTTTATTTTGTTATTCGTTGCAAGAAAATGTTTGAACTGCACATTTAGTGGTTCCAAAGAGTTACGCCATTACCATAATAACTGGATTTATCACAGTGTACTTTCTGTTTCTCTTCTAATATTTCAGAAGTCTTTACGATTAGTTGAAACAGGTGAATTCATTCTAATTCCATCGAAAACGCGTGGTCGAATAGGTCGTCTTGAGCTAAATCAGGTTAAATGTTTGGTAGAATATTTCATCACTTTTTTAAAGAATAGGTCTTTGTGCACAAAGTCTCTAAAGTACTATGCTTTGTTTTTCGAAATATGTATTTCTGTAGCAGTAAATCAATAATGTAGGATTTTCTTTATTCTGTCCTCCACAGTTAGAGTGTTACTGTTTCAATTGATGGCTAATTAAATTTCGTTTCAGTTGCTAAAGAAAATAGATGAAATTTTTACCGACAAATATTTAAGCCAAAAACGTCTCCCTCTTGCACTGAAGAATGCCAAAAAACAGGTATATTTCTTTACCTGAAAATATATGTTGCGATTTTTTTATGCTGTTGGGTTTTCGTAAAACTCTTAATCACTTTCTCAAGCTTTTCGAGACTAGGCTTAATTCAGTATTGAAATCTGAGTAGCACCAGAAATTAATACACTAATTTGAAGTGAGCACTCGGTTCAGATCTAGGAACATTAGCTGATTGTAATTTGACTTATTTCCTTCACCAAATTACAGGAATGTGAAAAACTGAAGGGACGCTGGTATATTACACTGAATGAGATCCTTGTTCGACTCACATCAAAAGAAAAAATTTGCTGGAAATATGCGCTACCTTGTTTGACCCATCTGAAACGACTGGAGGAATTACGAGTGGATGATAATAATGTCTTCATCGCAGCGGTTTTGTCGTGACTCTGTTATTTTTATGTTAGAAAAAAATGTATTTTTGTTTCCTCTGTTGTGAAGTTTTTATTTGCAAAATCAATATCCACTCTTGACAATTTTAAGCTATTTTCATTCCTGCAGAGCTGAGTTATCTCACCTTAACACTAGCTGTAAATAACCCTAAGATTCTTATGACTGAAAAAGGAAAAAGATAAAACGCAGGAAAATTCTCAGCGCTTTAATTTTTCTGGAATATAATAACAATGTTAAAATTAATCATTTCAAACCTATAATGCGATCACGTTTTTTGCCTATCTTTTTTGTCTCTTTTGATGCGAAGTTGGTTGAGTATTTTCTGGTACAGTCAATTTTTTCAACAACTACAATCAGTTTTTTCATTTTTGGACATATTAATTGCCTTGCTGGTAAATGTTAGACACTGCGATCGTCGAATGATAGATGGAAAATAACATAGTTCTGTTCTTTACAAGGATATAGGTACCAAGGGTCAACGTTGAGTCATAAAGGTATTATGCAATAAATCATTTTAATAGGTCGAATTGTTGATAGATAGCTGAAATTCTGACTGCCTGTTGAAGCTGAGTTTCTTGTAATTTTCGTAAAACTGCATTATATGTCGATATCGTTTTTGATTTCTTTACTACACTTTTTTTTTCAACTTTGTATTCCACAATATAATGTATTTAAGTTCCCATTTCATGTTACAAATGAATGGTTTATGTATCAGTATTGAATTTGTTAATTTATGAATCTGTTTAACTTTCTTCTAATATATTAGTTGAAGTCCAACCAACGAGTGGTTTCTTTCATTAAGCTGTGGGTTATAATCACAGTTGAGGAAGTTATTACTTTAGTAGTTTAGATTATTTTTAGTTCATCATATTTCTGTAATGCATTTTTAATATCGATAGGATTCTTTTCATTTCTTAGGCCAAGTTTGGCATTTTTTGCTGGAAATTAATGGATCGATTTGGCTTCATTCATGAGTATTAGTCGAACAACGCAGGCACAGCGACATTCTGGTTTGAATTAAATCTAATTTTAAGTTTTTTAAGTTCAGTTACGCTAAAAATTGTAAAAGAAAAAGGAATTTTAGTGCGCTTACATGCAGTCGAGTCAACACGTGTGTTAGATGAAATAACACGAAAACGACGTTTGAGAAAACAGCTGGAAGCTCTTGAACAGGTTTTTTTGATATTAGTCATGTTGTCTACTTTGTATATTTCCTTCAGTTTTGTATTGAAATAAATATTTAAGTAGTGATGAGTTGTCTTATTTCTCTAAATTCTGTACGAAAGTACTTCTGAGACTCTATATTACACTGCCAAAGGAAAACATTACAATTAAATACTTATCTAGAGTGAATATTCACATTCTGTTTTGCACTGATTGTTTGCTATTTTTCGTTGTGTTTTATGATGATCTGTTACCCTTTCATTAGCAATTAATAATGTAGATTTCTGATTAGAGCTTCGTGTTTAAAAGTTTTAATTGCACTTTACTAGGAGACGTCATGCAATATTTCCAATTCTTGAAATGTTTTAGAATGATCGTGCACTCCTTGATTGGAATTAGCTAACAATAGTTGACAATAGTTAAAACTATTGTCATTTTCATTAAAAAAAAGAAAAACAAAATTACTGCAGTTTGTTGACATTTTATGCATTCTGAATAACTATTTCAATTAACCGTTTTGTTCATTCACGAAAAATGGAAAGTATTGCTGTTTATCTCGTTGATAACATTCAGTTTTGCAAATTGAAATTTACTTTATGATTTAATTGAAATTTCTTTAGGACAATTTTCATGAAGACCCTCATGCACAATTGCAGTGGCATAAAAATATTCCCAAATTCGAGGATGACCAACTGGGACAGTCACCAGCTCGTAAAGCAGATTCTGAATCAGGTAGTTTCCTTTATTATACAAAATATAACTTAGCGAACTATCACATCATTTTTTATTATAACTTGGTATGATTTTGATGCTATAAGTGCATATAAAATGTACATATTTATTAGAATTACAGCATCTTATTTGGTATTTCTATCATGAATTTCGATTATGAGTTTGGTAGCCATTCCAGACAGTTTTTTCATTAAGTTGCATTTTATAATTGCTTTGATGTTGAGGAAGCATATTTATTTGCTGATTTTGTAGCTGTTGGCATGTATTTTTGATTTCGTGTAAAGACTTAAACATTGCTTGCAGGAAAGAAAAGGAAGAAATTCAAAGTGGAATATTTCAAACAGAGATTTCGGAAAAATTTTTCAGCTTTAGTAGAGGAGGAAACGGTATGAATGTCTTTTATAGATGTAAATTATCACTAAAGATTCTTGTGGATTTTTTGTGGAATCTATTCTTATCAACTTATCATAGTAATTTCCATCAGTTATTGTCGGAGTCATCACTTATTTTATTTATTCGTGTTTATTCAAACTTAATTTCTTGCTATTATTAGCAAAAGAAAAGAATATAATAAAGGCCGTTCTTCGTAATACTTTTTAATTAAAAGGTTAAATTTGAATTGTTGTTAAGGTCTTGGTGCTTGCATTTAATATATTTTTTAAGCTGTCGAAATCTATGGAAATTTCGGGTTTTGATGCTTATAACGCTGCGCGAGCACCACCAAGCTGTATTCCACCACGGCAATTTTGCGCAGCTTGCGGTTTCTTCTCCAAATATACATGCTTGAGGTGTGGTGTACGATACTGCTCAATAAGTTGCAGAGATCTGCATAATGACACTAGGTGATGATTACATTAATTTAATTGGTTTTTACCATTTAAACAAAATTTTAAATAAGCAGTTCCTAACGAAACGAAGATTCGAGGAAGTCGACAGATGGTAGGATGTCATTCTCGATTCATTACCAGAGACAGTGCAAAAGTTATTCTGATCTTTTTTGATCGTCATTCCGTGCACACACCTAGAAATTGCTGTTTTCTACATAAATACGACCGAATTTGATGCTCTTTAATCAATCAACCCTAAGGACATGAGAAAACTTTTTTTTTTTTGCAAAGGCTCGCACGGTTTTTTATTTGATGGTTAAGAACATACGGTTTTTTTTAATTGTTCAGCAAACCATCTTGTTTTTAACTCTGTGATCTGGAAATGTGAAACTTTGATGTTGTGTAATCGCAATTCTTTACAATGCTCTCACATTTTTTTCCTTCGACTGACATATAATTACACCTACTTTCAAAAAAATTTTTGCAGAGAAAACTGTCATTGTTATGTAGTATTGTTTGGTGAAATTTTCGATTATCGAGGTTCGACGGACTGTTAAATTTTCAAATGTGCAGAAAGAAAGACATGTTTTTAAAGCATTTTTACACTCATATAATTAGTTAAAGGAAGAAAATTTCTCGTGACTTAATTCGCAATTATTTGCCAGTTTCAAAAACCCGAGATAATTTTATGCAATGACTTAGCGGTCTTTAAACGATCAAGAAGGCTGAATGCTTGTCAGACGACAGAAAAAGAATAAGTTTGAAAAACATGTTCATTTTTTGTCAAACTTTTCTGGAGAACGAAAGATATTCTGCAGATGCACTCAGAAAAGTTTGACTTAATAATGCACATTAGATATCGTTAATTTGAAGTGAATTTTAGTATATGTGCAGTGAAATTTATTTCGGAAATGTTGTGTTATTTGAGAAGAAATATTTTATGTTTACCAGGAGAGGAACTGCTTATTTCAATAACGTTTTATAACAACAACATATTGATTTTGCACTCAGGAATTTTCATTAATGCTATTGTACTTTAGGTGTTTGAAGTGGACTGTGTGAAGAAGAATGTGAACGGAACGGAATGGAATAGAATGAAATCCTGAAAATTTGCAATTCATGAATGTAAATTTTTGTATAGCTTTAGCATCAGCAACTGTTCATGTTTCATTTTAAACATTCTTACTTTTCTATGCGACTGTTATCACTGTGATTTTGGAATAGACATAAAGAGAAAGAGATTTCGGTGAACAAAAACATACCACACTTGCAATCATCATCCAGCTATTTTCATTACTATACTTAAGAGAAGAGAAGGAAGGGTAAGAAAAGAGGTGACATCGTTGTGATGGACGAGAATAGGTTGTCACCTGGTCTGAACGAACCCAGATTCACCTTTTCTTCTTCTTTGTTGTTGAAAATCATCTGCTGTTAGTCTTTCATTCGAACACATATGATGACAATATTTGATATTTATAGTTATATAGAAATAATATTCAACCATTGTCATCAATATATGCTACTGCTCCCATTTTTGCATGTTTCAAGAAGTGCTATAACCCTTTTTCCTTCCTTTTTCAATCTCGTACTCTCAGTCTATATTCACAAATGGTGTGCTACTTTTTTTATTCATTTGTCTTGTGGGAAAATTCTCATCATTCTTTTGATATTAAATCGTTGAGCAGCTAAATTAGCATTGAGAATCGATAATATTTTATAACAGAGAAGCTATTTGAAACCAGGAAAGCAGTAGAAAGACTTGGAAATGCAATCACGAATAATAGATGAATTTGCTTTTCAGCTACCACCAATTATTTGAATATTCAAAATGAAACAGCAGTGATTATTAGTATGGCCAAAGATTTCTCTTGTGATTGAGTGGATTAATAATATCACTCTCTTAATCATTAAGTGTATTAGAAACTTTCTTGACCATTATATCTTCTTTCGTATGTTTCACAGTGGTTTCTCGCCTTCTCTCAAGTTTATTTTTACGTATAAATTAATTTGCAATTTAAGTTTGTCTACAAAAACTTGTCAAAGTTTTGCGATGGCTGAGTTTGTAGCAATAGAAATAGACAAAGATTTGCACCTAGCTAGGTTTCGCGCTTCTTAAAACTGTACAGTTGGTCATTTGAGTGAGTGTTGCTTATATTAGAGTAGGATTTAGGGATGATTTGTTGTTGCTATGAGTGAAGGAAGGTGTGATACGTCGAAATGACCTTCGACAAAGGTAACACACAATGGGGACATACCGTCACGACACTAAGAAACGATGCTTTCGTGTCATTCTCAGCAATTGCTGTCCCTTTTGCCCGACTGCTATTGCTACTGCTACTGCTACTGCTACTGCTGCCTGCCCAACAGATACCCTAGAACGGGTCAGGGTTATGATGGCCCAGTTATCGTTGTTTTTTTCTTTCTGTTCGTTTACAATTATTTATTGGTGAATTTGTCCTAACCAAATGAGATTGGTCATTCGTTGACATGCTTGACACTTCTGTGGGAGTTATTTAGAGGAAAGTATTGGTGCTTAAAGTATTGGTGACACTTCACTAATTTATATTATTTATTTCCTTATGATTGCATAATTCTAATTTTCCAAGTAGTTTGTTATTTATTTATTTATCGTTTGTTTAATGTTATTTCGACTAATGCAAACTCTCTTCTCTCTTTTAACAGCCCACTACTGTTTTTCTATAAAAATTGTCAATGTTTGTTCAAAGCAAATTTTCTTTTTTAGTTTCCAATTTTCATATTATTATAAATCCTTCTTTCCTTCCGTTAAATGTTAAAACTTTAAAGATTTTCCGTGTTTGCATTTCTGATTAAATTGAAAAAAGAATAAAGAAGGATGTCTGTATTTGATGTTTGACTCCGGATGGATATATTATTGTTGATATTCTGGAAGAAGAATATCTGGGACACAGACAGCAATGACAGCTGTTGGAGACGATTTTCTGGAAATGCATTGTTGTTAATTTTGATGGGATCAGTAGATTGCAGTAAAATTCTCTCAGTGTTATTTATATCATAATCTATTTTCTTTTCTCACTTGTCAAAATGGAAGGAATTATTACGGATTTCATTACGGATTAAAGCAACGAGTAACCGGACCGGTTTTACTAGCTTTTTAGCATTGCTTTATTGAAGATTCTCCTTAGTAAGCTTCTTATCATTCAAGAATAGCTGATACTTCAAATAAACACTTCAATTGTGCGTTTATTCTTGTTCAAAATTTTTCATTTTCACTACTCAAATTTTTCAAGTTAGTTTTTGTTTGCAAACAAAATTCATATCTGATCGACTTTAGATATTAAAAAGCATTTTAAATAAATTAACACATAAATAGTAGAACTTCTTTTTATTTTTTACGTAACGTAAGTAATTGTTACACGTGAAATTATTTGTATTACTGACAGTCTTCACGAGAATTGAGATATATATACTTTAAAGGATTGCATAAGACGATGAATGAATGCATTTAATTCACTTCACTTTCAATTATTACCGTTTACAGATGTACTTACTGCTACTCTCTTAGTTATTGTTTACGTAGATTTGCATAAGAGTAGTGGCAGTGGTGACAACGACTGTCTCGTCTCGTCTAGTCTCGTCTTGTCCAGTGATGGTCATCAGAGGAATTCGAAGAGATGAGATGAAAGGAGAGGTGAGGAGAGGAGTTACCTGTCCATTGAATGTCTCCTGTCCACTGAATATCTCCTGTCCACTGAATATCTCCTGTCCACTGAATATCTCCTGTCCACTGAATGTCTCCTGTCCACTGAATGTCTCCTGTCCACTGAATATCTCCTGTCCACTGAATATCTCCTGTCCACTGAATATCTCCTGTCCACTGAATATCTCCTGTCCACTGAATATCTCCTGTCCACTGAATATCTCCTGTCCACTGAATGTCTCCTGTCCACTGAATGTCTCCTGTCCACTGAATGTCTCCTGTCCACTGAATATCTCCTGTCCACTGAATATCTCCTGTCCACTGAATATCTCCTGTCCACTGAATGTCTCCTGTCCACTGAATATCTCCTGTCCACTGAATATCTCCTGTCCACTGAATATCTCCTGTCCACTGAATGTCTCCTGTCCACTGAATGTCTCCTGTCCACTGAATGTCTCCTGTCCACTGAATGTCTCCTGTCCACTGAATGTCTCCTGTCCACTGAATATCTCCTGTCCACTGAATATCTCCTGTCCACTGAATGTCTCCTGTCCACTGAATATCTCCTGTCCACTGAATATCTCCTGTCCACTGAATATCTCCTGTCCACTGAATATCTCCTGTCCACTGAATATCTCCTGTCCACTGAATATCTCCTGTCCACTGAATATCTCCTGTCCACTGAATATCTCCTGTCCACTGAATGTCTCCTGTCCACTGAATGTCTCCTGTCCACTGAATGTCTCCTGTCCACTGAATGTCTCCTGTCCACTTACTTCATCTTACACATCCAACTGTTCCTCCTTATCTTCTTTATTTCCCTTCTCCCACATATTCTCCTGCAAATTATTCCACTATCTATCATTTCCATCCATCTATCCATCCAATTATGCCATTACTTTTCTCACAACTATATTATTTCCATTTTCAGTATTACTTGCCGTAATGCTACATTATTTAAATATTCTTAAAATTAGTCTTAAAATTTTCTTTGTATATCAGAAATTGTTCTGAATTTGATGAGTACATGTTTCCTTTAAATTTTCAACACATTTCCTTATTTCTTCCAATATATTTCATACAAAAAAAAAAAATTCTTAATTGCTTCATTCTTAATTGTTTCATCAATGAATTAAATTTAATAGATCAAGTTTGATGTACAATGGTCAGTTATCATTTCAAACAAGAATATATAGGATTACATGAAGTCTGTGATGAGTGAAACTTTTATTTTAAATTCTTTCTTCAAAAGGTTTTATTTCATTTAACTTATTATTGAAGTGTATAGCTATAAATGTAAGGAAAATTAGTGAATAAGCAGTAGCAATTTAAGTTATAATAAAAGAAAATTCGACATTTTCAATTCCAAATTTTGCTCTCAATTTTTTGTAAGAAATGAAATGAAATGGTGAATTCATTTTCATATAACAATGATTTCAGAGAGGTCATTAACGCTTCAGGAATGAGGAAATCTCTTTTTTATTCCTCCAATAATCTTAAATTCCTTTTTTGCATATTTGTGCAGCTTTCTAAACAATGAAATCTCCCTTTTCTTCTCTTGATTTAAATCAACAGTAAAAGGACTTGTTCTTCACTTCACCTTCGATCCGGTTTCTTCTTCTCCTTGTCTTCTGTCCCTCTTTTCATCTCATACTTTAACTTCTCCTTACTCCTTCTTTGTACCATCACCATTTCATATCACATAAATTGTGAATTTCAATTTGGCAATTACTCACTGTCCCATTTTTTCCTCTCATTTCCTTTCCAAGATGAACTCTCAAAGTTTTTTAAGACATGAAGTCACCTTACTTCCTTTCTTCTCCTTTACTGTCTCAAGTTTAACATAAGAAGAAATAACTGTTTCACATGGAATTCTTTTTAAATCAGACAGAAACCAATGCAACCATTTTTGAGTTGTCAAACGGAATTGGGAAGACTTATCCGTTCTTTATATCAAAGTGTTATCCAGTTTTCAGTTTGTCAATTCCATTTTACCTGGCTTAATCTTCCCATACGGATTAGCTAGTAAAAAATACCGAACTGAACTGGTTCAGGTGAGGTGAGAGTTCATTTTCAAGGAATTTGAGGAGAATATGGAAATGAAAAAATGGATCAGAAAGAATTTATCCAACTTATCAGATTGATTGATGTTTTTGCTGCTGTTGCATGATGAATAACATTTGATATGAAACCTTACTTTGTAAAAACTTTTTCAGCCTAGTCCCTTTTTCATGTTATCATTCTTGGCCACTACTACAACGGCCAATACAACTGGCAACAACGATGCGAACGATAAAACGGTAACCAGTAGGGTGCAATTTTTGACGTTTCCATTTCGGCATTGGCGGAAACATTACACGATAAATCCGCCAAATGACACTTACCATGTCATTTACCTTGGTAATGTATTGACGATCATTGCTAAAGGTAATAGTTTTAACATCTTTTGATCTTTTTCTGATCAAATCACTAAATTTTTGCAACAATATTGAATTCATACTCTTAACTAAACTGTACACGTACGCACTCGTACGTTACAAGCGTACGTTTGGTAAGCAAAATTTCTGATTGATTTGTTCTTCCATAAAAATAATTTATGAAATTTAATAGCACTTCATTTTTTTTTTTTTTTTACATAAATAGTAATAGTGATATGAATAGCATCATCAGTTAATTGTTTACTGGAAACGAAGTCATTTGGGAAACGTCAAAAAAGTGAAACTCAACAAAATGACAAATAGACAACAAAGTGCTATCCTCAATTCATATCAACCTTGCATACCTTAGCATCAGAATAACAACACTCAGAATCTGTTTCTTGACTCTCGATACTTTTTATTATTTTTTAAGTAAAACTACAAAAGACGTAATTTCAGGCGAGGAATGCTTGGAGAAGCCTCTTTCGTTAATTTGGCACACGTATTGCAATAGGAAACGTACGGAACTACCAATGAAACTTACTGTTACACGTTCTGGACTTAAAGTTAGTTAAATTTAATAATCATGATAATGTCAAAGTGAGTCTAGCATAAACAAGATTCGATAAATTTTATCACTTCATCAAATCATTTTTGTATTTCCTTTAATCTTTCTGGTGTTGAGTAAATTTATTAGTGCAATAAGTTGTTTTATTTTTATTTTTTATTTTTTTTTGATAATGTAATGAAAAAAGAACTATCCTAAAATAAACATTTGTATTAACTATCAAAATGAAAGTATGTTTTCTTTCAATCAGTGGTTTGAAAAAAATTATTTGGAGAATGAGTAAATTATTGGGTGGAATAGTTGAAATAATTAGAAATATGCTTTATTTTATGAGTATGTTGCAATTTAGTGGTATACCAAAAGACAGTAATAATCTTATGTCATCGATTCTTCAATGCTAATGATTAAGTAAAAGTAAAGTGAAATGATGATCATTAATTAACTGAACTGATGATCATTAATTAACTTGTAAGCCAAATGAGATGATGATCATTAATTAACTTGTAAGCCAAATGAGATGATGATCATTAATTAACTGAAATGATGATCATTAATTAACCTGTAAGCAAAATGAGATGATGATCATTAATTAACTTGTAAACTGTTTGCAAGAAGATGATTTTATCTCATCTTAAATGCAAATTAAAAGCATTTTCATAAAAACAAAATTATTTTTAGGCAGAAACAAAGCAACAAGGTATCACAGAGTATTGGTCACATCGGATAACGTATTGTTTGGCTCCGTCAAATTTGCCACGGGTATTTTGTTGGGTTTATAAGCACGAAGGGAAAAAGATGAAACCGGAATTGAGGTATTATAACTAGCTAGAATCCTTTTTTTTTTTTTTTTTTTTTGTGTGTGTGTTCTTTGAAATGAACTACGTAAAATAAATTTGCTTAAAGAATAAGAATGATTAAATTAGATTTTTTTTTTTTTTTTCTCCGATAACTATCACTTTCTTTCTTATTTATTGCCATGTAGTGGAATTATAAATCAAATAAATGGTAATGATTTTTTTTTTTTTTTTTAAATATTCGATGTTTATTTCTTTTTCGTGATCATTTAGAGGATAAAATGACGTATAATAACTTTGATTAAAATTATTAATCATCACTTGACATGTTTTTAAATCATTCTAAATTTCAGATGTCATGCAGCACTATGCAAAAAGCCATCAGATCCTTATAGAATAGCTCAAACATTGGAACATTACCTTCGAGCTGCTCTTCAGGTAATGCCAATTATACCTTTCGATTGCTTTATCATTAAAGCATGTCATGCCATGTCATTTCATGTCATGGCATGTCATCTACCACTCTCACTGAACTCAGTTGACATCAAAATTATTGTGATCTTTAGCGCAATAATTGTTTACAATGTTGCTCTTTCCATCTGAACTGAACGTTAATATTTTGAATTTTCTCGTACAGTAGTTGCTACTAGGTTCCATTTCAACTAATTATATCTCAAAATTCCCTATCTTAATCACTAATTTAACAAGTATATTAGATGAAATATGATGAACACTAAATTTGAATTGCTCAAAAGATCAAAAATTTGATTTACTATTACCAATATACATAAATGATGGTCTAGATACGTTGAGAAGGAGATATATTCTGAGAATCTGATAATTTTAAGATATTCATACCACATTCATTTCATTTCATCCATACAAATCATAAAACGATTACTTTTTCTTAGAAACTAAAATTTGAATTATTTCATTTTTTTTTTCTTTTATTAGTTTGAATAATAATTATATAAATTGGGTTTAAATTTTAGGAGTATCGTCGTGAGAAATTGTATCGTCAAAACACTCGAATTAATGCCCAAACTATTGGACAACCATTCACTGGACCTAAAAGGTATCTTATTTTTGCCAATGATATTTCAGTGATATGCGACCCTTGTGTCCTTCTTCGTATTCCAATTGATTTTTAATTTAGGAAACTGTTGCTGCAAACTGGTTCACTCAATTTTCGCCCTCCAGGTGGTCGTTCAAAAAGTGCTCCAAGATTATTTGATATCGATGAGGAGAATGAATATCCCGAGGAACAACAGGTTTTTAACTTTGCTCGGGAAATGCTCTTCATCAATGCATTCCTTCCTCACATTTCTGAATTCTGTTACATCCTGAATGAATTCCTGAATAGCCGGATTTTTTCATTTGCAAATATTTCTTAATGTTCATTAATGTCCTTTCAGACTAATTTCTTTTCTTTTAGTATAATGATTTTTCCTCATTTCTTTATTAAACGGATTTTCGAAAATATTTCTGAAAATGAGAAGATGGAATTTTAGGAAGAATACTCGGATGAAGATTCATTATGTTATATAGAATCATCGGTCGGTGCTGATGCCTGTAGTACGAATAGTTTAGAAGAGACAGTGGAAATTCCTTTCTGTCGACAGAATTCTTCCCGCGGTTTATTTTCATTTTACTGAAATCCAAGAGAAAAAAAAAAAAAACAAGTTAGAAAATTGACGTGTTTGACGTTAAACGTCTTCGTTGCTATTGCTTTCTTGCAGTGTCATACTTTTCCTTTCATAGTTAGAAGGATGAATAAGAGCAGCTATTTAGATTTATGAAGAAACTCAATTTGAATATGTCACAGTGCTTAGAACAATAATTTAACTATTTTTTTAGACAGTTATGGTGTGAAGCAGAGACAGCACTTAATAAGGAAATTATGTGATAAGAGGAGGATTGGAGAGGAAGAACAACGGAATGGATCAGTGACTAGTGATTTTAGTTCAAGTATTGATTCTGCTCCATCCAGTATTAGCTCAGATGATGGCATTCAATGCACTGATTCAGAAAATCGACCCTTGGAATTGCGGAACGGAGAGAAACGATTAGAACGAGAAACAGACACAATTAGCGAGGAGTCCGGTTATCATGATTTTGATGATGGCTTCAACAGTGTCATTACTGATGGTGGTGACAATGACAACTGTGATCGAGGTAACGATGACGATGACGATGACGATGACGATGACGAAAGTGAATATGATGAGCAAGTTACTGCACTGTAGAGTTACTGCACTGAATTATCGCAGCAATTGGTCAGTGTTTCGAGATGAGTTTATTAAATTGAATTGAAGATTAGCATCATCCATCCTGCTAGCATGTGAATATGTCGGAGAGATGAAACAAGGCGACAGTAAACTCATCCTAATGAATAGCAGTGAAGACAATGATTGAAAATTGATGATATCAAATCCATCCTGATAATCATTATTGATAATAGGTATTCCCACTGCAACTCTAATGCATTTATCTAGCAAATTTGTCATGGATGGTGACATTCGAGAGTATTAGTGATAAAAAAAAAAAAACAAAAAATGTGATGCAGTATTTCCCATACATATTTGCAGAATCGTTATTGAATCAATCCTCTTACTTCATTCTTTTATCCTATTTCATGGTTTTTTTTTTTTGCTAATTAGAAAAAAAAAAATCATATGCTCATTTTGAAATCATACGAATCATAAATTTTAAATTATCCCAATTATTTTTTAATTTTGAAAAAATCTTGCTAGTGCAATTTTAAAACTGTAGCAATTGTTAAATATGCTCACTTAATTTTGAAGCTGTCTTCTTAAAATCTTCATATTCGTAAAATTATTCCTTTCTTTTTTTGCTAGAAGAAAAGCTAAGAGATAAATTAGGATAGCAGAATAGCAGAATAATAATTATCAAAAACTGTTTCCAAATGAAATGCTCTTTCGATTATTGCAGAAATATTGCTTTTACACTATTTTTCAGTTCAAAAATGTAAATACTTTAATAGGTTTTTTTTTTTGAAAAGAAACAATGCTGCGTTGTTGCATTGTATTATTGTTTATTGGTAAATTAAATTAGTAATGTCATATTGCTTTTGCAGATATAAAAGTTGATGACATTTTGGGATGCCTTAAATCTTAAATCATTCTCGATCATATGGAAGGACTGTCACAGTAAGTAATCGGTGTGTGAGTTGTTATCGTAGTTCTAGCAAATTAAATAGAGCTATCATCCTTTGATGAGACGAAACGAATGAGTGGTAATTTGCAGAGGTAAATTTAAATGATTGGATTATAATTCGGTGTACCACAGAAATACCACTGGATTAAAATTCAAGACTTTGATTATAGTTTAGTAAACAATCTTTTTGCACAACACAATTTAATTCAATTTGTGTGCAAGAGAGAAATAAGTATAAATTAATCTTATCACATGCAATCAACATTGATGACATACAGAAAGTTGACAGAATTGTTAATTGCAATGGATAAAAATCATAGGTATTATCATATACAAAAGCACTCGAGAAATAATAACAATCATAATTATCACCAATGATAATTACTATATTCACCGTTATCACATCAATCGTTTTTTAACTCTCTGCAATGATTCACTACTGTAAATATTATCAGTGATTATCACCAACGTTCAACTAATCCATCCACATGCAAAACACATATTTCGTTAGTTTTACTGAAAGCAGTGGTTAGTTGAAGGATGGTTTTCATCAATAGAATAAACGTACATTTATTTTATCATTAAATTTGATAAAGAACTGAAAATCTCTCGAGATTTTGATAAGAAATTTTAGCTAAAAGATAATCCTTTCTTTCATATAAACTAATTAATTCACTGTAAAAAGTCTAAAGAGAGAGACTTTTAAAGGAGAGAGATTTCTTTTTAAAATATACACAAAAAAAAAAAAAGAAACAAATATAATGTGAATTATTCGTAACAAAGATACAAATATAAAAAACAAAAATACATTCAGTTGTACTCACTCGTATGTATATAGCTAATAATGAACGAGTGATTTAGCTTATCATTGAGTTAATCATACATTCAACTCTTCAAATAAACAATATTAATTAAATTTAAGACAGAAACACATATCATATCAAACTGTTAGTTAATCAAGATAAGTACTACTCATGTCTGTCATGTTGCATTCATAATTCATAAGTTGAATTACTGAAAAATGTCAAGTATAACTTGAACTTTCCGATAGAGTCATTTTTAAAGGTAAATATTGAAGGTAAATTTTAAAGGTAAATATTGAATTCGTTGCAAGGACATATATCCGTTGCATCCATCATCGAAAACTTCTGATTCCAAAACCGGAAAAAATGCAAATTCTTGAATAGGAAAATGATACCCGCACTGGAATCTAGAAATTTTACTCGTCCTTTTTTTGAAGATGCAGGCAAAGTTATGACCATCGAAGACTTACTTAATCAATCACCGAAAACACATTAAACGGAATGGCATGAATACAAGCTATCATCAGCTATCAGTAAAATAGCTGGGAAACTTTAAGGAAATTAAGTTGTAAATTGTTAAATTAAATTGATTTCAAACTTCACTACTTTGTATTAATTACCTTCGGAAAAATTGTTTTTACTTGGAGTTTTACTTTTTAGTTCGTTTCTTTTAGCTGTTGTGTTAGCACATACGTTCAATCTATGTCAAGCATTTAAAACTTATGTCGCATGAAAAAAAAAATAAATAAATAAATAAATACAAATGTGCTCTTCAACAATTCTAATTTACATCTTTCGATAATGATAGCATTCTTTCCATCCCTTAAAAATAATACACTTAAATGATAAGATTTGGAAGTTTAGCAAAAATATTTTCTTTCCAAATAATAAAAAAAGTAAAGAAAAATGAATTCGTCAATCTATTTGGAATCATTCATAAATTGGCAGTAAGATTTTTTTTAAAAAAAGCAATAATTTTTTATGAAAAATGCGTGAAATAGATTTTGACAATGATTGGAAGTGGACAGACGACAATAAATAACATAAGAATTGGGATGGTCGTTTAAAAGAAAGAAGGAAGCAAAAGAGGGAACTGAAATCGCTCGATCGTATAGATGGAATATTAATTCTTGCAAAACCTTTTTTGCATTGCTTTGACACAGGTGACCTGCTAGATGCGACATATATTGTGTGTGTGTGTGTGTGTGTAGTTAAACTGATCTTTTGAATTGATGTTAAAGTTTTGGGTCTGTAGACACAACTAACAGCATCGAAGCGAACTACTGACAGATTGATGATGGGATTAAATTTCATTTTCCGGAAATAGCCATCCATCCGTATTTCAATTTCTTTTTTTCTTTCTCGTTGCATTTATGCTTACTTCACATGTATGGCTTAGCAACAGCTGCTGATGAACGGTTATCATTTAGCTGAAGATACTGGTCGAAATCACGTGGATTCAAATCTTGTGCATTTAATTCCTGAAATTAAGATTTCATCCAATTTCTAATTTATTTATTTATTATGTTCTACTAAGAGAGCAAAAAAACTTTTCATTAGAACATACTAAAATGTCATCCATTTATCGATGAATAATTCATCATCAAATGGTATTAGTGATGATAATAACAACAGATGATTACTCATAAATAAATTCTTATCAAATGCAATTACTCTTAAGCTTCTCTATTCATACGTCAAAAATGCTCATAAAAATAAAATGAAATAAAACATTTTTGGATTTAATTTTGAATTTTTATTTGCAAAATTTCGACTTACTCTCACAAGATTGGGATCAATTTCATGAGCACTTTGTAACGGAACCATACTTACGGTACCTACGCTTACGTAATCGATTTCCATCGTATTGTCTACAGCTGAATCATTCGATACATTCCTCTGCAATTGAATGCTTTCAATTTAATTACTACTATTATTATTATTATTAATTTATTATTACTTTTCACTTCTTTTCCCCTGCACCTTTCTCATATTTTCATCATTTGTACTTGATATTTTTATACTTAATTAATAGAGTAAGATGAAATGAAAAGTAAATCATAAAACAACTTTTTCTTTTTTCAAATCTTTTTTTCAAGTCATGAAACCTTTCTGTAGCAGGTGATGAAGATCGACTGCATTGGTAATAGAAATTATTAACATTAGAATGTTATTTCAAGAAATTTTTTTTTTTTTCTTAAATTATTAATCAGAGTGCTATTTAAATTTTTACTGAACTTTAAACCTCATTTTCTTCCCAATTTTCGACTGAGATAATTAATGACTATTTTTTTAACATTATTTTTTATCATTATCATTTTTTTATCATTACATTATCATTTAGTAGAGTTAACTTTATGCAAGGACTGCTATAGCAATTCCAGAAAAGAATTCCAATTTACTTTCCTTTCTTAAAAAAAATGATAAAAAAAAAATCATACATTATGTGCATAGTACGGAGTTCTTCCAAGAAAATCATTGCCAACTGTTTGACCGGAAACGTAATACTCGTTGTAACCAGATACCTGGAATTTCTGTATACACTTTTGGTTTTTTAAATTTTCTTTAAAGGAAATGAAAGATTTAATGAATATGAAATGTAGAAATAGTGAAAATGAACCACCTGTTTGTGGCAAAAAAATTTTCTATACTATGACTAATAGCACTGCAAGAAAGATTTCTAAAGTTTAGAATAAGGTAATTATATTGGTAATCAGTGTTCCACCTTTCGCTCAGAAAAAATCTCCAGAAAATTTCATGCTAATAGCTACACCTGTATGAATCACATTTCTACTCTATCAATTTCATTTTCTTTTTGAACTTTAAAACTATCACTACTCTTCTTCCTACTTCTATTAAGAATATAACTGATGCAATATAAAATAATAAAGTAACGAATTTTGAATCTTTCCGCACCGCAGGGATTTCAGGTTGTTGCTGTACCATAGAAGGTACTGGAACCTGCTGCTGCTGCGGCTGCGGCTGCTGCTGAGCGGTCTGCCATGGTGGCCCAATCCAGCCCTAAAAATTCATGCATGCTTCAGAAATATGTGATTGTCTGCATAGAAATGATAAACAAAAAGGAATCCTCCATAACGAACACATTTTCTACATTCCGCTTTCAGCTACACTTTCCATTTCCGCACATTTTCCTCTTTTGTATTTTTGCGCGGAACGGAACATCACAAAATGTGAAATTGAAATTGAATTACCTGTCTGTAAAGCTGCTGTTGACGTTCTTGCATACCACGCCGTTCCATCTGTAGTTGTTGTCTTCGAACCGATGAATCATCCTGTGGTAAACGGTCAGCACCAAGACACCAAAAAGAATGTAATGCAAATCCAGAAAGACTTTCTGATCCATGTCCACGTGAAAAGAACTACTCTAAGCCTAATTTTCTTGTAGGTACCTATCACTCCAGATCACTATTATTATGTTAACTGATCACCCTCTTATCTTCCTTTTTCTTTTAGTAATCCTTTTGCTATGAAAATGAAAATGGCGCAAAATGTTCTAAAGCTGAAAGATCCACCTGCGACACTTCATAAACATTTCTCCTAATTTGGCCTGTATTCTGCCTTGTACATCCATGCCTTTGCCATATACGTTCTTCTTGCAATTGTGGTGCTATAATGTGACACTTCAAATGAATGAAATAGGAATGCATTTCGAATTAGCATATTTATTTATGAAAATAATTTAAACCATCTAACATTGGCTGAAATAATCTGCAAATTATCTTCGCAATGATTTCAACGATCATAGTCATAGTACTTCATTGGATATCGTATAAAGCAAAACGTACGTATTCTGGGGTCATACCAGGTTGTTTCACGACTGTTGTGATCTACAAAGTACACTTCACCGTTCTGATCATAACGTTTTGCCCATCCATCCGGTAAAGGTCCTAATCCATCATCCAATTCCTGTAGAATGTAATAAATTATAATAGCATAGTTTAATTGTTTATATCAAAATTTCTTTGCAAACTTTCGTTAATGATTAATCGTATTGTGACACTAACTCTGCATTTAGCTCCTGTATTCCTGAAAGGTTACTTAAATACTTATTATTGCAGTAATTAAGTCTGGTATCCTATTACCTAAGCAATGCATCCGAGAGAGGAGAAAATGACGTACAGTCTGCGACACAGGTGCCGTAGGCTGTAAAATAGATTGTTGCTGCTGTTGTTGTTGTTGTTGTTGTTGTTGTCGTTCCATCATTGGACTCTCGCTGGCAACCAAAGCCATTGGATCCAATGATTGACTTTTGGCCCGTGGCTCACTCCAGTAAGTAACTTCGGTTGCATTACTAAAATGGATGATAACAGCCTTCAGTTCTGTTTATGTGATCTTAGATAAACTCTTATAAACTCCTATTTTACTCAATTTCAGTTTCTATTTCAGTATAGGTTAGTTAATATGTAAAATTGTTAAAATTGTTATAAAATTTTTATTTTTAAAAAAAAATTTTAAATTTGTTCAAAAAAAAGTTTAACGAAAATTGTTAAATTATGAAACGATGGTGGAATATTTAGCATTAAGAAATTTTCTGCAAAATACCAGAAGAATATACCTGAAGTCATCATCCAGTTGAAAAAAACTCAAAACATCAACTTTACTAATCTGTCCCAAATTATTTTTATCAAATATTCTCTCTCCCAATTCATATCATTGTTATCACCGCTCTAATATATGTTAGTATCATTTCCAATATCATTTTTGAATTATTAATTTTTCGAAGTATGTACGACGATTGAAACTGTTTAATTGCTAATGTAAGAGAAGTCGGTAAGGTTCAAATGATTTAATTATTAAAAATTACTGTATTTTGAAGTACAATTCTGCTTCAATTTTAGTTTCTTTGTTAAAATATCCACTCTGTATGAAGAAAAAATTTTTCAAAAATCCCGAAATTAAAAGTAGCTGATAAGTGGTATTGCTTCTGAAGTAATCCCTACCTGAGTTTTAGAATTCCTACCTCATTTAGGCAAGTTTTAATCACTGAAGTGAGCAATCAAATGAATCAGATATTGCATGCGGATTTGTGGTAACATATTAGTAGAAGAAAATAACACCTGTTATCTAGAGAGATAGAGAAATTAAATCTTCAGTCCATCATATTTACCTTTTTTTAAAACTTAGAAGTGAAATTTCCACTTTTTTATTGTTCATGAAAATTGAAATGGTCGAATAGAAGAAACATACTCGATAAAGTAAGGCTGTCCTTGCGGAGTGTAATTTGGCTCGAAGTGTTTGCTAGGCTCGCAATCTAAGTCACAACTTTTGGCAGCTCGATGAGATGCAGCTTGGTACTGCTCACCAACATTAGATACCGCCATGACACTTAACGACTTGGAAGGTACATGTGTTATACTAGATGCCAAGCGACTGCAAATTGGTGGTGACGAAATGTCGGTAAGATTGACTTTCAGACAATTTTGTATATTTTTGAAATGCTTGAAAAGATTTTTACTTTAGCCATCGCTGTCTTTTCCTTATTAATTAAACTTGCAGCAGCACTTGGAAACCTGTCCTACTGTATGATAAAAAGAGGAAAGTAATACCTGGAGTGATGCTCAATATTATCTTCGTAATTGATTAGTGCAGGTGCAGAACTTTGTCTGGGATGATAAGGTCCTTGATAAGATGTATTAAGCTGTGTGGATGAGACTGAACTTGGACTTAAAGTTTGTCGACCACTAGAGCCAAGTCCATCATCGCTTGATCCTTCTGTGGAAGAAACATGTGGTTTCAATGATGACACCGGTCGCTGATTAAATGATGCCGGCACACTTGGCTGAAACGATAATCTCTTCCGGATATGCGGTAACATGAGACAGCACTTTGCAAGTAGACAAGGATGAACTGCCGCTGCATCTCAATACTGATGGAAGTGATATTCTGTTGCATCAGATAAACTGATGATGACAGCAATGACAAAATCAGTTCCGCATCACACTGCGTTAGATGAAATAAAATGGTGTGCTACTATTCACCGATGACTAAAATACCTTCTTCCGTTCAAAGTGCTTTCCGTGTGTGCGCATTCCTTCCGTGAAGAGCTCCTCCAGCGACTTCTGCGGATCATCGACGTGCGTGTTAATTTGCACGTGCGGAGTGCTCGTCATCGTTGTTGTTTGTAGTTTCGCTTTCGATGCCATCGCCATTTCCACTCGTTTTTTCGCCGACGCCATCACGGCGACTCTTCGGAAAAATAAAATTCACTGTGAGCAAATTGAATCTGTTTACAACCATAACGGAAGCAAAACGTTTAATCAGTTAATTAACAAACAAACATCCTTGCTTATTTGTAAATTTGTGGTACCTGAACGATACTAAGTGTTATGAGTTCATTGGACTATTCTGAAATAGTACTGAACATAGCAGGTGGCAGTTGGCATTGCTTAATCAAATATTAACTTTGGAATATAAAAGAAAATTTCCATGGAACATTGACCAGAAGAAAAGATCAAACTTATACAGTTTAATAGCTGTGAAATAAAACTTAATTTTAAAGCAAAATTTCATTAGAGTAAAACATAAATGGAAGAATTAGTGAAATGGATGTGGAAACAGAAAAAAAAAAAAACCGGAAAACTGGATGAGATGTAATTGTGGAAAAGAGAAGGGAAATGCAGAAGGAACCGTAATCCATAGCCATCACAGGATTGCAGCAAACGGATGGGATGGAAATCCACAAATGGGCATATGCCCTACCCTAAACAACAGCGGCAAAAGCATCAATTTCATTGGAAGCCTCCCATCCACTACGGTAACAATGGTACATCCCCGTCCTCTGTTACCTTACCTCACCTCACCTTACCTTACCTCATCTTACCTTACCTTACCTTATCTCTACCTCATTTCTTGGAAAGGTAGCAATTGAATTATTCATGCATACACACCAAAACACATCTTATATGATTGTCTTTCGGCGAATCTAATAATTACCATTATAAATTTTTCTGTTTTCAGCGTCCAACAAATATCGGCGACATTCCGGAGCCTACTGGACCACACTTCTATCTTCCCATCCCTCTCAATACCACATTATTTTAATTTCTACCTATCTAATTGCTACTTCGATGCTTTCTGACACACACACACACACACACACACACACAGACACAGACAGACACATACATATATATTCATTTCGCATATACTGGAAATTTCTTAAGAGCAAAATTTGTTGGGGATTTGCTGATAGCATACAGTTAGAAAGGATGGATATTTGGAAGCAATGCTTAAAGTTAAATTGCACTGCCACATGCACATGCATTGCCACATGCACATGCACATGCATATGCAAGTAATGCATCATTTTCCAATCCAATAATTCACTACCAAAAGGGTAAAGCTTTAGCCCAATTTCGGCATCGGGCAAAATATACTTTTTTTTTTCTCAGCAAAACATTGCTTACACATTTGCGAATGTGGCAGCGTTAATGGGAAATGAAGATTTTAAGCCCGACAAATGCCTCAATTCTGCCCGACAAATACCTCAATTCTGCCCAACGTTCCCCCAATCACACATCAGATTCCAAGCATTCTCAATCTCCAATGCTAATTTTGCTCTATTTGAAACACACACACACATGAGAATGAGAAAGCATACCTCTTGATTACTTGAAGCTTTTGATATAAAAATTTCCTTTCCTTACCCACTATTACTCCCAAATTTAAAAGAATTTAAAGAACTTCCTGAAGATTTCATGTAAAGCAGTATTATTTACTTTTCATATTAACTTTGACTTTTTCATAGTAACATCTACTATAAGCAATGTAAACTATACGACAGGTATAATAGTTAATTCACAGTTTTGATAATTCAATTTTTCTTTTTTTTTCCACCAGAAACATTTCTAATACCGTATCTTGGTACCAACTTCTTCTATAAACTGTTAATATTCTGGTGAAAAGAAGGTACCATTTTATTGGTTATTCTCCTAAAATTATATTATTTTATGTTAGATTTGAAATATCACTCAGGAATTCTGGATTCTTGTCAAAATGATTGATTTCCTTTTAATTCATCTCATTTAGTTGTACCAATTATTCAAACATGCATCCAATTAATAAAGAATAACAACAACAACAACATTTCTTGTCTTGAAAATACCTTCCCCTTCTCCTTCTCCTTCTTCCTCTTCCTCTTCCTCTTACCTTACCTGATCCTACCCAGGTATTCATAGCAGAGAGTTTTCTTCAATCGGATCTAACGGGAGAATGAATGAATGACCGCCAAAATACCTTCTCACAACTTCCGGACTGCTCGATCGAAAAACAAAACAAAGAAATTCTTCGTTACCCACCCACCCATCCTCTCTCCCTCCCTCCTCCCAGACATAGCAAATGATGCAATAATGTCATTTTGTAGTGATATAAATCGATGCTACGGGAACGTAGACGAAGGGAAAAAAGAAAAATGAAAAGGCCATTGATATTTACAACGTTCAATTTTCGATAATACACAAACGTTACATTCCTTTACAGAGAGATGATGATATGGTATTTTGCTGTAGCACTACAACAACTACCTCTCTCTCTCTCTCTCTCTCCCTCTCTCTCTCTCTCTCATCAAATATTTCATTGTTTGAGCAAAAAAAAAGAAAATCTTAAAATGAAAGCTTAAATAATAACTCTCAAATTATTTCATTTATTTTTGAAATTTTTTCAACTAATGCAAAATTTAAATAAATGATATTGTGGAATATGATTATAAGTGAGTGATTAAGAAAAGGATGCAAATGTTTACACTTCTTTTAACCATTTTACTTGACTTATTCGATACCAATATATTTTATTTGATTTGTTTCATATCTGATTGATGAACAGATTTAGTTAGGTACTATGATTATACCTGTTGTTGATCTAAAAAAAAAAAAAAACAAAGAGATAAGAAAGTGAAGGAGGAAATCCAAGTTATAGTATTCAAGTTACAGATCTGCAAAAAAAAAAAAAAAAAAAAACAAATAAGCGATAGAGAAAAGGAAGACTGTTGATGGATGAATTGAAAAGATAAAAATTATTTGACTGCTCGGTTGACGTCACAATGTCCGATGATCGTCTCCAATTGTGTTCTGTCTGTTCTTCAGCACAGAAATGACGATGTGATCAGAAATTGCACTTACTTCATCGAGGGAAACTGCATTTGTCCACTTTTAGACCGTTCAATGGCTCTCTCTTATCTTCTCCAGTAATAGAGAGTTAAAAGTATTACATTAAACAAGGTGAGTGGGTCTGTGAGGAAATGGATGGTGATGATGATGATGATGATGATAACGATACTAATAGAGAGGTGTGGCATGCTGATAAGGGTAATGAAATCTTACGATGACACTGATAATGAGGACGATGTTAGCAGCAGCAGCAGCAATGATTTATGGAAGTGGTAGAGACACTGGAGGGGTAAGTAATGAAGAAGAGAAAGCCATCTGTTGCTGTGACATTGCCACAAACTGATAGGAGAGTGATAAGGAACTGAGTAGGACCAGTGTAGCACCAAAGTATTGCTTTCCCATTTCTTGCATATCACCTATGCATGGGAAGAAGAATAGGTAGGTAAGCAGTATGTCAGGTAAGTATCAGGTAAGCAAGAATCTAACATGTATTGATAAGTGATAAAGAATGGTAAAAGATAGTAGCATGGGTTATCTCAAACCACCCGCACAATCTGATGCGATTGTTTATTGAAGTGAAATGGCTACCTGACTGGATGGCTGGCTGAATGGATGGATGGATGGATGGATAGATGTTTGTTACTTGTCGTTCGGAAAAAAAAGCTGGAACTAGAAGTGGAGTGACCGAATGATGGGAAAACCGGAAAATGAATGAGAAGTAGAAAGGAGGGAAGACAGAGAGTAATGAAAGAATAGAAAGTAAGCAGAATGGATGGATGGATGGTGAGCTTTGCAAGCAGTTAAACGCGTTATCAAATGAATGGTTTCTGTTTTGCAGTTCCGATCAAGTTTAACTGAAAGGTGTGTTGATAGAGAGAGAGAGGGAAAGGGAGAGAGAGGGGGGAGAGGGAGAGGGAGAGGGGAGCAGAAAATGAAGTAAGAAGAGAAGAAAGTTAAGTTTACTCTTTAATTGTTAAAGTGTTACTGGGGAAGCAGACAGAAAGATGAGGTACGTTCTTCGATTAGATCAGGATCATTCGGGTCGGGTCGGGTCGGGTCAAAGCCGCTCCTATGAGTAGCAGTAGCGCAGTAGTGACAGCAGCTAAGACACTGAAAGTGAAGACGATTGCCTTCAAGGTGTGCAGTGTCTGTTCGTCTGTCCCGTGTCTGTCTGTCTGTCTGTGTATGTGTGTGTCTGTGTGTGTATAGTTGCAAGGAATGGTGTGGAAATGGTAAACTTTAAGAAAGAGGAAGGAGTCGGTACGTAATATAAGGTGTCAAAAAAGATAGTGAGAGAATTGAGGTGCACCCAGAAGTATGTATATATGTATGTAGGTATGTATGTGTATGTGTACGTATGTGTATATACATGTGTGTATATGCATGTGTATGTGTATGTGTATGTATGTGTGTATGTGTATATACATGTGTGTGTATATGCATGTGTGTATATGTATATGTATGTGTGTGTATGTGTATGTGTGTATATGTATGTATGTGTGTGTATGTATGTGTATGTGTATATGTATGTGTATGTATGTGTGTATGTGTATGTGTATGCATGTGTGTATGTATGTGTATGTGTGTATATGTATGTATGTGTATGCATGTGTGTGTATGTGTGTATATGTATGTATGTGTGTGTATGTATGTATATGTGTATATGTATGTATGTGTGTATATGTATGTATGTGTGTGTCATCGCAAGCGGTAAACCGTACGCCACCGGTTAAGCAGACACCGTTAAGTTAGCGGTGCTGGTGGTAGCAGTTTGCTTGAGTAATTTAGCCAACGACCATTTCCTCAACTCCCTCCTTCCTCCCACATACCCATCCATCCGTCCCTTTCTCTAATAGCAGCAAGGTACTGGTGACAGCGGTAGTAATGGTAGCACTGGTAGCAGTAGCGGTAGTAGTGGTACGGTGGCGCTGTATCGTCATGGCTATCCATCAACGCCATTGCCAATCAGATTCTCTTCCAAACTTTCAGTCATTCTTCCTTTTAAATTTTCATCAACTTCAGGAGCGCTTATAGTCTTCCATTGTTGTACTGGGGAAGAAACTGCACAGGTAATGACGTTACGTCAGTGAGAATATCACGTACCACGTCATCCTTCAGTGAGAATATCACGTATCACGTCATCCTTCTCATATATGTATTTGTGATTGTTATTTACGCCTAATTAGAAGCGTAGAGTATGTCAATGAATTAATTATTAATATTATAGACTGTAAAATTTGCATGAAGGATGTGAGTGACAGAAGTTGAAAACTTCATATTAGCAGGTGGTTTTATCAGTGATGACAAAGTGCTTTGACAATTTCTTCTTCTTTTCAACATTGGTCACACCACTCATGTCAAGTCATTTTATGAAATTACTGCAAGTGATCAAAACTTTGAATCCTAGGATAGGATAAGTTAGCTGTTAGTTAAATTAGCAAGGTGATGGGTTTGCTTTCCTTCTGTCTCATCAGGTCCTTTTCGAACACGGCGGCTTTTTCACTGTACATAACGGAGATGTCAACTACTTCAAGGACATTACTGTAAGTTTGGGACACTTATAGTTGGATTAAACTCTCCCAGTTATCGGTGCCATTTTCAAGTACAACAGGGAAATGGAAATGGAAAAAGTACTATTTGAAAAATGAAACAATTCTAAATTGCTAAGCTTCTAATAAATATAAATTTTTCCTATAGCAGAAATATCCTTACGTTTGTTTTCCATTTTGTAAACTGCACTTTATCAGCAAAACTAACTTTTCATCCTTTCATCCTTCCCTCAATTTCAAAACTTGTATCAGTACCGTATCGTTTGTCTATTACTGTACCTCATTCTCATTCTGAGTGAAATTAAATAAACTTTGAGAAAACAATCTTACTTTAATCTTATCTGTTTGTATTCACTGACAAATCAAACGAATTGCAGTTCTCGCAGAAGTTCGTACAAATTGTCTCATTAGCAGTAACACTGTATAACGATAGGACAGGAGAGACAGCCCAAGGTCAAGGGTAAACTATAACCTTTCTCTCCTTTCGCATCCTCTGATGCACTCCATTCTCGATATATTATTACTACCACTGACAACAAAATGTCCACGGGTTAAAGGAATGCACGGTGAGAAATATTAACTTGGCTGACAATAAAATATGCTACCTCTCTCTCTCCCTCTCTCTCTCTCTCTCGTATTTGTCCGATACAGGAGTTCATATTGCTACTGGTATAATAATATGGTTGCATGTTTACAGCTTCTTTGTTTACAATGTGCTCCTTGATGAGAGAAACAACAAATCTACTCTGTCAATATCTGTCATCGTCAACAACAACAGCAATGTATGTACTGCAGATGACAAACAGAATCTGAACCTGAACCTAAATTTAACACTTCTCTTAATATACTAATGAAATGTGCAACTGATTACCTTCAGCAACTTCCTTAAATGCATAATAACACTAGGAAGATGGTAAATTAGACATGTCATAATTTGCTAGAATGGTTGAAAAGAAAGCAAAACAATAAAAAGTCGAGAAAAAGAAACAAGGTAATAGTTATGTAGGATATGTTTTATTACTAGAAAAAGGTTATTTCATTGAAATTTAAGCAATTGTGAATGTGCATAGAACCAATGTGAGAAAGAGAAAACATCGGAACAATGAAAAATTGCAAAACTATGTGAAAAAATAGAAACTAAATATCAAATATTATGCAAACATCACTGAGCACAACTACTTTATCAACATATAGGCTTACATTGAAGGTCAAAATCTATCAAAAAAAAAAGTTCTTAAAACTTGGCTTTATACAAAATATATCCTATTTGTACAGACAACCTTGAATTTTCTTGTTTCGAATCTCTTTCTCTAAGATATTAAAAAATTCTCACTCTATGCGACAAGCGCAATTATTAATAATTCACTATGTCACACAACCAATCACAACCCACCATCAAATACAAAACATATTGCTCAGATCTTAAGCCAAATGTACAATCTAAGCAGTAATTTGGAAATTTCTTTCATTAATTTTCTATGGTTGTACAATTACTAACAAAGTTGAAAGTTATTGATAAATAATTACATAAATTAATTACCAATCAATAATTACATAAATAAATATCACACATTATTGAGCGCAAAATAAACTGTAATATCGTTCTTTGAGAATATTCTTTTGTACTTTTCCCATCGCATTTCGTGGCAACTGATCAAGACAGAGAAAACGCTTTGGTACTTTATAGTTAGCAAGTTTTGTACGAAGAATACGAATTGCTTCAGATTCATGCAGAAATGCATGACTACCTAATTCCGGTACATAAACAGCCAACACTGCTTCACCCAAATCATGATGTGGGATACCTGAAGGAAGATAAACTATGCATCACATATTCAAACTTAATACTGCAAAAATCCTTCCTCTTATATCTTCTCGCTTACACTCACAAAACATCAACATTATTACCAAGAATTTAATAAATTGTAATGTAAACGTTATCAAATTGCATTTTCGTTCATTAAGCTAACTATGTGAAGCTCTCTTGAGAAAACAATACTGGATTAGAGTGAAAGGTCAAGAAATAATGCTCATAGTGTTCAAATGCACACAACAAAAAAAGAGAAAATACCTTACTAAAAATTCGAGAATTAAAATGATGGTATTTACATATTCTATAAAATGAAACATAATAAATTAGAACTACCGACAGAACGAATTTTGGCTATTTATCGCTATTCTGATACTACACATTAAAAAAAAAGAAAAAAACACATAAGTGATTTACCTATTACAGCTGATTCCAATACATACGGTAAAGAATCTATAGCATCTTCCACTTCCTTCGGGTAAACATTTAATCCGCCACTTATAATCAAGTCTTTTTCGCGACCTTGTATCCATAAAAAACCTTCAAACATATATTAAATTGATAAAAGTTGATACGCAAAAACAGTAAAAAATAATTTTAACATAACAGATCACATCAATACAGTATGTTTTAGCGAATGGAGTAAAAACACAAATTTTGGTACTCCAAAACTTACCATCTTCATCAATTTTACCGATATCGCCAGTATTGAAAAAGCCATCTTCAGTGAAAACTTTTTGTGTTTTGTTGTCTTTTTTCCAGTATCCCGAAAACAAGCTCGGAAGGCGAATCTGCACTAAACCAGTTTCGGTTGTACGAATCTACAATGCACATATGTTAGATTATAGTTTTAACATTTTAATATGAAATGAATGATAGGCTATTAAATGACCTGAATTATCAATCCTTAACCACTGATTTTAATAAATTTATATTACAGTCGCATATATATTTACGTTGCAGTGCAATAAATTTTTAAAAGAATTAATCTACTAAACTTTTTTCTAGTCTAATAGATTAAGAAAAGAAAGACGAAAAGAAAGACTAAGAAAGGAAAGATGGCTTTTTTTTCTTGCATTACTTAAAATTTATCATTAGAATTGAAGAAATTATATTGTAACAAAGGGTGTCCCATTTTCAATTTTGTTTTTTCACAAACAAGATAATGCAGGAAGACATAAAAACGAAGTAATTGTTTGAATAGAATATGAAAGTGGAGAAAAGAAATTTACATTGCCACCCGGTAAAATTTTTCCAACAGATCCTTTTCTGCGATCATTGTATGGATTAGTTGTAATTACAGCTGCTGAAAGCAATTATTTTGAGCCAGAACTATAACTAAACGTTTGAATGTAAGGCTCAGTAGCTTATTGACATCCAAATCAATATCATTTTAGCAAGACTATTAAAATAATTATTCATCCACTACAGTGATGTATCTAAGAAAAATAAAAAAATAATAGAATAAGAGAAATTCTGATTTTAATGACAGAACAAATCGTAACCTTCGGTCATGCCATAACGTTCCAATATTTCATGTCCAGTTCGTTGTTTGAAATCTTCCCACAACACTGTAGATAAAGGTGCACTTCCACTTATAAATAAGCGAATATTTTTTGTCAGATCTTTATCGAAACTGGATTTTTGCATCAAACGACTAAATTTTACTAGTTGTACTGAATGAATAATATTTTGTAATCTGACCACATCTTTCATACACTAGAAACTTCAAAAATATTCTAAATTGTGAAGAACAGTCAAAGTTGTCTTTGAGGCGAGAAGTATTAAAATTTGCTGAAATGTAAAAATGCAAAAAACTGAAACCTGTAATATGTCGGGACACCCATCATGACTGTACATCGAGGTAACCAATCCAAAGCATCGTTCACATCGAATTTCGGCCTAAGAAATTTATTTACTAAGGTTAACAAAACCAAAGAGATAAATCTCCTTTCAATGTTATCCTTCTTCTTCTGTCTTTGCTGGTGAAAGATAAATGAAAAGACTACTTCATGCATTCAAATTTTTAATCAAGGATGGATATAAAAACTGAAATTAGATCAAGGAAAACTGATCATTACCTGAAAATGACACTAGATTTCGTGAACAGGGTGCAATTGAGACTTATGAACATCCCATGTATATGATCAAAAGGAAGCATATGGAGCAGCACATCTTTCTGTGAAAATTTCCACAAATATACTAGTGTTTCTGCATTCCATATAAGACCACCATGACTTATCATAGCGCCTTTTGGTAAACCTAAATATTTTCTCCTTCACTTCTAACATATGCTTAAAAAACCGATATATTCTTAAAATGTAATCGAAAAAAAAAATTTGGAAAGTTCTTTTCTATATGCGAAGTGTTAAATCAAACCTGTAGTTCCTGAAGTATAGCAAATACATGCAGTATCATCAGGTTTTACGCATTCCACACCATAGTCGGGTTCCATCTGGCGACTTTCCTCGAACAAAGCAGTGGAATCCATGACATGTTCAACTTTATTTGCAAAAATCTCATCTTGTTTGATATTAGAAGTAACAAATAAATAAGGATCACTGTCCTGCAAGAGAATGCTTTTTTCTCTACAGTTTTGTAAATGGAAGAATTTCCGATAAATAATAAAAGCCAAGCTTTCTAGACATTACCCATATAATTCTATAAAAATTATGTGGGGCAACTCATGCACTCGAAAGATAACACGGATATCTTAGTACAATATATTATTTGTCAGTAAATGACAAAATTATTAATCAAAAAACTAACTTTAACAAAATGGATAGTTTCTGCTAGTTTAAAGTTTGGATTTAAAGGTACATAAACAGCCCCAAGTCGTATTGTTGCCAAATAAAGCACCAAACTATCGATCGATTTCTCAACACGACTCAGTACTCTGTCGCCATGCTGAAAAGTAACACTGTAAAAGACGTGTTAGTTTAATATTAAAAGGTTTTTTGTTTCAGTCAAATGATGTGAAGAAAGAATATCTACTGTATCTAAAGTCGAAATTGCTCGGAAGTCAAGAATCCGTCAAGGTTATGAGATGTAGAATAAAGTGACACATCAGTCCAGACGTCGTTAATGATTAGTTTATGCAGTAAAAATTATTAATAAATTCCAAATAAACTCCTTCTTAAACTAAACTTTTTGAATTCAGCTTAATTTGAAGAAAAAAAAAAAAGAAAATAGATTGCGTACACAGAGTCCAAATGTGTTATGTAGAAGTGCCACCATCGAACCAACTTTTTTTGACAGATCTCTATAAGTTACTCTATCAGTATCATTAAGGATCAGTGCAGTTTGTGTCGCATGACTTCCAGATGCATCCAAACCCATACGATAAGTAATATTGTCTTGAGCTGTTGACACCCATCGATTTAAAAATATCCAATAATTTGCTACTAAACGCTTTGTATAACAGCCTGCTAACATTTAGAAATGATATATATATATATATATCTGAATAGGACACCTTGTGTTGTCAGTGTACCCAATATCTCGAACTAAGATTATGATTACGGCCACTTCCTTCATCCTTAACCATTATGATCAAATAATCGTTGCTGTTCTGATTCATATCCGAGTAAGCAACTGGAAAAAAGTCTATAAATGATGACAAAATTATACATGAATGAATTGTGATAAATTGATAAGATAATGTAGTGTAAAAATGATGACAAAATTATACATGAATGAATTGTGATAAATTGATAAGATAATGTAGTGTAAAAATGATGACAAAATTATACATGAATGAATTGTGATAAATTGATAAGATAATGTAGTGTAAAAATGATGACAAAATTATACATGAATGAATTGTGATAAATTGATAAGATAATGTAGTGTAAAAATGATGACAAAATTATACATGAATGAATTGTGATAAATTGATAAGATAATGTAGTGTAAAAATGATGACAAAATTATACATGAATGAATTGTGATAAATTGATAAGATAATGTAGTGTAAAAATGATGACAAAATTATACATGAATGAATTGTGATAAATTGATAAGATAATGTCTGGAGATGCCTTAAGCATCTTTCATTACACTTATCACATGATCAATGCTATCATCATCAAAACTATCAAGTAATGACCATCTTAAAATGTAAAATCATTCTTTATTCAAAATTTTAAACAATAATTTTTGGAAAATTACAAGCAAATATGTATGTCAACAAATGTACCTAGAAGTAAAATATTAATTGTTTTCTTTAATTTTTAATTAGCAATTAACTAATTAGCAATTAGCTTTTAATTAGTAATTAGCAATCTATTAATTAGCAATTAGCAGTCCAATCAGCTAAATACACATGAATGTTTGACAGGATCGCGAAATGAGCACTAACCTGTCTCGATAGTGTCACTTATTGTCACTCGTTGTGAAGTCAATGCTTGGTGTTGCTTCCAGCACATTTTTAAAATTAAATTCTGAGATTTAACTTTTAAAAGATTAGAAGTTCTTATTGCACTGTACTCCAATCATATACTTCTAGCAACGAATTTGCCTTTTTTCGATGAATTTATCTTATCAATTGTTCATTTTAATATTTTTCATACTTCAGAATTCTTCTCAAATACTAGAAGAATGGAAGATCGTTTTGGTTCAGTTTATTCAACAAAAAACTGATAAATGATGCTTGAATTGTTGTTCAGTCGACGCTTTTTACTACTTGGTACTATCATCACTTTGTAGGTTTTCTTCCTGAAATACCTGTTCATTGATCATTCACATCTAATTATAGCTCTGAATTACTAATCTAAAAGGTTATTAATCGAAAAGTCATTTCATTTCGTTGATTCACTTATTCAATGCTCTAATGCTTCTAATTTAATTGAATTGAATTATTGGTTCTACTTTGAAAAATAGATTGTTATTGGAGTTGCCGGATTATCTATCTCGTTTCGGCACTTTAAAATCATCATAGATCGTTTCTGTTTGAAGGAATTGTAGGCTTATTTGTTTTTATATCTTGTTGCAAATTAACAAATATTAAATATGCCATAATGCAGTGCATCCACGTGTTTACTCTTTGATTTCCTGATATTCAACTTTTAAATCAACAAGTGGGATTGAGAATGGAAATAGTATTAATTGAGTTTTACGAACCCCATTATGCCGGGAATGTTTGCTACCACAGTAGCTGCACATTACTTTCCGGTATCTTAAATGATAGATCATGGTATTTTCAGATGTAATATGAAGTTTGAGAGCTTCTCAAGCATAAGTAGGACAGAGATAAAATTTTCCTTTTTCAGAGTTACGTTTATATTGTTCGTTTGTATATATCCATTAGAAAATGTCTACGACGGAGATTTTGTGCTAAAGAAATTTGTTATGTGGAATATTCAACAAAATACTACAAGCGATGCATCTCGAGTTATCCAGCCGGTAAAATTTTACTTTTCGGGCGAATATTGAGCTCCAACTTGATATTAATTAACCTTACGTGAAACAGCTATTTAGGATTTGTGATAGATGATATTTAAAAAGTAAAAGTTTTTTTAAGTTACAAAGTGTTTACATAAAAATTGTTCATGTGACTTCAATTAAGGAAAAAAATTAAGATCTCGAATGGAATTACTTCAAAATTACCGGATCATATGTGCTATAAAAATGAGCCATTTATCGTTCTGGAAAGTTGTATAGCGTGCTCTCAGTTTGAGCAAAGTGCTATAAGAGCAGGTGATTCATTTATTTATTGAATTGTTTTTTTGTTTATTTAAATAATGTGGCATATCTTATGAAAGCAGTATAATTGTCTCTTTGTACGTTCCTGGGGTCTCCTATTGTCCAGTACTTTTTTTTTTTTTTCGTACTCCCCACTTTATTAAAATTTGGTAATATCTGAATACTTTAAGTTTTAACCTCTACCTCTTTAATGGGTCCGTAACGTAGAAAAGATAAATTCAGAAGAGATAGTCCTAGAAGTACTTTTATGAGAGATGTTTTATCCTTTAGATGAATTGATACGCTTTATTAAAAATGAATGATATTTTGCAAAATTTCGTGATCTTTTTCAGCTTATTGCTTTGAAACCGGATATTACGATAAAGTGAACTGTACACAAAGTAAACGGCTTGGTTTGAAGCCATGTTTTGGAAAAACAAATCGGTCTACCCAGTTTAATTTATTCGCAGTATTATGTGCTTCCTGTTTTGTTGCTAGCTATGGCCTAGTGAATTGGAGGCAAAATGTGCTTCGCAGACAAGGCTTTATAAGGGTGCAGAATCAATTTAATTAATTTTGTTGCCCCTCAGTACAACGAGTTTTGTTGCTTTCTGGTATTAGCGCTGTTTTGTGTTAGACATTATGAGTCATTAAAAAAGCAGTCAGGTACTGATTGTCGAATTAATCTCTTAGTGATTGTATGTATAACGGATAAGATGTAAAATACGAGGTTAACTAACAGCAATTACATAAGGCATAGAAGTGTGACCTTTATTAAACAGTGCATTCATTTCATGTGTTAATCGAGACGTTAGTGAAAATAATGCTGAGTGTGGGAAGAGGTTCCTATTTCTGTTTTCATTGTGAATAAAAGTGTTTAATTGTTTTTTGTCACTAAAGCATATAAGTGATGACGAAGTGTTCTTATAGAAATAATTGTAGTTTCTTAGTTTTGCAATTTATTAAAACTATTTTATATGCCTAATGAAACTTGCATTCGTAACATAGTTTTTTTGTGAACAAAGTTGTCTTCTTGTGAGATGACTAAATGATGAAAAGTCTAGCTTTATCCAGAAAAGGAATTAATTTTATGTGTAAATAAAACGGATCTTGAAAGCTTTAATTTATTGATTCTTCAGGAGTGTTATGCATATTTTTCTTCATTATTTACATAATCCTAGTTTTTAGTATGGATGTGTTCAGTTACTCCTTGTAGCTATTCATCTGGTGATTGAATCTTTATTGAAAGAAGGAAACCGATAGAGGAAAAGCTGCTCGCCTTCTTCATTTTAATTTCATAGAAAAGTTAAAAGCACTGCTTTCTTCATTCTTGTTATAAATAAACCTGTAAGCGCACTTCTCAAGACTACCGTCTCCTTCCCTACCTTCCTATGCTCAACCTCAACCACTCATTTTCTTGGTCTTGTTTACTGCTCTTCGACAAGTTTGTTATTTAATGTTTATTCCCATTTCTGCTTGTTGGGATTCTTGTTAAAATTTTTTCATAAATATAGCAGATAGTTGTAAATTAATTTAAATGAAAAAAGAAACGAATTAATTAATACAAACATAATAATTCAAACGTTGATTACGGAAAGATTAGATTCAGATACCATAGTTTTGTTCTGGCAAGTTTGTAGCAATTTACAAAATATAAAAGCACATCTTACCACTTCCATTCTTGTATGAAATGAAATTTTGCATTTTGAGAACACTGATTGAAAACTTGTGATTGTCCTATCAGATATATCGGAAAAGATTACTTTACTCTTTCACCCTAAGCTAACTTCACTAGATCAAATACATAATTAAATTCAAGTGGAAACATATGCTAGTAAAATTCACGGGAAGTGAGCTACTCGGATTCGACGTACGCAAAAATTTGTCAGTCAGATGAACTTACGCGACAAAGTCAATGTCAAACAAAGCTTAACTAAACTAGGTATTCAGTTCGGCTGAATAGAATTAATCAAGAAATAATCATAACGCATAAAGTTTTCCAAAATAAAACGACAAGAAAAAAAAAAAGAAAACGAAATGCCATCGTGAAGCTAATTTGTCAAGAATTAAAGAAGAAATATGCACAGAGAAGAGGAATGTCATCATTTAACTTTTATTTTGAATAAAATTTTGTCACATCTAGAAAAGACTTAATTTATAAATGTGTCACTCTTCCGTAATTCCTGATCGATTCAGGAAACACAATGTTTGATGGTTATTATTTGCGCCACAGTATATTCAAATAATTTTGCTTGTTCAATTAATAACTCTAAATGAAAAAAAAAATGCTTGTCTATCCAATAATATCTGTACAACAAGTAGTAAATAAGTCGTATAATAAAGCAAAAGTTTAACTTTTTGTGCAAATTTTTATTTAATTTCAGTTTATTCAATTTTTGAGAATTAATAAATGCAAAATTTTTTCTTGATTAATGCGAATAAATTTGCTTTCCTGTGAGTTCTGATGCGATATGCTTGTTGAAAGCTAATTAACATTTAATTATTAATTATTTTATTATTATTGATTTACCATCTATTTCTATTATATTTGAAGAAGCAAGACTGTTTATCATCAACATTGATCGTTGTGATTGATAATAATTTAACAATAATCTGATAAGTGTTCAAAGTTATCTTAAAAGATTCATTTAACAATCATTTTCAGTACAAATTATTAACGTTAGGTTGTTGTCTTAGAGTGATGTGACATGAGACATTTGTTTATTTAATTGTAAATGTCAACATGTCACATCTGTCTTGATTTTTAGTCTCGATGTTGACTGCATCATTAATGATAAAACAGAGAGAAAAGTTAATCGATGAATTCTAATATTTAATTGATCTTCATTGATCACAAAATTGAATAAGTTTAAATCAAAACAATATTAATCAGTTTACTTACGTTAGTTTCAGTTCAGGAAGTATACGTTAGTTTCAGTTCATTTACGTGTGTCACGTGGAAGAGGAATTGAGTACACTTCATGATGGTATATTGAAATTATTACCATTTCAGTATACTAAACGCTAAGTTGGGTAAGCAACTTTTGATAAGTGCGATCCGTTAAAGCAGTTTTCCGGAAGGGAACGATCTGTCACATAGGAAAACATTGTGTTGAGTTTTTAGAGATTAGATGTTGAAGAAGTAGATGCTAGTTGACATGAAGCAATTCTTGTTAAATCATGATTATATGACTCGATATGAAGATGGAAGAGCAGAAGCACTGACTTTTTGGCAGTAAAGTGAGTACCTTTACTATCCAAGTACCTTTATTATCAAACTTATCTCTAAAAAATCAAGCCGGTAAGTTGTTTTGTTAACCGGAACAAACGAAAGAACAAAACCGAAAAGAGATGAGAAAAAAAAAAAAAAAAAAAAACTTCTGAGAAAGTACTTAAAAAACATTACTCTACGAAATGACATCGACCTGATTTTGGATTTTGATTCATTGAACAGGTATTTTTCGATTTGAATTGATGTGATTTGGGTTAGAGCGGAATTTAAACTAAACAATCAACAAAATGAATTAAACAATTTAGTTCATTAGTGATGTCACACAGTAAGATGTGACATAAAAAGAAAAAAAATGTGTACATAATAAAAGGGATCTTTCCATAAATGATTTGCTATTATTTGTGCACTAAAAAATTGTTTTGCAGAAGCTTCCGGAACAGTTCCGGAAGCTTCTGCCAATGGTATCTCAACCAGTATGAGCATTTGAATATGACTCATGCGTTACGATTCTACTCTAGATGGATGTCCTTGAAATTGTACATCAATTTGTCGTGAAACTCGAGATAATTCTCGAGATAAATCACTCGAATGTCCAAATAACTTACAGAGTATACCAAATAAAATTGCATAAATCCATAATCTGTCTTAACTGAACATTCTTTAAAGAAATACAAAACTATTTCAAATTGCATCTCATCTAAGTAATCATTATTCCATCATTTACCTTCTCAATTTAGCTGAGCTTACCTGTCTAGAAATTTCTAGAAATTTTCAAACTGTTAACAAAAACTCTGTGCAATTCTTTAATATGCTTTCCAGGCTAATAGTCATCCTTATGAGATAAGAAACTGACTCTTATATATACGTTTGTTTCAAATCAATGCCCACTATTTGCCTCAGGGTTTAAATCCCTTGTCTTGGGTAAGTTCTTTGTACCAACAAGTTTTATAGTTTGGCTATTACTATTACTACTATCTTGCACTCATTTAATTCAGTTTATTTAAATCCTTTAAGTTCTCATCAATATACTTTATTGTTGCTATAGACTAATACCTATACTTTATTGTTGCTATAGACTAATACCTATACTTTATTGTTGCTATAGACTAATACCTATACTTTATTGTTGCTATAGACTAATACCTATACTTTATTGTTGCTATAGACTAATACCTATACTTTATTGTTGCTATAGACTAATACCTATACTTTATTGTTGCTATAGACCAACAAACAAACAAATAAATAAATAAGCAATCAAATGGAGGATAGAGAGAAAAATAAACTGTAGAAGAAGGATTAGAAGAAATCAGTCATGAATGGCCTAAATTGAAGATCATATGGTGATAACTTGAACCAGGTATACGAGATTAGTGATAAGGTAGGATCATATGGTGATAACTTGAACCAGGTATACGAGATTAGTGATAAGGTAGAAATTATCACCAATAGAAAAAATGGCACCACAAAAAATTAAGAAGGAAAGTGAATTTGGTTGTTTGTTCATACATTTTTTTTTTGTTTTTCATTTTAATTGCTAAAAGAGAATATTTGTGGCAGCAATTTACCTGTGTAAAAGAAAAGGGAATAATCATATATCATAGAGAAATTCTTTATAAAAAAATTTGTTATCGTAAATGGCTACGATTATCGCAAATGTTATCGCAAATGTTATCGCAAATAAATCGATCAGCAGTAGTTTGTTTTTTTTTTTCTTTTCATCTGCATTAATCGATTCCGATTGCAAAGTGAAATATAGTTTATTTTGAAGCAAATTGAGCTTAAATTTTATCTCAGCTTTTTAACTCAGTAAATTTGCATAATTTAATTTGCAGTGATCAAAAAAATTTTAGAAACATTTGAATTTTTCGCTGTTGTAAATTCTTTTGCTGTTTTAAAAACGAATAATAAACATAAACAAACAATTATGAAAAATTTCTCTATGCTAAAAAAAGTTTTTCTTCTGAACACAAAATTTTTTCATCAATTCAAAATTCAAAACAAATTCTTTCCTAGCAATAAAAATTTAGTATTATCTTCTGACTGCTATAACAATCATCTATGACAAACATAATGATAATTATGATTATCATTATTCTGCTATAATCAGATCAAGTTTCTCTGATAGCGTTGGATCAATTTGTTGAAGCCATTCGCTTACATTCATCGTTCTCGACATCTCGTTGATAGTTTGCTTTACCAGATCAATATATTTTTTTTTTGCTTCATCTGATGACATTTCACCTAATTTTTTCCATGCCTCCCTGCAAATTAGTAAATTGAAGTGGAAGTCAAAGACTATTTAAAGTTTTCCACTACTCAAACTCTCGAAATTCGATAGAGTTTTGAGGGAATTTTCAAAGTTTTCTCTTACTCTTGTTTCTCCTGATGATTTTTCAACATTTTAATTGAAAAAAAAAAGAAAATTGAGTAGAAACCATTTTGCTTTCTGCAGGAAATGCAAGAAATTTGGTTGTGCATTCTTATTTTTACCCTCTGTTGCTTGCTTGTACAGAGAATAAAACATAAGTTTTTCATCATTTGTTGGTACCATTGGACCTATAACATTTTCCATTTCATTAGACTTTTTTCAATCATAGCTAATTGTAGACCTAAGACTTGCTCATAATTGTCACGTGAACATAATACGTCACGTCAAATAAGTATTTCCTACTAAACGTACCCAAACGTTTACGATCAATGAAATTCACAAATGAAACTTTTCATTTAGTGAAGTCATTCAGTTAGAGTGTGAGTACTAATACCACCAAATTCGATATCAATTTACACATTTACTCAAATAGCATTTCCATTTCTAAATGAGTTCCAAACCATTTTTTTTTTTTTTTTGGGTCTCAAACTTAAAGCTTAGAAATGTGTCCTAATTGGATGTTTGTAACTGTTATACACCAATAATCGTTAAATTCAAAAATAGTTTTGAAGAGAAATTTATTGATTGAAACAGATAATTCATAAGTTTTTTTTTTTTTTTTTTTCAAAGTTAATGAATCTCAGTTCTTTGTTGAATTATTTTATTACAAAATAAGCCTTAGACTTTAACAGTAATAACTTTTTACTCACTTCAAACTATAATACTAGCAATCAAGAGAGATAAAATCTTTACCAGTTTTTGGCATTTTCTGGACAATACTTACAGCAGCCTGGAATTTCTCTTCCATTGAAAATATTCTGCAAGCACTTCTCTCTGCCAAACAACCTTATCTCAAAAGATTCTCATTCTCGTCATAGCAATTTCTATTTGAAATATTCTCGACACTACTCTTCAACCAGACTATTTTGTGATAGCTACGATCATAAGAATGATAAAACTGATTGCTGATAAGAATATGAACACTGATGTGATGATGCTAGGAAAAGATCGAACATATGAAATGCTTTGATCCATAAAGAGATCACTGATTGCTTATTTCTGCACTGATCACTGATTAGCATCGAGAAATGTCATAGTTAGGATGTCTGATCTGTTTACAAAGCCGTTGTCACTTCTCGTCCAACTAATTTCAGTAAACCCATGTATGCTTACTACTAAAAAATAAACAACAAAGTGTGGAGATATCCAATCAATAAACACCTGTTCACCTGTATTCACGTTGCTCACACGTGAAACGTGCAAAATATGCAACGCGGAACACAATTTGTAGACGAACAGTTCCATTCACTAAATTTCAGATGGCACATTTAAAAAATGGTCATGAAAGAAATTTGGTTAAAAGTGGGGCAAAAATTAAGTGAAGTATAATATACGGAGAGAGAGAGAGAGAGAGAGAGGGAGAGAGAGAGAGATTACAAAGAATTATTGAGAGCAATTAATAGAGTTCGGGATTTATCATCAAGAATGAGGGTGAGAATAGAAAAGGAGCAGTGATAACTGGGAATAATAACACTGAAAGTTATACTCTTATCAAATTTCTCTTTAGCTTATCATAGACAAATAACTTTTCAGGCAATGCCACTTCATCTTTTGCCCTTTTCAACAACCGTCAAAAGATGACACACATCGAGGGATTTTAAAATTGTTTGCAAAATAAATTTTTTTGGCTAATAAAGCAACAAATTATTGTCAAAAATACGCCAGTATTTGTCCTATTAAGAATGACCTTTGAACTGTAAATAATTTGTACATTACAGATTAATACATGAACTCATATTAAAATAATTTTTGAACAAAATTCCTTGCTAACATCAATTGAACATGTATGAACAGAGCATTATTTACACTTATTACTTGTCACTTGTTTCATAATTTATATGTCTCATAGACTAATAGTGCAGACCTTGGCCATATGTTTTATTTTGAGAAGCCAAAGCAATTCAAGGCTCATTTTAGAATCCATTTTGCAATACTGTTCAATGCATTGTTTTGCTCGTAAGCATTTTGCTTGGAATTAAGGTTTTGGAGTATAACTGTTTGCATTGTTGGATTTAAAAAAGTTCACAAATCCAAAGTGGATAACGTCTTAGGACATTTGCGCATCTCCATTAATAGTTGCGCCAGTTCCTTCACTGTTGTTGTTTTCCTCCACTGTTCTGACTACTAGCACTACTGTTAGAGTTCGAAACTTTGTAACTATTTGGCTTCGATACTATTTGGCTGATAATCTGCTATTTTATGATATCAATTAATTTGTCATTTTTTTAAAAATGCAGTAATATACTGATTCCAGTTTATATTTTAAATTTCCCGAAGTATTTTAAACTGTTCAAATTTCACTTTTTGTTGCATTTGTTTGTTTACACTTATTTTGTTGTGCGAAAATTCCTATACAATCAAAAAACCGATTATAATGAAATCAATTATCGGTTTATGCAATTTCACAAGAGTTACCATCACTGACAGACCACCACCTGCTATCAGTTAATGATTTCTATTTGAATGGATTCTCTACCTATGCCTGGTCCTGGGTTCACCTCATATCCTTTGGTTCTTCTCTTCTACTTTTAAATAGTCTAATTATCTCTTTTACCTTTACCAGCGATAATTCTCAAATACTTCCACTGCAATCATTTATTTCTCCAATTTAGCAGTCGTCAGTTAAACTCACATTTCTGTATGGTCTCGAAACCGGAATGAATATCCTTTCCGTATTTACGTTAGTGTAATTATGCAATGACTCTATTCTCTTTTCCAGTGATACATTCCGGTTTTTAAGCCAATATAACGGATGGATCTCATACGGCCTAATACGTTTCCATTCCGTCAAGCTCACTCTTTTCAAGTGTCAAATTATTGGGAAGTATTCCGAGTACTATCTTCTCTAATTCCTTTATCGTTGACCACTCTACGACATTCACAACCCAAACAGTCTTACTCTGTCATTTACCTGAATTGAATTCCACATATATTTGTTCTGTTAAGAAATCTTATCTGTCCGTGAATTCCCAAATAATTTTGGAATTAATTATTTCATTTTTGTCACTGATACTGCTGTTAGCGTTACTGCAATCACAAATGATAGAACTGACAAAGAGTTTTATTGAAGTCTACGTCGGATATCATTTCAGTACAGCAAATCGTTCAATCCCATTTCCCATTCCTCCATGCTACCCAAAAAGAAATCTTCTACGATTGTCTAAAGAAGGCTTTGTACAAAATTGCATCAAAATAATAATTAGAAAATGGCGCTTATGTCACAATTACCACTAATAACTCAATATTTCATCAATAAACAAACCGCCCTGAGACTTCAGTCTTGCAAATCGCTCCCTGGTAATTCACGGCAGCAAGAGAATGCCGCGTAATTCAGGTGAATTTCAGTATTCGGTTGTCCCCTTGGCTTGACTGTCACTGCATTGTTAGTGTGATGTCAGAGTTTGTCTGTTTGGATTTCAACAAGTATTTCCTAACGATCAATGTGATATTCCAGCGTTAAGTGTAAGTTACATTTTCTGAAGAATATAGATTTTTCTTTTTTTTTGCTTTTCAAGTTTAAAATCTGCAGTTTGTAGTGTAATAAAAGCAAAGAAAGCAAAGGTTGTAATGCTTTTGTTAATTTCGACAAATATTCTTATTATTTAGTTGTCAGTTTATTCACTTTTTTTTTCTGGTAACAACATTGATTTACGTAGATTTTGAAGTAGGATTAAAAGTATGAAACGATATAGTCCGGGTCGTTCGGTATTTCGAAAGCGAAATCAGCAAGAAAACTTATATCCAAAACTGGAACAATTTAGTAATGATGGTGATGATAGTAACGATGGTAATGTGTAAGTTATTGATTGCATTTGACATTGCATTTATTTCAATTTCAAACTTGACACGATGGCTTTGAATTTCAACCTGTTTAATGCTTGAATCTGGTTGTTATTAATTCGATTCCGTAGAGGTGTAGAAACATAACTCATTTCATTTGTTGGACATGGTTCAGGACACTAGAATAGTTGTCCGTTTCAGAAAAGAGGGCTTTGTTTCTTGTCCCAAGCCTTTTTTACTAGCAGTGACAAACAGTTTCCATAAATGAGCTGACAGAGTCAGATAGCGGTTTCTTTTTTCAGTCTTCAGTTTAGAAACTTGCTTGTTGCTGTCTCTATTTTTCTTTCTTCAACGAATTTCACTCTGTTTAGATCTTATGAGTCAGACCATGGAGAAGATGATTCCGAAAGGGATGCTAAAAAGTTGCCAATACTGACTGTATTGGAATGGATTTGGAATCTGTTTCGGTCACATATAGTAAAACTTTTTTTCTTGCATGTGAATGTTCACACAACTGTAAAGTATATCTGGAATTAATTAATTTCACAATCATCGCAGTGATCTAATAAATCAAATTTGAAACAAGACTGACAGACGGGTCTGGGAATTTGGCTGAATCATATTTTGAAGTAACTGTTTAGCTGATCCGTTTCTGAAAGCAAACAAGAAGGAATTTATTTTCCCACAGAATTTAGATCAACTATTTCTGTTTCAGTCTATTTTGGTGTTATTATTTTTGGTGTTAGCAATTATCATTGTTTCTCTTGGTCTCATTTATTCACTCTCAAATCCAAACAGTGAAGGCATTTCACTGAAGAAGTTTGTGCTTTTCAACTTTCAGCATATTTCATGATTATATGTTCATATTATTATTATTATGCTGCTGCAATACTTAATATGCGACGAACGTTACTTGAAGTTCTAAGCATCATAAATACATTCTGTCTGCATAGACATCTACTTTTGTGCTATATAACGATGAACAGATGAACACGAAATGAGTAATCTCTGAAAACAAGTGGGATTTATACAAGTAGAGGTGCTGTGTATGTATGTATTTTATTTATTATTTGCAGGTATAAACAGCAGGTAAACGGCATTCTGAAGAAGAGTTTCACTAACGAATATGAACATGGTGTTAATACAAAGGCAGTTTTACGGCTTATTGGTGAAAAATGGATTTACGAGGTGAGTCCTTCCTAGACTACTGCACATTATCTGGATTATCACGTGAAGAAAAATTTCTCCCTAAATACTTTACTTCAAATGACAGTTTGTAGAAATATGCGACTTCTCTTGGAACTGAACAAGGTGTTTTTTTTGGTTGTAATTTAAAGTTTACTTACTCTAACGGAAAGAGTTTTTTTGAAAGTTTGGAATACTATTCTAAGATTTCAGAAACCAGTCGAACCATATGTCGTATTAATTACGGGTACAAAAGCCGGTATGTTAGCAGATGCTCTTGGTGATGTTTTTTCGAATGTCACTGGAAAGGGAGAAATTGATAGGATATTTTGTAATGAATACAAAGAACGACAGTTGTTGGAAAGTGAAGTTACAAAATCATTATCAAAACACAGTAAATCAGTGGTTTTACATGGTAAATTTTTGGAACATTCTAAAATGAACGTTTTCATTCATACCTGAGCATTTGAGAAGTGAGAGATGAACACTGTTAGATGAAAATACAGGTTTTATATGTCTTCTTGAAAGTTTTCCTATCCGTTTGGTTTGTTAAGCAGTAGAGGCAAAAAATAATTGGTTTCGAAATTTTCAGGAATCGACACATTGCGAGGATATGCTCCTTTATACTTACACAGTTTATCTGATGCTGACCATTCACCGTTTCGTTCCTCACTCATTATACTGACTATTAATTCATTCTTCGGTTCTCATCCTAACTGTGAAGATGAAATATCTAGGTGAGAGTAGGACATGTTTTTAAAATATTTTGTCTTAAACACCTTA